TTGGAAGAAGAGACTAGACTCAACACGCCGCCGCCGCCACCTGAACGGCCGGCGGCACCCGGCGAGTTTCGCCCGACGGCACCCGTCACTACAACCGAAGCTCTGTGGTCTAACATGTACCGTAATCCCGCTCAAATGTTGCATCAATATTATCCGAATCAAGAGTACCCGCAAGGCCCCGCCAGATTTTGCTGCCATAGCTGTAGTCAGGCAGAAATCCACACGGCTGAATACATGAAAGTGGCGGCTCTTCGCGCCGCCGCCGCCGCCAATGCTAGGTCGTCGAATCAATCCGGAAATGTCGGGATTGCTACGTCGTTCAACACCGTCCGGACCGCCACTGCTACGTCGTCGACCACCGCCGTCTGGACCGCCACCAACGCCATTTCTTCAACCGGAACCCGAAACAACGCCGCTGCCATTGCCACGTCGTCAAACGAAACGCAAGGAAATGCCGCCAGCACACAAGGCACCGCCGGACAACGCTATAACAGCGGTCTGATGGGCCACGCGGTCGTAGCCGACAGAGCGCCTATTGGCGTCAATGCCAACACTACGTCGTCCAACGAGTCCGGGAAAGCCGCCACTGCTGCTACGTCATCGAACAATTTTGGGAACGCTGTCACTGCTACTACGTCGTCGGACGCCCTCTGGGACAGCATCATAGCCAGGACGGGGCACGCCTTCTTGGATGACATGAAAAACTCCGGAAACTGGAATATTGTCATTGTCAACTCATCAGACAATATGTCAGAGAATGCTGCCGGCGGGCAGCAGCATCAATACCATCCGGATCGAGATTGCTCAGATGTCCAAGAACGTACCGACCATTCAGCCGAAGAATGCACATCGTCGGACACCGAACAGGAACCTCCTCGTCATCTTCAAGGGATATGCACGGTTGACGAAAATGGTCGCTTGTCCATTGCGTACTATCCACCGGCTTTGGCCAGGGATTGCAAAAAGCTAAAAGCAAAAAGACATCGTGGCAGCGTGGCGCAACAATCTTCGGCGGCCGACCAGCAGACCCCGGCGACTAGTGGCCACGGACCCGAAGCCGGTCAAATCAAAACAGCCACAATGAGTATGCGAGACCTCCACATGTAATCCGTGTTTCATTGCACGCATCTCGACTCGTCCCGACCAACTACAACTAATTACTAACGGTGTATTATGTTACTGAAAATAATCGACGTGCTCGGTAGTAGACACTGCTGACCATATCCAAAGGGAACGAGAGACGAGTGTTGTAACCGTTGCCAAAATGTAATTAATGATGAAAAACTTCCAATTTTTCTTTTCATAATATGATACCTAATCTGCGATACCTAATTTCAATTATCTTTATTTAGTCAGTACAATTTCGTAAATGTAATGCGGAAAAGTCTAATTTTTAAATAGTGGCGATAACACAAAACACGCAATTTGTATTGTACGTTTTCTGTTTTTTAAAATTTTTTTTTTATAATTTTGTATTTAAATATGAACCTCTCATAAAAGTAGAACAATTTAATGATCTTTTTGTAAATATCTATCTAAACTACAAAACTATGTACAATCAACAAAATTATTTCCCCAAAATTGCCGTTTACGGTAAAGCGTAAAATTGGCGCGTGTATATCCTATACAGGGTGGCCCACAATGATTTAACAAATGAAATAACTTTTGTTATAGTAAATATTTTTGAATTTTTTTTTTCGAGATAGCCATTTTATTCAATATAATTTTTAAAAAAGAATTGGTGAAAACAATTTGTATTTTTTTCACCAATTCTTTTTTAAAATATATTTTAATATTTACACTATTTACATGACTTGAGTTACTCCTACTTGGATGTCTTGACTTGTTCGCCAACGTTGCGGAACACTTGCACGTTCCATCTTCAGGCTGAAGATGGAACGTGCAAGTGTACCGAAACGTTGGCGAACTAGTCAACACATCCAAGTGGGAGTAACCTCAAGTCATGTTAATAGTGTAAATATAATACCCCACTCAAGCTTCAATAATTTTTTAATCTGAAACTGGTTATCGACCAGTAAAAATTGTTAGTAGGTACAATGTTTTTAATTTAAAATGTTTATGAAATGTACGCGCGTTACCTTTTAAGTTTCAAAAGTTGTTATCAAAAAAACTAAGTTTGGAGGGTGGTAAAAACAAACGAAAAAATTTGGAAAATTGAGATCGCATTGTATAAAAACATTATGGAAAAAAAACAAGTAATTTCTTATTAAACCCGATTGAGTGGTTCACGATAAAATTATCACGCTGTAATTGTATTTTCAAAAATCGCTTAGTCTCCCAGGAAAAGGTACATTTTGTACACGGATTAGGAATAGGTGATAAGCTATTTAGACACATTAGTTTTATAAATATAATACTTATATAATGTTTAACGTATAATCCTGTATTATTATGTAACAAATGATAATGATAATAATACCTAATAATAATAATATATAACAATATAATTATGTAATCAATAATAATTTTATTATCGTTTAATTGTCACATTTCCTATTTTAAGATAAATTGTATTTCGAGTGTTGTTTTAAAAGTCAATAAAAAATTCTTAATCTTATTTTTCTCTTTTTGTTCTGCAATAAAATAGTGTTTGTTATTTATTGTCGTGGCCACCACGTCGTCTATAACCGCGGTAAATAAAAACAATAGGTAGCAATCTCTAATCGATTGCAATGAAATTAACATGTTAGCGGTAGAGCAACGCTAACGGCGCACACTTATAAGTTCAATACAATCAACTCGGAGATGGCAGATTCGAATGTTATGTGTACAAGGCCTACACGGGTCTACATTTTACTGTCTTTATACCTATCTTTATACGAGTCCAGGAATTCGAATTTCGACGGTTTTGCAACATCTTCAACTGTTTATCTAGCATTGAATACTACAGAACCGATTGGTCGGCCATACAATATTAAATAAAACTGCCGTGGCGGTCTTCTTATCGTCTAGTGGTAGGTACAACGTTTGGACAAACAAATCATACGGGCTAGGTCACTTAGCCTAGCCCAGGTGTTAGGTTAGGTACGAGTTTTGGATTCGCCACCGTCCTAATGCACTGAAGGTAAGGTATTCAGACATAGTGGTGAAATCTCGAAATTCCAGGTACCGAATCGAACCGGATGAAAATATAAAAATATAATTAATAACCATCAGAAAATGGTATTCAAAAAAAAGTAATTTGTTATAGTAATAATATAAAAACAAAAGGTATCAAGATCTTTGAAAATAAAAGTCCCATTAGAATAAGATGTTAAACGTTCTCGGAAGTTTTAAGCAAAACAACATTATGTATTTATTTTTATGTTAAAGTACCAACCTAGTATCGCCAATAAAATTAACTTAGGTGTTTTGCATTCAAAATGTTTGCCATTTATTGTTTAGACTTATTGTTTAAACCTATTACTTAAAATTTGTTTTATATTTTTTTTCTCATTTTAAGAACCATTCCTTAGCAAAAAAAAAAAATACCTATATTTAAATGTAACATCAACAAAGTAATTACACATGACTTAACACATCAAAATTGCGTTTACCGAATTGAATTGGACACAGCATAGTTATTATTATTAATTATTCAGTAAAGCCAATTTAAAATATTGTTGTCAATCTTACTGCGTCGGTGCGTCCAGAGTAGTACAAAAGTAGTATAACTCTATAAAAATGTCAACTTATCGAGTCAACAATAATTGTACAATATTTTGCGATAAAAATACGTTTTTTTCATGTTGTATTATTAAAACCAACCAGTTTTATTTTCTCTCGAAGAACGTTTTAAATAGGTATTTAACAACAACAGTGTAAACACACACAAATTATTCAGGTTTGATGTTCACAGCGTTACTATATACACCATTAAACGGTTATTTTAATTTAAGTTAATTCGAATAAAATTCTTAATTTTAGTAATTAATTAATTCGGAGGATTCAAACGATAGCCTTAACGATAATTATTTAACATAGATATTACCTCAAGGATAGTAGGTAATCGCTAGCTGGTGTTGTCTCGTGGTCTTCCAAAGAACTTTGAGGTCTCCCCTCCTCAGTAGACTCGTCTCCAGGATCTCATTTTACAGTAGATATTATCTCTTTTTTCAAAATTTTATTCAGTTCGACCGAACCCCCAAACAGCGCAGGCTGAGTTCCTCGACTTGGTTTTTTCTAATTCTAACAATCTTGATAACGGTTACCAAAGCTGCTTCATACCTAATCAGCCCTGACCCCATCGTCCTCCATTGCTCGAGCTTGCTGTTATATATATCACAGACTATAATATAAAAATATCATATTTACCGTCTGTGGTTACAGTGGTCACAGTGGTTATAGTGCCCTGTTTATAACGAGTAGCATGATTACAACATTGATTAAATAAAATAGGTACGTAGGTATTATATATTGTGTTGTGCCACGATCGCGGTACAAGATACGGGAAATTAACATTTTAAACCATCTTTTGTACGGTATGAAAATGTTATGTCTGTGAACCACAATGGGAATTTAAATCATTCACATTCTCTTTCGGCGAGAGGATACGGGACATCGGGCATGGATCACTGAACTAAATATTATATTAAGTTCAGTGGATTTAACGACGATTTGAGGCTGTGGCCACAGAATAGATACATGCTTGCCGCGGCCAGCTGTCGAAACTGATTGTCGACTGTTGATTACGCTTATCACAGTTAAAACCTGATACGGCAGCACAGAATAACCAGAAGGGAAACTTTACAAAAATTACACGGTTTCTTATGAACCACCGAAAAAGGGCGACCGCCGTACACGTTTTTGCCGACGGGAGCCAAGCATATTGTACACCCATAAAGAAGGTCTATGCGTGTTAAGTTTTTCTTAATAGGTCTTTGGAGACCAAGACCAAAACAAATTCTCGAACACTTATCGGCCCCGGTCGGAAGTTGCCCTTCTGGTTATTCTGATATCGCAGCCCGGCCGGATAGTGATAATACAATAGGTAGCAACAGCTGCTCTGGCGTTGTGCAAACGAAAACGTTTGTAGCGCACAATAATAATATTATAAAAACTGTTTTACCTATTTAATCTGTGGCAGACTGCTGTGGCGATCATTGTTTCAATTTTTGAAGTCCATATCCAGTTGATGACGGTCAAGACCGGTTGTTAAAACGTCACGATATAATTACTATAGTGCTCAGAATTTCCATTAAATTATCAAACGCCTTACGTCGTTATGTGCGTTTGAGTCGTATTGTCGGTCAACACGTTATACGCGTTAAATGTAATAATAATATCGCAGAAATTCGACCCAGGTAAAAATGATTACATTGTACTATAATAAATTATAAAAAACACATTTTGTATTTAGTCATTCAACATCTTAATATCACGGGTTAGATTATCAGGATTAATATATTTTTATCTAATCTGTGATAATATTCATATAGTAAATCCAAATTATTTGATGTCTTTCAGTGACTGCGTCTGTGGCACAACAACAACTTGGCAATAAGTACATACCACTGTTGTGTAGTGTTCTTGAAAGTAAATCTCAACGTTTGGCATTGAAGATCCGTCGGCCGTTTGAGTGTTATCGGTGGCAATGGCCGAAAGAGATTGCGACACGGCTGAAGGCGACGTGAACGCGTCGCCCAAAAAGTGTATATTTTGCGATATTATCGCTCAAAATGATCCAGCCAAAATAGTCAAGCAAGTAAGCTCGAGTACCCCCACTGTATATTCATAACTGTCAAAAATACTCTTTCGCTATAAAAATGTTTTTTTTTTTATTTCCATGTGTATCATATAAAATTATTTTGTAATTTTTAAGCATAAATTTAAAAAAATACAAATTTGTCTTACCGAAAACGGCTATAATCGATTAAACTATAATATATAGTCATTGCTGGCTGTACAATTTTTATTATCGTGAGAGTTTCGTAGGCGACATAACCAACTTTATTATCGTGAGAGTTTCGTAGGCGACATAACCAACATTGTTCCGTGTGAGTGAATAGACTCTAATCCAAATGTGAACAAACCAACGGCCTAGCGTACATTCATTCCGTTTAGTGGTAATTTGACATGGTAATATCGCCCGCATTTAAATATAGTTATCGACCACTTTTCGATTGGAGCGCATACCCAAATCACAGTGTAGGGTAATATTGCAGCACGTATAATTTCGCGACACCAGCAGTGAAAAGACAGTCTGGCGTACAAAAGTATAAAGTTTATTTGAACAGCCTATTAAAGATCCCAACCGCTAGTGATGAGAATAAAAATTGTAATAAAACTACATATTAGCCAACAAACGCAATGGCATAGTAAGCCCATTGGGATTTCCGTAACTCTTAAACTGTATTGTGGAGAAATTAAATTACGAGTTGGTCTCTGAATGCAAATTTTAAGAGACAACATTACATCGTTTCAATATATTTTTCCCAAAGTATATCATTTTGTTTGAAAATTGCGTGTTTTCATTTAAATTCTATGTTGCTAGAATATTAGAATTTTTCTAAAATGTATTAAATTAATAACATTTTTTAAATATTAGTGTATTAACGAAATATTACTTATATACTTGAGTTGTGCAGTACAGTGTGCGATACAAAGATTTGACGAATGGCGTAACTTTTGTAAAAACTAAAAAATAAATATTTTCCAAATTTTTTTTTTTTTTAAGCAATAGTTTTAATCAAAGTTCAAATAGCTCACGTTTTAAAGTAAAAATAAAAATACATTTACAGATAGCAAATTGTAAATAATATTCAATAATTATGGTTTATCATAACTAATTATGTTTAGTTTTGTACATATTTTTATTTTCATTACGAGTTTAATGTTTCGTATGTGATGTTTTTAGGGTGAAAAATTCGTCATCGTCAAAGACATTCATCCAGTGGCTACGCATCATTTTTTGGTGTTAAGTCGTGATCATATCGCTACCGCCAAAAGCCTACAACCCACACCCAAAGACCGAGAGTTGCGTAAGTGCTAACCGAAATAAAAATATTAACAAATTAATCGATTGATAATACATTTTTTTTTTTAAATAACAGCTGTATTAAAATATTATTATTAAAATTTGTTAATGTTAATATCAATCATTTGTATGTTTGTAATATAATTTGTTTGTATGTCTAGTCGACTGCATGTATGGTGCTGCAAAACAAGTGCTGTTGGATAACGGAGTGGACACGTTATCGAATTCAAGGTAAGTTTGGTTCTCATTGGTCGTAGTATTTACAAACATTTTATTATATGTTTTAATAGCCGGTATATGGCATACTTGTTTGTGAGTAGTGGAAAAAACAAATAATAAATGTCATTTTTTTTTATAACAATTACTGTAGTAATTATTTTTTTTTTTCAGGTTTGGTTTTCATTGGCCGCCGTTCTATTCTGTGGGACATTTGCATCTACACGCCATTAGTCCCGTTAGCTCGATGGCTTGGTACTGTCGGTACATACAGTTCAACACGACCATGTCGTTTTGTTTTGTCGACGTGAGTTGAAATCAAAAATATTATACATCTAACAATATATCCTCGATAATATCTTATAGTCTTGATAATAAATAGTGTTAATAGTGTGTTTAGTCAATAACGTGCAGAGCAGCTCAGAATTTAACAATGTAGTTGACGAGTGTGCGTTATCTGTATGATGATAATCTTAATATAGTTGCTCTTGTTACTGTAACTGTTTATATTGTATAGTTGCTTTACATTATAGCATACTTTAGCATATACAGCTGAGTACAACGACTGGTCCATCACCCCAACATCATCTGACTTCAATAGAGGCGCCTTGTTGCCGATCAAATGTATCATGGCTGTGCTGCTGCCCACTCGGTCTCCATTTCATCTAAAAGTCTCTTTCACTTTGCTCCCTTTAAAAAAAAAAAGTACATTTCTTTTGGGCTTAGAGATTTTAGTTCAAAATAAAAGATTTTTGTCTATCGTCGTATATTATTATTGTTATTAACTAATTACTAATTAGTTAAAAATTTAATTATTACCCTCTGATTTTATTTACTCTTTAATTACTCTCTAATTTCCCAATTTGTTGTCGTCATGTTCGTCATCACTACGAGTGGTCGCCTCGAATATATTTAAACGTTGTATCGTCATTGCAAATGTACAAATGTTTTAAGTATTTTTGTTTTTTTTTTTTGTTTTACAGGTGAATTATGTACGCAAACGTATTGGGTGCATTGTCGATAAAACCGAAGAGAGCGATTGTTCTATAGAAAAAAACAAACTGTGATTGATTTTCTGCAGGTATCACGGCCGTTTGAAATTTACACAAATTTAAATTTTGTTTTTTTTCTATTATTATTATTATTATTTTCTACACTTTTTACTGTTAACTATTCGGACGATCAAATGGTGTAAATGATCAAAATCAAAATATTTTATAGTTATTAGTACAAAATTTATAAACCATCGTTATTGGTGAGAAAAATAGTATAGTTTTTTAAATATTTTTTCAATGTATAACATAGCTGTTGTCTTTTATACATATTTTGTATGTTACTCAAAAACCAAACTATGTAATAATCGTAAAAAATTGGTTTTGGATTTTTTCCGTTTTTTTGTAACGCGTTTTAGTGTTTATTTTTATTAATAGGATATATGTAATATGTGTTTGCGGTTGGTTTTAAAAATGTGTACAAAAAAATAGAAAGATTAGCGTAATAAACATTTTTATACCAATAGAAAAATATGTTTGTATAATGTTTCCTCAATGTTTGGAAAAAAATGTCGATAATATTTTCTCGGTGTTCACTGTACGAACGAATTTGTTGTGTGAACATTTACTTTTGACTTTACTAAGCGAACAGAATATTTAATTCAATTTTATACTTTCCATAGAGATGTTAATAATTGACAAATAATTTACATAATTGACTTATTTTGGGCCTTAACCAAGTGTTTAGATCATTTAAATTAAATAATAATAATGTACAACGATTAATCGGTGTAATTTTTTTTAATATTTCTTATTTGAAAATAATGTAACATACAACGGCTGGTGATGATGATGTTCAGTTATTATTTTTCAAAACTAACTAGGAGATACGACCAAAGGTTTTTTGTTAGCCATATCGGTTACCCATTGCGGCGGGGCTTCATCCCATACTTAAAAGCTTAAATTTTATTTTTTTATTCGTATCGCAATGAAAAATGACATTAGTCCAAAAACTAAATTCTAATTCTAAACCGAACTGTAGGTACTTACCACGAAATATAATAGATTATAATATGCCGAGAGCATACTGTATTATGTTAGATATTTCGTCGACTAGTCCACTCAAAGTGTTGTTTGAAAATCTAAAACTAAAATAAACATACATTAATCAGTACTTACGTGGGGCTTTATAATGAGAAACAATGGCTGTATAAAAAACAAAATTTTTTTCAATAAGGTGATATTAAAGTTACTGATATATATATATATATATATATAGTGGTAGCGAATAAGTTAATTTTTATTGAAATCATGTTGTCCAACTACTAAACATGGGATAAAACGAAAATTAATATATTTTAGTTTAATCGAGTATATATTTATTAGTATATTTGAATTGTACATCATTACGTTCCACTCCAAAACGGATTTACACCCACTGTAATTACATTATTATTATTTTAAAATTTATCTAAAATGCCAATATCGCGGTGTATCAACTATTATATATAGTATTTTTTGTACAATTTACGTTCATTTACTATATTATGTTATTCCACATGCTAAAAAAAAAAAAACCTTCAGTTATAACACTTATTATTTTTACACTCTTGTAGCTGATGATGTAGTAACGTTTGTAAGAAATCGGGTGAAACTTAAATGATAAAAAAATTTGAAATTCGTAGGCTAAACAAATAAGAAAGTATATTGGTCTAACAATGTTTCGAACCCAACTTAATCCTGTTTTTATAGCTTGTCCATATAGAGTGTAAGTAAAAATTACCGGCGTGCATTTACTTAATTAAAAAAATGTAGTCCAAATACTTTTGAAAATTGTAAAGCACATTATTTAACTCCAGTATACTAACAATAATAGGTATATGTCTACGATATTTTGTATTATGTAATTTTTTTTTTTTACTAAAAAAAATTCACAAAACTATCTCCCATAAAAGTGGATAGTGTTTTCCCATTTATTTCAATTTTTGTAGCGTAAATTTAGGACTAAGCACAAGCAGACAAGTATTTTAATTTGTAGAGTTGTTTTGTACCTACTTATGTAAACAAATAATTGTGATTGAAATTTAAAATGTGGTAAGTCCACTTTTATGAGTCAGCTGTGAGGGTAAAAATGGAAACACTATTTTATTTTATGTTTTTTTGTATTTTTATTTGTTTGTGTCTTTTCGTACAGCGCCTACTTATGTATCCGCAAGTGTGTGCGATTTATACTTTAGTGGAGCATAATCGAAACAAGGTTACCATCAATTGTTTTATTTCATTCATATTATTTATTATACCAATACTTAAGAAAAATATGTTTTCACCACACACATTTTTCACTTTAATACAATAATACCAAACCAGACATAAATGATTTATAATTGAAAAATAAAAATCCTAAATTAAATTTTAAATGTGGTTTTGGAAGAAATACGATTTTAATAATTAATGTTGTTTAGGCTAGCATTTTTTCTTCAAATATTTGCGTGTATAGATCATACGTGTTCATTTATTGTTTGCGAGCAAGTACGGCCGTTTTTTTTCCCCAAAAATGTTAACTCATGTTGTTACATTTACACAAAACTTTATAGACCCTGTGTTGGAACACTTGTGTACTCAAAATATAATACACCTCGAATTCCTCGCTGTACTGCCTTTTCGAATTTTGCTTTTGTTTTAAACCTTTTACTGAGCACGCATTTCTTCTCTATTAAGCGGATACATACAAGTATTACATTTGTGTAAAACTCCTCGGGCTCCGCATCGAAGCTACTAAAAAAAGGGTCAAATAATTGTTTTGAACGAATTTCGTTGACTTATATAATATGTATTCGTATAATTTACAAATAAATTATAATAGCCACCCAAAATGTTGGCCACGGTAAAATTATCGTTCTTCATATTGTGTAAAAATAAAAACACAACGTAACCATTCACGTAGGCACCGACGAAATGCCTGCGTACGTTGCAAACTGTGTAAACACTGGTTTCGTAACTCCTATAAATATCTACATTTTACACGAAAATATTTTCAGTTCCTATGAACATATATTTGATATATGTATATATACATATATACATACAAGCTGCCCCGACCCGGTCGTTGCCCGGGATTTAGTTTGCCAGGGCTGAATAAAATAATTACAAAAATAAGATTACAACAAAAAAGTCAGTTCTCCAGGCTGTATATCGTAAAGCAATAGTATTTAATTTGACAATGGGATGAAAGGGGGTAAACTCCGAAATAAGAGTGGAAAAAGTAAACACATTTATACATATATATCGGTGTAACACGTTCAGATGATTTCGACTTACATAAACGTTTCTAAACTAACGTGAGTAGAATGTCGGTGAAACTTTGTTAGTGTACAGGAATGATGCAAAAAACGTTTTTGTTTTATAAGCGGCTGTCTTTTTGTTTATTGTCTAAAATACTACCGAATATCTAAAATGAAAAAATCACGGCCACATACTGGTTTCAATATGGAACTTTTAAACCCCTCACTTATATTGTGGCTCGAGATGGATCGAGATAAAGCCTATAAGCTGGACGGGTTGTATAGGAATAAGGGCTTGTTTTTTTTTTCGTATAAAAAGATATATATATATATATATATAAATAGATCCTATAAATATTAAAAATTGTTTAGTTATGTTACTAAGAAAATCGTGCGCCAAATGTTTTTTTTTAAATTATTACAATGAGTTACAAGAGCAAAAAAAACTTTACACATTTTGCTACTTTGTTATTTGTGTCCACATTTTGTCCAAATTTGCATAATAGAATCGTGATTAAGGGTGTTTTCTTAGCTTACGCATATATCTCGTCATATTATTTATACCTACTAAATAATACCCCTAATAAATAAACAGTTTAAATAAGTAATAAAAAAATAATTAAGAAATAAAATTAATAACAATTTTATTAGTTTATAAATAGTTCCGCATTTTATTATATTGTAATGAATTATTTTCATCGTTCGCGCATATTATAGTATATAATTATTTGTTATGTACTTGATTCGAAAAAAAATAGTAATATGGGTAGTTTATTACAGCTTTAAAACATATTCTTTTATATCAGCAGAAACGATTGTTTTTCAAAATGTGTTGTTTACCTACCATCCACTTTATCACATATTTTCGACTACGTTTAGATTTTAAATACCTATAAAATTACCAATTAGCTTTTTATTAAAAATAATAGATACTTTAAATGCGTTTTTTCTGAAATTTTGCAATAACAAATAATTGTACGCTTCAAAAACGTATTTTCTTAATTTATATATTTTATAAATGTTATGCTCAAAACAGTGATATTTACATTATCTTTTTTTTTTTCTATTTGTTTTACAACATAAAAACAAAAAAAATTGTACAATTCGTTCGGTTACAAGTGAATAAAATCCACAATTATTGTTTAGTCTCGCGTGAGCAGTGTGAACCAATAGCATCAAAACGCAAATTTTGTCTAAGTTGTGTGTGTACAACTGATGTAGAGTAATGTAAATATATGGATGTCGTTTTTCTGTGTATAAGTAATAAATACAGTGTTTTCGTGATCATTCAAAGTTACATCACAATACTAAATAAGGTACGTACTCGTTTGTTATGTTGTAACGTTTTCATATTATTTTGTACATATTATTTAGCATTTTATGGGGTTTATCGGCATTGTACTTTTCAGTGAAAATAATTAAGACAACATAATAGTAATAATAATATAGTTTTGTTTAGTTACCTACCACGTGGTACAGTATATAAACAACACAAACGAAGATGCCGTTAAGCACAATATTATGCAAAAAACACGTGAAACGTACTGTTATAATTTGTTTGCTGTTCATGAAGTTGATGGACTATCGAGTGTCTGCATCGGATGAACTAGGTAATAATAGATATAGTGTATATTATCGTTTAAAATTAATACATTTATTACCATGCACGATTGTCAATTGATGAGTATTATCATATCATAACAATATTGTAATATCGTATCGGATTTGATCGAACACAACGTTTATAGGTGATGCCAGTGAAAGAACTATAGCCAAAAAAACATATGGTTTGTATTACATGAATATATTTTTACTAATTTTTATCTCATCTTCTTCTTCTTTATCTTTATGTATAGTAAAAAAAATTAGTCTTAGCGTTGTCACTTGAATTAAGTAGTAAACGTTATTGAAAGTTTGTTTTTTTTTTAACTAATAGCCATAAGTACCCACCATTATTTCTAATTAAATTCCAATTTACATGAATAAAGTTTGAATTTTAATATTTTCTTCTTTCAATATGTAAACGTAAATTTACACGAAAAGACTATTTAGTTCGGTTTAATATTTTATAACTTTAAAAAAATACAATTGAAAATATGCTCTGGTATTAAAATACACACTTGGAATATTAACTTGTAAAAACATAATAAATACCAATAGGCATTATAATGTTTTCTGATGAGCAATTAAGTTACAAGGTAATTTTACTACTTTATATTATAATATACATACATTAGTAGATGCTTGCATATTTAAATGATAATAATAAATGATAGATTTAAATCATTAAATTAGATACACTCTGCGCGTGTATAGAGATTCATTTTAAGTCAATTGTTTAATGTGAAATTGTATTCCTGACATGTCGTAATTATTGTTTGGTTTTACAGATTGTTTTCTTGAACAGTCTCCAGTGGAATCATCGCATGGTAAATAATTTATTCATTTATAATTTAAAAATATATCTACATGTATACATCAGTACATCGTCATATGATTTATTATATTATAAAAATATCACACTATTTACTTTTTAAATTACGAACACATTTTTTTAAAATCGGTTTCATAGACATCTCAAAAGTGGTTTTGCGTAAATGTGTGAACAACTTAGTACCAATTAAGGGTCATACTCAATATTAAGTTGAACTTTTTCAACGATTAGCCCTATACGGCTTTACCCCTTTCGTTCCTGGGATTTTTTTTTTCGAAAAATAATTCAACAATTATGTGATGGTATATTTTGACATTTTCATGTCTTTGCTCTGGCACATAACAAAAAAAAAGCGTTACAGGGGGTAGGAGATAGATGGTGGAAGATAGGGGTAGGAGATAGGGGTAGAAGATAGGGGTAGGAGATAGGGTAGGAGATAGGGTAGGAGATAGGGGTAGAAGATAGGCTAGGAGATAAGGGTAAGTGATAAGAGATATGTTGTACGTTCAACGTTCAAATTAGAACTAAGTGATAAATTCAAAATAAATTAAGGGCCCAAATTCTCAATGAAAGAAACTTGATGTTTTAATATACTGGTTTGTTACTGCTTCTTAATATACCATATCATTATCTATAATTCCACCACTACTCTAAATTGTTTCGGTATCAACGAGACTTGAAAATGCTTTTTCGTGGTTGCAGACTCGGCTGAAAAACTTTTTTTACGTATAAGACTAAAAAATATATTTACAAAGTTTCAAAAGCAAATTTAGAATTCTGGCTTAGATATATCTTCTTCTTCTTCTTCTTCCTCAGCTTATCGGCCCATTAAGTGCCATCGCTGCCATCGCTGCCATCACAAAACCTCTCCATTTCTCTCTATCGTATGCGTCGTCAAAAGATGACTCTTGGCTTAGATATATGGCTTACAAAATATTAAATCCTTCGACAAGTACTATGTCGGGAAGTAACAAAGTCAATATAAATATATCACAGAAATAATTACTTTTATTTCACCTAAAATTACATTAATTATCAAAAAAAAAGTCTTTTACTGGTTATAAAAAAAATATAAAACTATATTAAAAAAATGTCGAAAACAAAGACGTTGTAAATTTATGAAAACAAGGAAAACCTAGGATGCTAAACAAACCATAATATCGGACTGATTATTAATATAGCTGTGTAGATTTTTTTTATCATCAATCTATACAAGAAATTGTATTTAAAAAAAATTTTGATAATGGCAGTACGTTGTTAATATTTTATTCGATTTTTAAAGTTAAATCCTCGTACGAGGATGTCAGGAACGAAAGGGTTAAGCGAGTGCGTCCCCATGTTATAAAAAAAAAATTATAGGAAAGTATAGGCGTTTTTTTGTTTGTACTAATAAACACAGATAGGTACGTAGGATATTGCCGATCTGTAAATATATGTGTGTATATTTATAATTCATAATTGGGTTTAAAAAAAAAAAACAATTTGAAATCCTTTAATTTTTCGGCGCATTGAAACCATAATAATTAAACTTACGTTTTTTTTTTTTTTGTTACCAAATTATGCGTGTAACCCGTGTCTACCCGTGTAGTGTTTTCATTTTCACTGTGCTTTATTTTCTATAGATAACAAAATACACAACTATCTGACGGTGTTGTTGGATTTGTGGGAAATCATTTTTAGTAAGCGAGACATAAACAATATACATTTTTTTTTTTAAATTGTGTTAACCGCAGTGCTAATCGTTTGTTTTTCTGTTCCACAGGCGGAAAATCAGACTATACAAGTAAAATGCGAATGTTGCTCAAGTTAAAAGATGAAATACCAGACGTCTGTATGGTGGCTCCAGGTAAACGTGACTCGGGTTCAAGTAGTAAAACATGAATTAACAATGTACTTTGTACATTCCTTGACTGCGGCTCTGTGTTTATTGGTTTTTTTTCCTCATCGCTTTGTTGTAGGTCGGTATCAAGATATTTTGGTATTCGCATCGATCAATTTAACATTCATGATATATTCGTTTAAAATTATTTCCGGTAATAATAAAAGTAAGTGTGTGTGAGTGTGTGTTGTGTAAACGTAATTATTGCAAACGTCGTTACGTTCACATTGCATTCTATACGAAAACAATTATTTTGTACACGCAGGTGTCCAGGGAAAAATTGAAAGGTGGCAAAATGATCAGTCGAACGTTTTCAAAGAACTCAAGACGAAATTAAAAGAGTCGGCTCGATATTTCGATCCGAATTTGTGTTCGAGCGAGTTTAAAAATGGTAAAAAAAAAAAAAAAAAGTCATGGGCCAGGATGCTGAAACTAAATACGTATTAAATTTATTGAAATCATATAGGTGTATTGCAACAAACTCGAAACAACTTTCTACTAGGCTTATAAACATTAGCTAATTTAATTTTACTATTATAACAACGAATAATAATTGAATAGTATTTATATAAACTGTAAGGCACAAATATATATATTTTTTTATATTTTATGTATTGTATGTGTTTTAAGGTGAACTTTGCGTCAACAACAATTCATTAGACCAATTGTACAAAAACATTGTAGAAAGCTTTAAAAAACTATCAGGTACCTATTCTCATATTATATATATATATAAATATGCAACTATATTTTATGCATATTTATCAAAATTAATCATGCATAAACCTCAATTCCCGATCATTCGATTCGCGTGTATCCAACAATTTCTAGCGTCAAAACTTTTCCAATGTGTGTACGTTGTACTACAATATTGTAAATAAATATCTAATCAATTATTAACCGGCAGAAAATGTAAACATTACTTTTACTCAGACACGTATGAAAGTAAATTGTAACGTAAAGAAAAAATTCAATATTCTTGTTGTTAACAAACGTACAGTATATTCATGAGCACAACTCATATTTCGTGTTTATGTATATGTATATCTGTGTGTATATTATTGAAATTACTATATTATGTACAATCATGTTGATACGCAGAAGGTTATGAGATAGATGCCAAGAAAATCCGCAAAGAATTGCGACAAGTTAAGAAGCAGTCATCACCTACCAAAAGTAATGTTTTAATATTATAGTAAAATAATTAATATACTATTTATTGTGGAAATTGTTGTAATATTAGTTGTAATATTATTGTTGTCAACAATAATAATTATAATTTCCTTTTATTTTTACAGCTATTATTATAAAAACGACTGGGTATTTGGCCCTTGTCTACTAGGTTTTCATGTCAGATTAACGAAACATCATTTTCACGCTTTACTTTTAATCTTGCTCTTTCCCGCCTTACATTTGTCGACTCGATGCTTAACTATTATTTATGCCTTTCAATTATAATACGTTTATTATCCTTTAAACACAATATTCCTGAGTATTATTGAAGATTTTTAGCGGTGTTCTTTTGTATTTAGGTATACAACCGTGATTGGGCTCAATAATTATAATATGTTTATGTATTACATTTTTTTTTTTTTTAGTGATTACATTAATTATTTCCATCATGTGCTAATTATTTTTAGTCCGACAAAGTCACAAGTAAGACGAATTTTTCCTAAACTTTTTTTGTTCAAAATCTCTTCTTCAAAATGTAAACACGTGTTAACGGTGTTTGTAAACTTCATCGTCATTGCGACTCGTGTCCGATACATTGTCATCCTGGGTTGGTTTGGACACATTTTACTCTTAAGTCTATCTTTTAATTATCATTGGTCGAATTATCTTCTTAAACAAATACAAATCTAGGACAGTAATGAAAAACCGGAGGGGAATAATTTTTGTCGATAGTTCTGACACGAGTTATGTCCATAAGAAACAAAATCATCCTTCATGCGTTTAAAACGAATCTTTAAGTTATTTCCCGTGTTCCTATGCGCAGCACCTCTTGTCACCACGTCTTTTTCTTTTAGGTATCCAGGAGTCGACTACACACAACTGCAATACGTTTTTATCTATCTATCTTACCGTTTGCAGGTCTCACGCGGTCCATAAGCAAATCACTTTCCATAGAATTAGATGATAAATTTTTCGTCAACACGGTAAATCAGCTGTTGGAAAGAGGTAAAGTTCCAAAAACTATCGACGAAGTGCAGATATTCTTGGACGGAATTGAAAGTCCATTTGGTAAGTAAACGTTTAGTTATAATTATAATATTATTATGTAAAAAAAATACATGTATATATATATAGGTCAATTTTATATTTTTAATTTTAAATAAATGCAGCCTTTTGAACGCCTATATAATAAACATACCAGAACATAGTGTATGAGTGTATTACACTCATATTATTAACGCAATGCAATTGTTTATGTAATATGTACGACTTAACGAATGGATTTACTTTAAATTACCCAAAATAGTACCTATACGAACCCGTTTGAAAGACCCTGTGTTTAGACGACATACTTTGCTTTCAGTCTAAATGCTTTTTACGAAACTTATATTATGGTCTCGTTGCCCATCTTCTTGGAGGTTTTGGATTGCAATAAAAACCATTTAAAGTTTTATTAAATCTCATTCTGCTATGAAAATATTTTAGTTGTTCTTTTCAATATATCTCCATCTACCTACTGTACCCTTCTGTACTGTACTGATTGTACTGTACCTACTGTACTGTACTGAAGCAACGCCTCTTAGCGTTAGGTAGGCACCTGCTAACGCTATTAATTTTCTAACAATTTTTCAGTTGTTTCACACGACAGACCGAAGAGGTACAATTTATGGTGGTCGATTTTCGACGAGACCAGCACAGACGTGGAACTTTTTACCTACGACAACACAATAAACAAATTACGCGTTGTATTACCTTTGCTGTCGATGGAAACGTTTCCCAACATGAACTTTCGCAGTGAACATATGGAAATTTACGAAAACGCTTGGAAAAAAACCAACGAGTTATTCCGACAAAACATGAGTTCAAAGTTACACGATGGCCCAAAAGAAAACCTTTTGAAATTTCTTAACAAGGATGGTAAGGACGGTGTATATGGATTTCGGTAAACTATGCTAAAACTAGCGTGGTTGGCACATTGTTGTAATTCCAGACTTGTTTCAATCATTATAATTTTTATTCCGCTATTACTCTGTAGCGGTTCGGTACATATTGTGTTTACAAACAGTGAAATCACTGTTGGGTAAGCACTAGATTCAATGAAACGGTTAAAATAAGCTGTTTTTAATCGCCACTTGTCGGGCACCTCCTAATTCACGATTTATTTGCACACGATACATTTACAGTTATTTAACAACACGTTAGACCGGTGATGTTGCATAATTATTTAGCTAACAAACATTATTTTCCTGGGATTTTTATCTGCGTACGATATTTCTTTCTAGCAATAGATCGTTACTGCGTGCATAACATTATCGATACCAAAATAGTATTTATTTGCCCTGACTTTTGTAATATTATGACGTTTTATAGGCGGTATTAGTCTCTACGCTACGCAGTGTTTAGTTAAATATGACCACTTGGGCGAAACGAACATTATAAAAGGTAGGTATTGTACAACGCAACGCGTTCATAAAATAATATAATAATAAATTTGTACATTTTTTATAGACGTTTTATTCGATGTCGTCTGCACCGTTGGCGATTTGCATTTGAAAAATTTGAACACAATTCTGGAAACAACTTTGGTGATTTTGGCACGAAGTAAGTGTTTTTTTGTGTGTTTTGAATAGCAATTATTGATAACACTGTCAAAATAGAGTTATTAACCCGCGTAGTCTAATAGCACAACTAGTATACTCGGTATATTTTTTTTTTTTTACAGTTAAAAATCAGGTAAAACCTACGGTCGCTGTGCTTTTGTTGAAAAGTCTCAAACGGTGCGTACACAACGTACAATTTGTCATGAACCAATGTCAAAATCCGCGTTTAAACGAAATGAGAAAAACGTTCATAGATAATATCATCAACATTGTCGTTAACGTTGTGAAATCATACAAATTGGGTAAAACATGCGATTTATATTTATCGTTAGCACAGAATAGCTAATTTCGTTAGCACTATTATTAGCCATAGCTTAGGTCTTATAGGTACGTCTCATAGCATTATAGTCTTATAGTAGGGTCTTATAGTATTTCAACGTTATGTATTGCACAAACAATAACAATTACATTTTACCATTTGTGGGTAATTGTATGTACGGTTTATATGTACATGTTTACGAAACGAGCAGACGACCGCCACGTTTGTGTTTGATTGTGGACACTTTTACACCTTTCCGATAGGTCTGCAATACCTTAAGTAATATTGACAGTATATGAATAACAATTTTTTTATTTAAATCTACCCTGTACTTTCAGAATCGTGTTACTCAAAAACGAAAATAGATTTTGACAAATACATCAGTACGTATACGTATATATATATATATATTCAGTATATGATTTTGGAATTTATATTTTAAAACAAGATAAATTATTTATTTTAATTAATTAATCGTGATAAATGTCTATTGTAATTTAGAGGACATCCAATCAGCATTCTTGTCGTCAGCAGGTACTTGCATCAATTATTCGTGTTATATCTACCCTCAGAGACAGACTGGAAAGGCTCTAGCTTAGAAGACAAACTATAATATATGACTGGCATTATATATTATGATGTAAAAACAGCTCCCTCTCCCACTAACCACCTAGTCCACTGATAGGGGATCAGTTACAGCTGTAATAAAAGTCAAGTTCAGTACAATTATAAAAACCTATTTATGTCTAAAAAAAAAACTAAGATTTATTAGGTGTAAAATAATAGTGTTCATAAACATAGGTAAGCCTTTACATTTCTTTTTTTATTGTACTGCAATTTTATTTGGGCGTAATATAAACTCTTTTAAGTAACTTTTTTTTTCATTTAGGAAATTCCAAGAAAAATACTAAAGAATCAAACAACCAATCGTGTGAGTTCCTACATACTTTGTCGATTTCAATGTTGTAGTTATGATAGTTAATAATTATTGTAATTTAATAATTTAAGTATTTAAAACAAATTGTCTATATAAAACTAACGTACCACAAATATTTGTTTTAATTTAGTGTTTTTAACTGTCTAATATGTTTTTTTTATAGTTTCAATGAAATTGCCTAAACCGTGGAGTTATGTTGGTAGTTATATTGATTTTTGTTTGTTTAATTATCTATTTTACGATTGGTAAAACTTATAACTTGGTACTTTATTGTATGTATACTCCTAGATGGATTTGACATTGTCGATAATTATAAAAAGAAAGAAAGCGACACGATTGTAAACGTTATAGTTTACATTAGGAATTACATTCTTACTACGTACTTGTTTAGGACAACAGCCGGCCTAATGACAAGCAAGTATTTTTTTTTATAGCTTAATCGTCCATAATCGTCATAATTCAAATCGAAAAAAAAAACTAGTAATTTTAAATTAAATTGAATAAATAAAAAATTAAATATTCGTCTAAACATTTTCATCACTGCGACTTTTATTTATTTTATTCAATGTTCAATACTCACTCCCGTACTCAGTGTCTAGCCTCAAAAATGTTAATAACACGTTGATTTTATTCTAATTGGTATCTTGCCGCCGCCTCTGATTCGTTTTACCGCTTAATCCATATGCATATTATTCTAAAATCTCAACAGTGCTAAACACGAGCTTTTAAGTAGGTACTCTATTTAAGGACCTGTTTATTGTCAAACCGATTTTCAACGATACGTCCATTCGTTGTTATATTTATTATAATCTTCCAACTATAACATAATATTTTTATCGACAATTTTGATTAAAAAAAAGCATCAATTTTAAATTTTGTTATTTTTTAAAATTATTATTAATTAAAAATAATTATTACCATACTAATATTTATTATTATTCTTCTATAAATTGCAGTTAACTGCAATATTTGTCCGACTAAAACCAACGCGGAGAACAGTAAGGTGGGTGCAATCATAGAGGCGTACAAATTAAAATTATCGTAACTGAAAGTGTTGAAATTAATCTCAAATTAATGGTTCAATGCGAATCTGTAGAAAATAGTAAATTATTGCGAAACCTTCTTAGCCCCGTATCGAACCTAAAGCATGAAAATAACGATGTGAGTCGTATTTTTTTAGCGAGTAACTTACAATCATTTAAGTATCTCGATTTACTTGTATTTCTCCGCCATTTTCAACTAATCAGTTATCAATACTATTAAAATTATAAACATTGTTATTTCCCTAATGATGAGTATACTATATGTATTTATTTTTACGGAATGATAAAATAATCAATACTTTTTTTTATTTCTTTATTAGGCATGTTTTCATAACAACAATATGAACACTTTTCAAAACAGGATTGCGCAAACGGCATGATATAAATGAATATTTTGTACATTTATTTTATTGTTTCAATTAAATCATCAATCTTATATTAATAGTATACTGTATTTATTTAATTTATATAAACCGAATGCGGCTATACAAAATATACTGAAATACAGTTGCGATTGCATTATCACATAAATAAATTGAGTTAATTTTTAAGCGGGGAAGGGGTAAGAGGATAAGGCAATTTTTTTTAAAAAATACCGAAAACAAATTTTGAACCCGTTCTTAATACTCTAACAACGAAATTCGATTAAACTAAAACCGTTTCTCCTAACCTAACCGCGAAATGAGGCGCTCAGATGCCAAACCGATTAAATTGCGAATAATAGCATGGTTGGATTAAAAAAGTGTATAATTTTCAGTGGCCAAGAAAAATAACGTCATAGTTGAATTTTTCACCGCCTTTCTTAGTGGATCACTACATCATAAAACGAAACTACTGATCAAATTTCATACTCATAGTAGTTGAGTGGTTCCGGCTAGGCGATGATGAATCAGTTAGACAGGACATGTTATATTATATATATATATATATATATCGGGTGATTCTTTTAACGCCCGCACTAGCGTACTTTTAAAATAATTACAATTTTTTAGTTTTTCTTTTAAGTTCATGTTATATTACAATATTTCACAATCTTTTTTAGTATTTTCTGAAGCCTTATCAACTTTTGAAACTTGAAAATGGTACCGTATATATTTTATTAGCTTTTTAAATTAAGAATGATTTTATGAAAATTTTGACTGGTCGATAACCAGTTTTGAATAAATAGATTTAAAGTTATAGATTTAAAGTTATAGTTATAAAGTTATAGTTTTAAATTTAGGACAGGAGGATGGGTACGGAGAGTAGTGTTATTTTTATCTGCGCGTGTTTGTAAACCGCATTCCACCTCCCGTCTTAAATGTTACACTTAAATAACTTGAAAAATAATTATTTAAAACTGGTTATCGACCAGTACATGTTTTTAGTACACTATTCTTAATTTAAGAATTTAATTTTCTTACAATAATATGTTACCATTTAAGTTTCAAAAGTCGATAAAGCTCTAGGCAAATAATAAACAACGTACAAATTTGATTATTGTCCAATAATATATTGTAACATATTATATAAAAAAAGGTTTTCAAAAAGAAACACTACAAAATTGTAATTATTTTTAAGAGTAAACTAAGTGTAGGGCGTTAAAAGAATTACCCGATATATATATATATATATATATCGGTGATTCTTCCCTTAAAAATGAGTAAGTCGTTGTTAATATATTTTTGGAAAGCGTACCACGTATAGATGTTCGGCGGTGCGAAAATAGGGTCCCGATTACGCCGCAGCATCAGAAACGGAAAAATCAATATTTTTCCCTTTTCGCCGGCAGAACGCGCTAAACATCCCCCTACAATTGCGACCCCACGTCGGGCCGCCCTTGTGTGTACGTTCTCATTTATTGTGACCATTCGCGACAGCGTGCAAACTTGTCAGCCAACCCTTCTATAACTCGGTCGTCATCGCGCGTTCATCAAGTGCGCTGAACGTTCACCAGACAGTGGCAGAAGTAAGTTTTACATCTTGTTTTACTATCAATGGGCACCCAATAGTCAATAATTGTTTGGATAATTTCAAAAGTGTAACACATACAAATACAGCACAGGTTTGTCCAGACACATCCGAGTGGTCCGTTTCCCACTGTTTCGGCATATTAGGAATTAACAATTTTTTTTTGATATTTGTCTGTTTCGTTTTTATGCTAAAATGTATAATATTAAAAATGCGCGGGAACATCAAGTTCCTAGCCTTGTTTGCTAGTGCGGCGTACACATAGTCTTTTGTTTTGTGTTTATTACAGGAATGCGCAATACATATTTTTATACTCAATACGTCTTATTCAGGCAATTTCTGTATATTATCTTCGTATATTTATATAAATAATATCCATAAGTTAGTAATGTCAAAATTGTACAATAAATGTAAAATACGTTTACAATATAGTCCACTAAAAATAAAACGAAATTCATGATATTTTTTTTACAAACAATATTTTTAGTGAACAGCCGTTTGTGGGAGTCCTGTATCTTCGGACTTTATGAGAAAAAAAGGAGTACCGCAAATGTTTGTAAGTGCGATAAATCGTTTAAAAAAGTATATTATTATCACGTAATTCCAGCACATTTTCACATGTTCATAATTTACATTCACCGTCGTCAACACAAGAGCTTTGTCGGTAGTTTTTAGAATTATATCGCGCAACACAATAGTGACGAACAAAGTCACAACTCAAAAAAATACACACGATTTTGATGCTAACAAAAAAAATAACTGCTGTAACATTGGGTGTGAATTAAAATTGTATAAATATCTACATTATAAATGATTTTCTTAGTGCATACGTGGTAGGGAAATAATATTATTCAAAAATAATAATTGGTCAGCTTGGCCAACTCCTCAGTTGGATGAGTCACTGAGATTCATCGCGTATCAAAAAGAGTTGCCTAACTTTATAAACACAAGTATGCTACTCTAAATCGGCATATTCGACCCGTTAAGCCGCTATAGTTTTATTGTATAAATTAGTTAACAATAGTTATGTTAAATATTGAAAACGGTTCTAGGTTATATAGTGGTTATTAAAATTAAATATTGTCCGATGTAGCTGCTCTGTACGTGTACAGCTGTCTTGGGCGATTATCGCAACTGTGCGACGACGGAAAAACGGATCGTTTCAATCAAAGGCGGACGAAAACGACTTGAAAATCGGCGAAGAAAACATAATGGATTTTAGTGATTAAAAGTAGAAAGAAAACGACGTGAAATAGCATTATGGCCGCAAGCGATTCGAAAGCACCACTCGTAACTGTCAAAAGGGTGCAATTCGGTATTTTGTCTCCGGATGAATGTGTAAGTACTGTACTTTCGACGTTTGTAGTTCTGTTAGCGACTATCTAGACGAATAGTGTTCGTTCTCAAACTACATTTTATTTTAATTTCAATGAAATTATAATTTATTGTTCGTATGTATATTTTTCTTTTCAGAGACGTATGTCAGTCACAGATGGCGGTATACATTTTGCAGAAACAATGGACGGTAAGCGCCCAAAACTCGGAGGTCTTATGGACCCTCGACAAGGAGTTATCGATCGGTTTACGAGATGTCAGACTTGCACGGGTAAGGGATATTATATATTGTATTTTCTAAGATTAGGCTAAACTGCTGCAAATAAACGGTATAAGTTGATTGACTGATACACCAAAATCCATCCCGCGTTCGAATAAAAAAAAACCGTCATAACTATTACAGCTATTACAGCTATAAAGCCTAAAATGTTGTGACATTCAGCCAGCCGCATATACTGTGCACAACTAGGTGGTGTGACACGACAATAGGAAGCGAGAAAATAAAAAAAAATTCCGGTCAAAATTAAAAAACAAAATTACTCACAATCATCGTCATCAAAACTCAGTTACTTTATCCGAGACGCCTAAAGACTAGTTTTTAACTGAATGTAATATTCTCAAAGTATTAATCGACTCTAACGACGGGCCAAATTGTATCTTCTACAATTTCGGTTGTCGGTAATAAGTATAAAAATATCTCAGCTTTATTTCATCCGAACAATATAGTGAACATTATTATCTTGAAATTCATCTAGCGGATATCCTATTTTATAACACTTATTATACTCCTACTCGGGATATTTTTCATCACTTTATATTGATGATGTAAACAAGCCATAACCTTATACAAATTATACAAATGTAGGGAGTACCGTACCGATAATGCATTTTCTCCAATAAAATCGATGACATTTTTTTTTAATACCGACTAATATAATCTATATACCTTAATATGATCTATCACCTTCAGTATATAAATTGTCAATTGTGTTTTAGGTAACATGACTGAATGTGCTGGTCATTTTGGTCACATTGAACTTGCCAAGCCCGTGTTTCACATAGGATTTCTTCCTAAAATCATAAAGATACTACGATGTGTTTGTTACTACTGCTCAAAACTTTTGGTTACTCCTGTAAGTAGGAAATTTGATATTTACGATAAATCTTTACCGCGGACGTTTTTGAACTATTGTTTTGTTTTGTTATAGACTAGTAGTAAAGTAAAAGACATTTTAATGAATTCCAAACGGCAACCGAGAAAACGTTTGGTGTTTATATACGATTTGTGTAAAGCCAAAACGGTTTGTGAAGGAGGCGATCAATTGGATATAACCAACGATCCAAATCCCCCAGTGAGTACAATACACGATTGTTGTCGAATTTAGCAGCAATTTTGTTTAATTTTTTTTCGTACTATATCAATAAATATTTAGACGGATAGATAGATTTATATATTTAAATGTACATTTTTTTTTTTTTTTAATGTAAATGTGTGTTTTAATTTAGTACGATTTATTTTTTTACATAACTACAATTATTGTCAGTACTGCTGGGTTTATATATTGTATTGACATTATGAGATGTTATTGTAATCACTTTAATATGTTTACAATTTTGTATTTGCAAAATTTGGAAAGTAGTGTTTTCCAAATCACATTACCAATAGCTTTTAAAATAACATAATTTAATGAAGGCAAACGGAAACACCCACTACCGTAATAACTAAATAGTAGAATAATATATTCCAAATGCGTGCCTACGCCATTTTGGATTTTATTATAATACATTTTAATCTGACCTGGGTGTAGATCTTAAATCCTAGATTTGGACGATTTACAGGACACAAAGCCCGGACACGGTGGTTGCGGTCGATTTCAACCAAAAATTCGACGCACTGGTTTGGACCTGACGGCCGAATGGAAACACGTCAATGATGAAAGTCAAGATAAAAAAATAACTCTAACGGCCGAACGAGCACTTGAAATTCTCAAACACATCACGGACGAAGAGATAATTATTTTGGGAATGGATCCGAAATTTTCGCGACCCGAATGGATGGTGCTGACCGTTTTGCCGGTGCCCCCTTTGGCTGTCCGGCCGGCGGTTGTTATGCATGGGTCGGCTAGAAATCAAGTGAGTGTGTACAAATTGAAAATCTATCGAAACAACAACCGTATACGTATAACAAAATGTGTTTTCAGGACGATTTAACACACAAGCTGGCCGACATAGTAAAGTGCAACAACGAATTAAAACACAACGAACAGGCCGGTGCTGCCACACATATTTTATCTCAGAGTCTAAAAATGCTACAATTTCACGTCGCCACATTTGTTGATAACGACATGCCAGGACTTCCAAGGTAAAATCAAATTCACTAAAATAATACACATAACCGCGTTTCGGTTTCATTTAAAACCATTCTTCACTGGCAACCGGTCATAAAATGATTGTCTTAACCACAAGAAAGTAAACGAATATTAACGGAAAATTATAGATTCCAGCTGCTTTAATTTGGGGGGAAATAAATTATCTCATCTGAAAACGGTAAAAATCGCATTTTTTCTAAAATTGGACACAACTGGTAGGAGGTACCAATATGACTATGAAACATTGTTGATACTTTTCATATGAAATTGTAGTAACGGTAATAATAAATAGGTCTCAAATAACAAGCGTAACCTATTTACCTACATGTTTTTTGTCAAAAAAGAACGGGAAATTTCACATTTATGTATATAACTTTAAGTGTTCAGTATTGTGTTTTGTTAAAATGTTGTACTATAATAATCATTATTATGTTGTTAAAATGTTTTACTACGATAATAATTAATTTTATTGTTTAACATATTATAATATTCGGTTCAATAGTAATGTACGGTAATGAAAACAAAAAAGCTATACGTGTCCATACTACAACAACACATTTTGTTTTTAGAGCTATGCAAAAATCTGGCAAACCTCTGAAATCGTTAAAAGCTCGGCTGAAGGGAAAAGAAGGTAGAATTCGAGGAAATTTAATGGGCAAACGTGTAGATTTCTCAGCCCGCACTGTCATCACGCCGGATCCGAACTTGCGCATCGATGAAGTCGGCGTCCCACGTTCAATTGCCCAAAACATGACTTTCCCGGAAATTGTTACTCCATTCAACATTGACGAGTAAGTGCCGAGAGTGTTTCGAAGACACTAACAATGAAAGACCATCGGTATTGATATTTTGGCCATTCTGGTATTAGTGTTATCCGAATTTTACACATCATTTTACACACGTTGGTCACAACAAATTACCCGCGTTACGATCTACATTTTTTTTATTTAGAATGATTAAACTGGTGCACCGCGGCCATTCTCAGTATCCAGGTGCCAAGTACATCATACGAGACAACGGAGAAAGAGTGGATTTACGTTTTCATCCCAGACCGTCGGATTTGCATTTACAATGTGGTTATAAAGTCGAAAGACACATCAAGAACGGTGACCTGGTAGTATTCAACAGACAGCCCACACTGCACAAAATGAGTATGATGGGTCACCGCGTAAGAGTTCTACCGTGGTCTACATTCCGTATGAACTTAAGGTGCCCGATGAATTACTAATATATTATATATACCTAGTATATATATATATATATATATTTTTTTTTTCTTTCAATCGCAAGAGTACCTAATTTGTTGTACTGTGTTTATTGTCATTAGCTGCACGTCACCTTACAACGCTGATTTCGACGGCGACGAGATGAATCTTCACGTTCCACAGTCTATGGAAACGAGGGCCGAAGTGGAAAACATCCATATCACTTCCAGGCAAATCATTACGCCCCAGAATAACAAACCAGTCATGGGAATCGTTCAAGATACATTGACTGCAGTCAGAAAAATGACAAAGAGAGATGTTTTTATCGAGAAGGTAATTTAATGCGTTTATTTACAATGGAAAGTTTCTCAAGCTTCGTTGACACGATTATATACTATTAAGTAATATCAAATGTATGTGTCTTTCTTTTGCGTACAGGAACAATTGATGAACTTACTAATGCATTTGCCCAACTGGAACGGAAGAATGCCCGTTCCGTGTATATTAAAACCTAAAGCCTTGTACACGGGCAAACAGTTGTTTTCCTTGATAATTCCCGGCAATGTCAACATGATACGCACGCATTCTACTCATCCGGACGACGAAGATAACGGTCCCTATAGATGGATATCTCCCGGAGATACTAAGGTGGTGTACGCACACAATTTCGTCGACAATAATAATTATATGTAATCAAATTTAACACTTTTGGTAACACCGCTTACAGGTAATTGTGGAACACGGTGAATTAATTATGGGTATACTATGCAAAAAGACATTGGGCACATCTGCCGGCTCTCTGCTTCATATATGCATGCTGGAACTAGGCCATGAAATTTGCGGTCAGTTCTACGGTAATATTCAAAGCGTGGTCAATAATTGGCTTCTCTACGAAGGTAATGTATTTTCCATATATATATATATGTATTTATTCAATTCGAGATATTTTTCTAAAATAATCTGCGTTACAATAAATCAATTCAGGGCACTCCATTGGTATTGGCGATACGATCGCCGATCCTCAGACTTATCTGGAAATTCAAAAAGCCATCAAGAAAGCCAAACAAGACGTGATCGAAGTAATACAGAAAGCGCACAGCATGGACCTGGAGCCGACGCCCGGAAACACTTTGCGGCAGACCTTCGAAAATCAAGTGAACAGAATTTTGAACGATGCTCGCGACAAAACCGGAGGTTCTGCCAAAAAATCTCTAACGGAATACAACAATCTCAAGGCTATGGTCGTGTCGGGATCCAAAGGATCGAACATTAATATTTCTCAGGTGCGTGGTGATGTGTGCGATTGCATGTTTGACGTATTACACATCTCTATATTCATTAAAATAATAAAAAAATATGAACAATACGTTAAATGATGCTTCTATATAGGTCATTGCGTGTGTTGGCCAGCAAAACGTAGAAGGTAAACGTATACCGTTTGGGTTTCGGAAGCGTACGTTGCCACATTTTATCAAAGACGACTACGGTCCTGAATCGCGAGGCTTTGTGGAAAATTCCTATCTCGCCGGATTGACGCCATCCGAGTTTTTTTTCCACGCGATGGGAGGCCGCGAAGGGCTCATCGATACAGCCGTTAAAACTGCTGAAACCGGTAAGTATCACTCGGTCGACACAATAAACGCGACGACTGACAACAAATTATAATCTAATAATTTAATAATAAAAACAATTACTATCATCATCATCGTCCAGGATACATTCAGAGACGATTAATCAAAGCCATGGAGTCGGTGATGGTCCATTACGACGGGACCGTTCGCAACTCTACCGGTCAACTGATTCAATTCCGGTACGGAGAAGACGGTTTGCGCGGCGAAGCTGTGGAATTTCAGAATTTAGACACCATCGAACCGTCGCACGAGAGATTCGAAGAACAATTTAAATTTGACGTTTCCAACGAAAAGCTCATGAGGAAACTGTTTACGGAAGACGTGGTGAAGGAATTGTCCGACAGCAACAATACGGTAACCGAGTTGGAATACGAATGGGAACAGTTAAACGCTGACCGAGACACGCTCAGGCAGATTTTTCGAACTGGCGACAGCAAAGTGGTGTTGCCGTGTAATCTCAAACGAATGATATGGAACGTACAAAAAATTTTCGGTATCAATAAACGACTGCCGACGGATTTGAGCCCTATCAAAGTGCTGCGCGGTAAAGTGCTTGTGTTTTATTAACGACCGTCGAAACGCCTATAATAAAAACAATTTTTTTGCTGTCATATAGGAGTTAGAGATTTATTGGACAAATGCGTTATTGTAGCCGGCAAAGACCAGTTGAGTAAACAGGCCAACGAAAATGCTACATTACTGTTCCAATGTTTAGTGCGTTCAACGCTATGCACCAAACTGGTATCCGAGAAATTTCGTTTGTCTTCGGAAGCGTTTGAATGGTTAATGGGTGAAATCGAAAACCGGTTTAACCAAGCTCAGGTTAGCGTGTCCTAGGGTAAAAGCAGTTTGAGCAAAAATATGTTTCTACTCTATTTTTTTTATGAATATAGGCCGTTCCCGGAGAAATGGTAGGAGCGTTGGCTGCTCAGAGTTTAGGAGAACCGGCTACTCAAATGACGTTAAATACATTCCACTTTGCTGGTGTTTCATCGAAAAATGTAACTCTGGGAGTGCCCAGATTGAAGGTAATAATATTGACACTTGTGTATTGTTCAAAGAAACTCTATTTTTTTCAATGTGGCTCAAGTGTGCTGAATATGTTTTCAATGGATAAAAACTTTATTCCAAAAAAACAGCCTATAGCATATAATATGCATAACGAAATAAGCGTTAAGTATCACTTAGGTGGTAATCGTAAACTAACGTGGTAGATGTTAATGCAATATTTGTCTTATAGAATAAACAGACATATACTAACTTTTATAGGTGAATAAAATACATACACTTCTTATAATTAGAATTTTTTAATTTAAAATTAAAAAATAAAAATTTGAGACCATAATAATCACTTTTAGTATAAATGAGTATAAACATAATATAATATGTATAAAATATTATACATTTATTTAACGATCCAAACATTAATCATAGTTTTACTGTTGTTTCCGACCAGTGCAAAATCGGGGTTTAATCATTTAAATCGTTTTTTTTAAATAAAAGTTAAATATAAGTGCTGGGATGGAATGGGATGAAGGGCTGGGATGGGTGATGTGAGTTACTAGAAAATTTTTAGGGAATATATATATATATATATATACAATCTCAATATGTGTCTCAATTGATTTTTTCAGGAAATCATAAACATAAGTAAGAGGCCGAAAGCTCCTTCGCTGACTGTTTTTTTGACGGGAACGGCAGCTAGAGACGCGGAGAAAGCCAAAAACGTATTGTGCCGTCTCGAGCACACAACCTTGAGAAAAGTAACGGCCAATACGGCCATTTATTATGATCCAGATCCGCACAATACAGTAATAAGCGAAGATCAGGAATTTGTAGATATCTACTACGAGATGCCCGATTTTGATCCAACGAAAATCTCTCCGTGGTTGTTGCGTATCGAATTAGATCGAAAAAAGATGACCGGTGAGAACTGTTATGAAATTAGATCAAATTAACCAACCGTGTAATCCCCATTCACTAATTGACTAATCGTTTAATAGTTTCCCGGTTGTGATTACGTTTTTAATCATAATTTACCGAATTTCAATTATGATATGATATTTTAATTATGTGCCTGTAAAGGTTACACATGCTTACTTTCAGTTTTTGGAGTTTTCGTCATGCCGCGTATACATTGTCCAAGATAACATTTAATACAAATTTTCAATAATTTATTGATAGTCGACATTTTAATGTTACAAAAAAAAATTGAGTATATTATAGTTGACAAATTTAGATAATTATGATTTTTCAATTTATTTATATTAACTTTTGAAATTTCATTTATACATTTTTTTTATTATAAATGTTTATATTTTACATAGCACTAAAACGCGTCCGGTACATTTATGCTATATGATCTCTGTACATAAGTTTTGCACAATGTATTTCTTTTACATGACTATGAAGAAATCAGCTTTTTCCTGATTATTTTGTCAAGTTGTAAATCGTCATTTCAATCATATTACTGGCAATCGTCTAGATCATAGGTTCTTAACCGGTGGTCCTCGGACCCCTTGGGGGTCTATAGATGGTCACTTGGGGGTCCATGGAGTGGCTGTCATTTTTTTTAAATAACCCAAAAATAAATTTGTTTGAAATTAATTGTGAACTTTATTGAATGTATAATTATTAATTTTGTATACGTTAGCGGCCGTTCATATATCAGTAAAATTTCCGATAACGTTTTAAAGACAACAATAATAATTTCTTGCCCGTAATACAACTCTTAAAAATCATTAAAAAATAAGAAAAACATTTTTTTGGAGGGGGGGGGGGTATCCGTGATTATACATTATACTTATATATTATGTGTTTTTAGATAAAAAATTAACCATGGAAGCGATATCGGAAAAGATCAATGCCGGTTTTGGCGATGACCTCAATTGTATTTTCAATGACGATAACTCAGACAAATTAATCCTACGCATACGCATAATGAATCTCGATGATGGCAAAATGAATGGGCGCGCCGAAGACGAAGACGACGGTGTTGAAAAAATGGAAGACGACATGTTCCTTAGATGTATCGAAGCAAATATGTTATCCGATATGACTTTGCAAGTAGGTGAAAATTATTTCATTAATACCAAAAAAAAACTCATTATTAATAAATACATCACGTACTTAAACATTACTTAATGTACTTGATGTAATTGTACATTAAACGAATCATAATTAAAATACACGGTACACGGGTACCTATATATTATTTTGTTAAAATATATTACACATCTACACGATAATAATATATGTATTGCAATTTATATCAAATTGCTTTTGTTCTCCTCGACTTAGGGAATAGAGTCAATAACAAAAGTCTACATGCACTTGCCTTTGGCTGATTCTAAAAAAAGAACAGTGATCACTGAAAATGGCGAATTCAGAGCAATTGCCGACTGGTTGCTGGAAACTGACGGCACGAGCCTGATGAGAGTGTTAAGCGAGAAGGATGTCGACCCCTCGAGAACGTTTTCCAACGATATTTGTGAAATATTTTCTGTAAGCGTTCGTCGGTTGTATAATAATTTATGTAATATTTTTGATCGACCGAACCGTGTAAATAACTTGCATTAATCGCGTTGTACAGGTGTTGGGCATAGAAGCCGTGCGCAAGTCTGTGGAAAAAGAAATGAATACCGTATTGCAGTTTTACGGTTTGTATGTAAACTATCGTCATTTGGCATTGCTATGCGATGTAATGACAGCCAAAGGTCATCTGATGGCCATTACTCGACACGGTATCAACAGGCAAGACACTGGAGTTTTGATGAAGTACGTAAAACAAATAGTAATCCTATTGAAAAGAAAAAAAAACCAGCACATATTTGGTTCAATCGACAATGTGATTTGATTTTGTTTTCAGATGTTCATTCGAAGAGACCGTTGAAGTTTTATTAGATGCGGCGTTGCACGGCGAAGTGGATCCCATGAAGGGAGTATCGGAAAACATTATAATGGGACAACTTCCCAAAATGGGAACGGGTATTTAATAAACTATTATGCAATTCGTATTTTCCCACTTTTCTTCCGCAAGTACTATTTATGATCGTGGCATCGTGTTTGATATTTCAAGGTTGTTTCGATTTGCTACTGGACGCTGTAAGAGCTCAAGAGGGCATAGAAATACCTATAGACCCTGAATTTATGGGGCGCCCGAACAACGATGGCATGCTCTTGAATGCAAGTTCGCCGTCCATTATTTCCGCAATGACTCCATGGAATCAACCGTCCACGCCGGTTTATCAAAATTTATGGTCGTCAAGTAAGACGATGATGCTATATTTATTTTCTATAGTATAACATATTATGACGTATTGCACTCTATTGTTTTTCAGCCATGACCCCTGGAGGCCCCGCTTTCTCGCCGGCAGGGTCCAGCGACTCCGGCGGTAGTACGCCCCCATACTGGATGACGAGTGACGGGACACCGGGTAGTCCTGGACTGCCATTGAGCACGTTGAGTCCTTTTTTGCGTAGTCCTAGCTCGGTGTCGCCCAGTTATACGTGCTCGTTAAGTCCACAGTATGGTGTTGTGTCGCCGACAAATTATTCTCCGATAAGTCCGCAGTACACAGCTTGCCTTCAAAATTTGCCTCAGTACTCGCCCATATCTTCTAACTATAGTTATTCCCCGACGAGTCCTTCGTACTCACCGACAAGTCCATCGTACTCCGCCAACTCGTCTTATTCTCCGACCAGTCCTTCGTAAGTACAGTTGGACCACGCTATATCCGTCCTGATTTACAGTGTCAAATATTTGTGATTTAACTAAATTCAGGTACAGTCCAACGTCGCCAGCATACAGCCCTACGTCGCCTTCTTATAGTCCAGCGACGCCCGCATACAGTCCAACGTCTCCGACGTACAGTCCGACCTCTCCGACGTACAGTCCAACGTCACCGACGTATAGTCCAACGTCTCCGACGTACAGCCCAACGTCTCCGACGTACAGCCCAACGTCTCCGACGTACAGCCCAACGTCTCCGTCGTATCGTTCAACATCTCCGTCGTATAGTCCAACGTCTCCGTCTTACAATCCAACGTCTCCGTCTTATAGTCCAACAACGCCGTCGTAAGTACAATAACAGTTTCGAAAAAAAATGTACGAGATCACAATTCACCGTTTTAGATTTTAATCACGGTTAAATGCACTGTAGAGAACCCGATGAGTAGATGACCGCGGTTTCAATAATTATTGTCTTAGATAAACACCGCAGCGACGAACTTGTGGGATGAATATTATTTTGCATTAATTTTTATTTGAATTCAGGTACAGTCCATCGAGCCCAGCGTTCCGATCCGGAGCAATTAGCTATAGCCCAACATTGCCGTCTTACAGTCCACCGTCACAATAGTAAGTATATCGTTTTAATATTTGATTCTAGGTTTATTTGGAATTTTCACTAAAAAGAGTTGGATAAATACTAGTTGTGAATAATAACGTTTACGAAAAAAACTTTTAAATTAATTTAATTTATGTTCTCTGAAAAATTTAACAATAGTTGAAATCAGTTAATTTCACATTTTATTAATCAATTAGAAGATGTTTGACCCTTGTCTTTAGATAATATGTATTTAATTTGATTACAAACAATGTAGCTTGTATAAATAGTTAATACATAAATTCATCAATTTTATGTAAAATAAAACAATTTGTAAAAAGTAAATTTAAAATCAAGCTTCTGAGTTTACTTATTTTAAAACAAATTTTTAAATCACTAATAAAATAGATACAACCGCGTTAAACGTTTCAAAAAGTTGTTTTGTAAAAATTACAAAATTATTGACGGTTAAAAATTAACTCATACCATTAAGAAAGATAGGTATTATATTATGTGTCACTAAACAATTTAACATTATAATATTTTGTTCGTTTTTGTTGTTTAGTTAATAGATTTTTTTAAACGAGGTTTATGTAAAATTTTAATTTTTCTAAATAATTATTTAAAAAAAAAAAAATGTTCATACATTTCCTTTATTTATTACACCCTATACAATACGGGTGGGTTGATAAATACTAGTTGAACGATTTTTTTTCCGTTTCAGTTCGACTTCGCCCAACTATAGTCCTAAGTCGCCCACCTATAGTCCAAAGTCTCCACAATACGTACCGTCGACATCATACACTTCTAAAGAATCGGAAAGTCCTCAATATTCGCCAATGGCCGCCAGCCCGATTTACTCGCCAAGCAGCCCAATATACATACCGTCCAATAATGTTTCGTATTCGCCGCCTTCTGCACAGCAGCATGCAAACACTGCGGCCAACACACAATACAGTCCGTTTTACAGCCCAAGTTCTCCGGCTTACTCGCCGATTAACTACTCCAGGACAAGTCCGAGGTAAACATTGAATATTTTACCCTTCAGCAGCTATAACGTACAAAATATACGCAAAATATAATTTTAATAACATTCCATGCGGATTCACATTGTTTCAGGTACTCGCCAAGCTCGCCAAACTACTCGCCGAGTTCACCAAACCGCACGCCTATCGCACAGAGTCCTCCGTCGCCGGTATACTCAGCTTCATCTCCTGACTACAGCGGTACAGACGACCAATGATGATTTTATATATTATGTTTATTGACATTTATTTGTAAAAACCGTATCATCGTTTTGGTCGAGTTGCTCGCCTCGGTTCGCTCAAAAGGCTCGTCAACCCAGCCTACCTATCTGACACTTACATGCCATTCCTTAAAACATTGGCCTTCATTCCCCTATTTGACTGCGTCTGTGTCTTTAAACTTTTTTAAATATCTAATACAATCTTCTTATCTATTAAATTTCTCTCGTGTGTTTTTCATCCATTTCACTATTGCTTCTTCTTCCCCGCTTTCAACGTGCCTGATCCATATCGTATATATATCGAGTATCCGTGTTTGACTCCATTCTCTCTCGTTTTTTACCAAAAGTCAAGCAACTAGCAAATTTTAATTTCTTAAAACACTGTTTTTTTACTACATGTAGTATTCCGTCTATCTCAGTCGCATATACATTTGAGTATTTTCGTTTTAGCTATATTTCCATTATTTCTTCTGTCTTTTTATACTTCTGGATAAGATGCCCCGCAAAAAAATGTTGGCTCCATTGTTGACCTGCTTAGCAAAAAGATAATTGACTGATGAGTGAGGTAGGAAAATGAAACACATATTCATGATCCAATGTACTTCCTTTAAGAAAAAAACTAACGATTTTTATCTATTTTTTCTACTACTTTCCCCCTAAATTTCTTTGTATCACTCATTATTTTAACATTTTCAATTTATACTGTCTTGTAGTAAATCTTCTATTCACTCTTGGACCGAAATTCCTCAACGACAAACGTCTGACATATACCCTCACGCCTATTGCTATTGCTTTGGTTATTATATAGGTATGATATTCTGCCTAACGAGTATACTGCATTGTATCTATTAGCTGTTTGCATTCTACATTGTAGTTGAATTTGCACATAACATTAAGTAAAAAAAAATATTGTAAAACTTAAAATATTATTATAAGTGGTTGAAAAGGTCACAAAAATTGTTTTAAAAAATTACTTAGTACCTAATAAAATATGTTATACAATGTACATTTGCAAACAATGCGATTCCAGTAAATAATGTAGTCCGATATGATTTACGCTTATCATTATTTGATAGACCTACTTAACTATACTTACTTTATATAGGTTACTTAACAATTATATTCGGTTTGAAAACGTTTTTCAAATTTTATTAATGGACATTATTGTATTGTACCGATCTAAGCTTTATGATATAAAATGTTTTCATAGATACAATTCTTAATAATTGTAATACGTGTGTTTGTTTTAGGATAACTTTGTACTTGTATTTAGCTACTATTCATTTATTATGATTTTTTTTTTTTTTGAGAACTCCGTTTGTTGTGTTATTACTATTGGTCTTAGTGTGAGAATTTTTTTTAATTATAAAGTGAAATTGTATGACATAGATTTTGTAAAATATTTCAAGGAAATGAACAATGTAATACAATTGCATAATTATACACGATTATAATAATTTATTATTATTTTACTATTAAATTTGCTTCTACTGGGAAACTAGCGTCTTGATAACGACAGAAAAATAATATAGGTATTACAATTCGTACAGAAAATGTAATCTATGTACACAGTATACCTATTTATATCGCACTTCATTTTGGCAACTAAAACATATTTGATTAACTAGATTTTAAAAATGTTAATTTTTCCTTATAACGTGTACCCATTTCCTCAGTGTAAAGTAATTTTACATTTTTAATCATTAACCTTGAACTATAAAAAAAAAATCAAAGTTCACACTATTAAATAAATACTTTAAAACATAAACGTTAGAAACGGGAAATTCCGATTTTAATTACGAGATAGATTATAAAAATTAAAATGTCTAAAAAAAAAATTCTTTCTAGCAAATTTTGATAAACTAAATAGATAATATCACTAGGCCATCCAGAAAATTTATATTTTCAGACTGGCCAGAGTGCCCCTGTGTACTACCAATCTTGAGAGTAAAAAATGATGAGGACTTTTAAAAAAAAAAAAAATAAGAGCCATTGTATAAATATGCAAATTAAAACAGTAGTATAGCCACGACAAAAATTTAAAAAGAGTCATGCGAAATATATTAATAAAAACTTAAAACTCTCGCCAAAGGTTACAAAATGTGAGATAGGCCTTTTTTTAGATACAAAAACGTACAGTCCCTATCGTCAATCATTAGCGTTTTCAATAACATTATATAATGTAGTCGTTAGTTAATTAATGAAATGAAATTAATGTTAATTAAAGTATGTAATTTTATAATGACATAATTTGTGAGATTATAAAAATTTTATCACATATTTTGAGTATATTATAATTCATAGGTAATGTACACATAGTAATAAATTATTTGGTAAAAACTGAGAAGACTAAATGTGGCATTCGTTAGGAAAATTTAAACTTATAGCCCATCAGTCGCTTTTTTTTAAATGCTTTTCTTTAACTCGCTAACATGTACGTACGTTTGTACGGGTTTTTTTTCAAATCTTGCAAAATTAATTTAACCCACTTCCCGATGACCTAGAGGGCTGCAACTTGACACGGACACTCATCTCGGATGACAATACAATATCCTGTAATAATATTGGGACTCGGACATCCAGGTCGCCATACACAGGGTCATAAAAGTTTTTCAGCCGAGTCTGCAACCACGAAAGAGCATTTTCATGTCTCGTTGAAGTACCTACCGAATAAATTTAGAGTAGTGGTGGAATTATAGATAATGATATAGTATATTAAGAAGCAGTAACAAGCTAGTATGTTAAAACATCAAGTTTCTGGCTAATATTGTAGTGTTTATTATCTGGCTTAAAACAATTCATAGAGAATTTGGGCCCTTAAACTATTTTGAATTTATCATTTAGTTCTAATTTGAACGTTGAACGTACAACAGATCTCTTATCTCTTACTCACTATCTCCCACCCCTATATCCCACCTCTTAACTCTTACCCCCTGTAACGCTTTTGTAAAGAACGCTTTTTTCGGTTATGTGCCAGAGCTAAGACATGAAAATGTCAATATGAAGGAGTCGTTTAGTGTAAAATTCCATGTTTTTTCAAATATTCCGAAATTCGTTTAACCCACTTCCTGATATTGTTAGAAGGCTGAAATTTAACACAGACATTCATTTTCGATGACAATACAATGTTCCGTCATAATATTGGCACCCGGACATACAGGTCGGAAATGCTGGGGGAGGGGGGTCAAATACGGGGGTCATTTCAGTAAAATTCCATGTTTTTTCAAATATTCCAAAATAAATTTAGTAATCTATTCGCCAATTATTATTATTAAGTACCTTTAATAGGACTAAAATGTAAAAACAAAAAAAATTAATTAATTAAATAAAAACTTTTTTAAAAACAAAGTTTTCGAGCGCAACGAAAAAGTCTAGGTTTTATATAATTCTTGGTTTTCGTTATGTTTACAGAACCAACCGCTCGCGTTATTGGGGTGTACAGATTTGCCCGGGGTGAATACGGAAGAGGAGGTAGTAGCTAAACATCCTGCGTTTGCACCCGGTCGCCGATTCTCCCCCTGTCATGCGTGTTAATCCTTAATCCGGGGCCTTTGTTTAGATCAATAACCGTTGTCGTGGTGATGTGACATCCCCCTTTGCAGCGGAATCGCACGGCCGGCTTTTGCCAAGCGCACCAGCTGCATCCGTCGTCCCGGGGTGTATCGGTCGATATGCCTCGGTCGCCCCTTTCGGCAGCTGCTGCCTTTAATAATAGTCATGGAAAAAAAAAAAGTACTATACTTTTGTGATAATCCCTGAACCGGGTTTACGCCCCTCGACCACATGGTATAGAATATAATAATAATTGTTCAATCGAGTGGCACACGACACCTATTGAATAAATTATAAACTTAAATAGGTACATGACAAAATAGTCGGTTACATATTTTAAATTTTATCAAAACAGTCGGCCTAAATCCGATCTATTCTGATTTAAGTAGATTTAGTTTAACAAACATGAAATTGAAAGTAGATCAAACCGATACGGTGACAGCTGAGTGATAGCCTAGTTAAATGTATAATTTTATAATGTATAGTTAACTTTTGCAAAGCCCCACGAACAATTGGCAATTTTTACTATTTGTTTTGTTAAAAAAACAAATGTCCGGATGGTGTTCCGGGAAAAATTCCACAATTTACACTCAAAACGAAAAACGATATTTATTTGGAAAAAATTTCTGTTATTTTACACAGTTAAAAAAAAAAAGTTAAAAAACCTGTTTTTTTTTACCGAGTAATTGTGTTTGTAACATTATTGGAACAAATAGATGTGTTACTCAGAGAATAACTTTGTCAAAAGAAATAATTGTTTTATTTTCTTCTAATGTGTAAAATGTCCGATTAAAAAAAATATATATTGTTTTTAGAAAGTTAATAGTATAATTTGTCCGTAACTCTATTTGGAATCGTGTAAAAAACCACTAATAGTGTATAATGTCACGGTCGTTTGCGCCAACCAGAGTTTTAATGAATTTATAATTTCAGTGTTGTTAAATTATCTTTAAAACTAAGCTATTTGTTGGTACAAACAACCAAAAGCTTAAAATGATGGTTCATGCAGCAACAGGGCATTCCATATTAGCTATTCAAAACGATATTATATAATTTGGTCGTTATTTTAATAGATTTTTGGGTGTCATTTGGTATATACATACAAAATAATTTAAACATAGCTGTTATGACATGCTCTTTAAGATATAACTGCTTGAGAAATCTGTCAATTTGTACGATGATTTGTTTTCAGACACAACAGTGTAAAAGGGAGAGTGTAATTAGTGTTTGGTAAGAGCGGTATAAGTTATCAACACAGTCAGAATAATATTACCTCTATTTAGCATACTTAAGCATCTTTCTACAACTCGGCTACTACAAACAAATTTAGTTCAGAAAATATTGAATTTCAGATAATAATGGCCTTCAAAAAGAAGTTGGTAAAAATATTTTTTCAAACAATTGAAATGTTTAATGGTATTTTGGGCGGTAGGCAACAATTTTAAATAATCATTTTCTAATCCGACAATCTATCGAATGTAGTTCTACTTAAAGTAGAATAATATTATTATAAATTTCACAGCAATAGATATTTCTGTGTTTTTTTATTTAATATATAAAATATATATATAATTTTAGGGATACTTTTTTCATCGCGACCGATTTGTTTCTTCAAAGGTAGTTTCTGTGGTGAAACCCATTGACAAAATCCATATTACGTTGCACCAGCTAAGGTATAATTCTTGTTTGAATAAACCTCGAAGGTCATAAAATATAGTGTACGGTAATGATTAAGCACAGTAAAATTACAAAACAAAACATTTATGTAAGTATATCATATAATAGTAATTTTACATAGTGGTGTAATAATTAACTATTGTAACTGTTTTAATTATTTTTTGTGTTTTTTCTTTTTATGCAGATAGTGATAAAAAAAAAAAGAGATAAATATTTTACATTTATAGTCAACATAAGGCTACAACAATTTGGGATCGTGAAAAAGTTTGTACTAAAAATGTGTATGGAATTATTAGCTAACAATGAAAAAACACTAGAGGAAAACCCAAAATAAGGATAAAAAATATAATGAAACATGTAGAATTTATAAGCTTTTACATCCCTTTTCTTGTTATTAAATTCCTCGCATATATTTTTCAGTTTATGTTGTAAATAAAATATGAGCGTCTTGTTTTTTCATAATAAAAATGTTTTCTTTTTGCATAAATTTGGTCGTGAACAATTTTTATATTGTTTTAGATAAATTAAAATGTAGGACATACTATTATATTGTATTTTCTCTTTTTTCTCTCTCAGTATTGTGTACATTATTTCATCATAAACCGCATATTTTACAATGGAATAAAACATTTATTATATTTAATATTATTAAATTAGTAATTATTACAATAAAGAAGTAACAAATAAGAATTACAAATAAGGAAGTACAATTATATTGTACTTATCTGTATAAAAATAATATACTACCAAGTACTAAACCATGTTCTACTACTTTAAAGTACAACATTATTCGTTTTTTCTTTTATTTCCTGGATAAAAGCAACATGGTCGCTGGCATGTCACTTGTTAGAGGGTAAATAGTAAATAACCTACAACAAGCTATATTGGTTATTAACCAATTGGTGAATTGAGTGAAAATAGCTCAAAAGCTTGTGGCTAACAGAGTGACATTAAGCGCAGAGCGTTCGCTTAATATTCGTAAAATTAATTTTTTTTTTCAAATTGACTGGTCATACAATAGTAATTATTAATTCAGAATACGATAAATTGTAGCACTATTACCTTAATATTTTCAATATTTGGTTTCGTTCAATTATTTGGATTCGTTAGTTATGTAATTGTACACTTTTTTCAGTCCTCGGGGACATTTTTATTTCATTTTTTTTATTATGTAGTAGAATTTCTTTGTAAAATCTATAGTAATAACTAATGCTGGAGTATCTTACCAAGTAGTTCATAAAAAATAAATATTATAAAAATCATAATAAGCAGTAATAATACCGTAATATTAGGAAATTGACATTTTGATTTTGGGTTTTATCCAATTTTCGTTATCAACAAATTAAATGTAACGACGAAGAGGGAAAACAAAACGTTATCACACCGACAACATTTGAAAATCAAACATAACCACGGTTACCAGAAGCGTGATCAGAAAACTCATGGAGGGTGTAAAAAATCGGCTGGAGGTAACAGGCAACAGCTCGACCTACGAACGCCGTCAGCGGCCGACGGAAAATGGACGCGTTTTTAAACATTAGAATTGCAAATCGCTAAAGTTTAGCATATTTTCTAATGAAAATATTATAATTATAATATTTCCCGAGTGAGAATATACATTGAATACAGGTAGAGAATATTTTAATTATTCAGTCTCGTCTTCGGCCGAAACAAGGTCAACGACGACGAGCCCGGACAATTAAAAATAATATTTCTTTTCCGAATGTTAAATTAATAACGATCATAACTGATGGGTATAATATAATACACATTATTTTTACATTGCGCAACAACTGTAGCCTATAGCCCGCGGCCTGGGTTAGTAGTAGGTAACATCATCATCATCGTAATATTAAGTTTTGTTATTGTTTTTTCACACACACACACACACGCGATGATAACTGCGCAATAGACAACGCGCACGTCGGTCGGTTTCACCTTCACTATTACGTTTTGAATAATAATATTATGTTCATTTATCTCATTAATGTGTTCGGCAGCGGCGGTCTTATCATATTGTAGTAGAGCAAACTAAAATCGCATCGTACCGCGTACGTCCCAATACCTCGCGTTAATAGTTTTATTTTTAATTGACCAATGTAATCAACAATATTATAAAGCGCAGACCACAGCAGAAAGTCACGTTAGTCGAACGCCGCAAACGCGATCCGGTATCCCCACGTTGGATTATCGTTTTTCATAATATTACCGTTCGCGTTGAAACAAATAATTGTTCGATTCTTTATACCTGCGGTATTTGATTTCGGTCTCGTCAGTGTTGGTTACGTCATTTAGGCGAAAAAAATATTCAATTTGTGCGTTCTCATTGAAATCGGTCACCCGGTCGTTTCGAGACGCCGTCCGTCGTGGTTGTATTGCACAGTGTGAGTGGGTTTTATAATATTATTATTGCATTACATTCGTGTGTTGTCCGGCCGACTATGTCGTTGAACACCGAAGACGGTGCCCTGGAGGGCGAAGGTGTGTTCTACGACGTTTACAGTGTGGGATTTTGGCTGAAAGTGTTGCTCAACGGTTGTCTGGTCGGTCTCATTACGTATTTGCTGGTGAAAATATTCATGAAACGCAATGAACCCGAACAAGCCGAATACGTTGACACCTCGCTGCCGAAAATGAAAAAGAGAGATTTTACAATCGAAGAACTTCGCGAGTTTGACGGCACCAAAGGCGATGGACGCATATTGGTCGCTATCAACGGCAAAGTTTTCGACGTCACCAAAGGGAAACATTTCTACGGACCGGGTAATGACTGGCGTTCTATTTCTATATATTTTCCGACTTGGAAACACGTTTTTATTTGTCGCGATCTTATATTTTCAAACAGGTGGGGTTTATTCTACGTTTGGCGGACACGATGCTTCTCGAGGACTGGCCACATTTTCAGTTAGCGGCAAAGATGAGTACGATGACCTAAGTGACTTAAATTCCTTGGAACTAGAATCAATGTTAGAATGGGAAACTCAATTCAAAGGTAAGGATATTTGTTTTATTCAAACTACATTGTTGTACAATAAATAACAAATTGTATAATTATTATCTTTACCGTAATATATTATGTAAAGGAACTATTAGGTTGAGACATCAGAGTTAATTGTCATTTTGTGGTTATAGTCATGGCGAAATTGATTAATCTCATAGGTATATAAAATTAAATTCCATAATTAAAAACTCTGAAAAGCGGTGTTTCCTATCACTATCCATATAACGCAAAACATTTTACTTTTGTTTCAAAGTAAAAATCGATCACACAGATTTGAATTCCTGAGAATATCTTTTTATGGATGACTTGACCACTTTGTCCATTTTATTCATACCTTTTTTTATTTCTGAAATGTAAAATGATAGTGCGTCAAACTTGAATTGATGTTTCGAGCAGTGAAAACAGAGAGGACAAGTGTGTTACAACAATGGAGAGTATTTTGAAGAGAATAAAATTAGTATCAGTTGGGTTATTTTTTGGATCGCCTACTTAAGTGTCATTCATTGTTTAATTTAGTATCGACTTAAATCATTTTTAATGAAATTCCAGATGAATAAAGAGCAACTAAATTCCTATACTACGTATGTGATTGGGATAGACAGCAAATGCCCCTTTTTTTTGTTTTCTTCGACACTTCTTGCGTACTTGAAATTATAACTTAATGATAACTTTTAAACAATATTTTAATAATGCATTTTTTTTTAAATTTTATATTTGTCTATATTTTTATTAACTTAAAAGATTCAAATGACAGCCCGTATATTTTGAAACCTTATTTAATGTAGAATCTGCTAACAGTTGAAAATCAGTTAAAAGTTCTTTTAACGCTATTAACATTTTAAAGTTTAAAAAAAGAAAGAAAATTGCCGTGATGTAGTTTGTAGGCAAAAATAATATTACCCCACACCTCTCTCTACGGCCGGGTAAGTAAAATACAGAATTAAAAACAAGTGGTCTAAAAATAAATATTCAAAATTGGTTATTGATGGTGGTAACCAGTTATATTCGATTAATCATAAATTCCAATAATTCAACATTTTCAGTAGATCAATTTTTTTAATAATGTTTTCAACATTAAAAAAAAAAACAGTTAATTACTTTCACAGAAAATGATTGTCTCTTATGTATAGCAATTGATAATATGTGAGAATAGGTTGAATGTAAAAAAAAAGTTCCTAGAAGTTAAACTTCCTACTCAAAGTATTGATAAATTCAATTTTTACAATTTATTTAAACTGTATTTAGATAGTTATCATTAGCAAAAATGATAAATACAAAAAACTAAATTAGCTAATAAAATAAAAATAAAAATGGAATGCATAAACAATATTGTGTGTGTATTTAAAGTTGATGATCTAATAAACTTTGTAATGATAAAAATAATTATCAGTTGTGTAATTTAAAAAAATATTTATATTTGATAAGGAATAAAATGAAGAAAAAAAAAATAACAAGAACGAAGAATGTTATTGAGTTATCATTTACTAATGAAGACCGTATAAAAAAAAATTGTAAATCACAAATAACACTACTAATAATAATATTATAACTAGAGCTCGGATGTTAATAAAGGCATTGAAATATGCAATGTATGCCTTTATTGAAATCGGCTAAACAATTTTAACCAAGTTTTCAAATAGCAGTTTGACATAATATAAATAACATTTCAGATAGGTTAATTATTTAAAAAAGTAGTATATATATATATATATATATATATATATATACAGGATAACATTGAATTACAGATATTTTGGTGGCGTTTTCAAATTTAGAAAAACAATTTTGGACAATATTTTATAACCAGAATTATAGTTTAATACTTTTTTGATATCGTGTATTATTTTCTTTAGCTCATACTGGTAAACACGATTAAAGATAATAATAAAAAAAACATTTTTTATAATAATTATTATACTTATTAATATGGTACTAAAACTAGAAATAATCATTACAGACAAATCTATGCTCAAAAGTGTCAAATATGCATTATAAGTGTGCTGATTTGAAATTTAGTCTTTGCAAATCAAATTTATATCGTATTAAGATGTAATTCTGATTTCACTAAAAAATATATATATATTTTTTTTAACTAAATACTTTACAATAGGTACAAAAGTGTACATTGAGTCAACTATACTCTTTACAAAGCATGTGATATACTCAAAATCTATTCTTTAAAACTTTTAAAATTAAATTAAAAACTGGATGATAAAAAAGTAGGCCCATAATTATATATTATTTCTTTTGAAACCGAGGGGCATTATTCGAATGATTTTTCTCTATCCAGTAGAAGTGACAAATAAAACGTTATCTTTTATTTAAATATTTATTTATGACAAAACTATTTGTTGTTTGTTATTTTGTTTCAAATTATTCATTTTTTGTTATTCCAATCAATGAATTTATTATTATTTACAATTGATTTTGTTATCATTCATTGTTTATTATTTTTGTAGGAATATAATTATTTTAAATTAATTTTTTTTAATTTCCATCATTTTATTAAAAAATATTCTCCATAGTTTGTGTAATAATGTTGCCGAGTCGAAATCAAACCAAAATTAGCATGACCCTTAGACCTTTTTTTCTATTTGACTGAATTAAAGAAGACATTTTAAATTATTAAAATAAAAAAGAATTTTAAAATTAAATTTAATATTTATAATAATGTGGTGTTTTATAAAAAAAGACAGAAAATAGTTTATCTATAATTTATATAATTCTGGTTTTTGTTTAGAAAAATATGATTATGTCGGTCGCCTTTTGAAACCTGGTGAATCACACGGCTACTACACAGACGATGAAGATTCTGCTTCAAACAAATCCCACCTTGAAAACAGCAAACAGGCTGATAAAACTAAAGACAGTGCTGATGATAAACTTTCATCGAGTGAAGAATTCAAGACTGAAACCACCGACAACACAACCGATTCCGCAAAAGCTCCAGAAAAAAGTGCAGCCGTAAATAACCAAGAAGTGGATAAATAATGCTAATTACTACAAATAACATCACATTTTTTTTTTTTTTTAAGGGGGGACTGTGAAAGTGGTTACATCCATTAAGGTGATGGGCGGATTATATTATGTACTATGGTGGTGTTAAAACTTTTGTTTGTACTTAGTAATATGACTGAATCAATTGTTATTGAATTTTACATTGTTTTTAATTTTATCCCCAATTGTCAATTCAATTTACACAAATGGAAAAATATTTTAAAAAACGTACTATACACATTGTTTAAAACCGTATAGTCTTATTTATCAATTTATCTTGTAAACAATGAAATCGTTAACAAAAGGCACTTATTTAATAATAAGTTTTTTTTATTTTATGCTTTTAAAATTTTATGTTTTCAATAATTTGAACGAAAAATAAATCCATATTGTGCTTTTTAATTAACAACGCTAAACTATAATATAACTTAAATAAATTTATAAATTCCTTATTATTTTCTGTATTTAAATTTAAAAAAAAAAATCAATATAATATAATGAGTTTTAAGCCTAATCAAACATAACACATTAATAAAAATTTAATGTCTGGATTAATTATAAACATCGGTGGTTTGGCAAGGTGAAAGTGTTGATAATTTTTTCTAAACAATCATTTTAGTAAAATAGATGATAACATTTTTCGTCAATTAAAATGTTTAATAACTGTTACATTTAGGTAACTATAATTTATTTGAGTCACTGAAAAACAAATTTGAGTTTATCATTTTATGTTGATTTTAAACATTTTCCTCATTAAGAAATAAAAGTACCCAGAAAAATACTCTTACATATTTATTGAAAATTAAAATTGTAAAAAAAAAATAGCTAGATATTTGATTTGTATTATATAAACTGAAATATTTATTTCTGGTTTAGCCAATCTTGATATCTTTATAAATTTTGTTTTTTAAATAATTTTTCTATTTGACGTGTGGTTATTTAATTTTAATATTATCTATACGGATGCCTTTTATTGTAAATCCATAAAATTACTATTTTACTATTTTAGTACTAATTATCAAATTATACGTAATACTATTTAAAACATCATTTTTATCTAAATATGATTATTTTTATTATTGTGTTGTATCTTTTTTTTTTGTGTTCGGGGCTTGTGTAAGCCCTAACATATTGATCCTAAATCACCATACGATACATTGCCGTCAGAAAACAATTGCAATGTTCATATTTTGTTAAATTAAAATTTTTTTCTCTACATTTTGCAAACTATGTAAATACAATTTAATTATTTAATACACATTTTATTATATTTGATTGCACAGCTACTATTTTATGCAAAAGATTACCTGTTTTAATTACGCTCTTAAAGAATTTCAATGTTTGTAAAAAATTTAAACACTACAACCATTTGTTAATAATTGTTTTAATATGTATATGAGTTTCTATATAAATATATATTTACTATTTAATTATATTAATTTAATACAATAATGTTATTATCTATTTTTTTTAAATTAAAATACAACTATACCTGCTTACATTATGTATAATATAAATACAATATAGACAACAGTCAGATCTCGGTTAACCGCAGAGGCGTAATAGCATGAGTACCTAATAACTATATATTGCTGTAATGTGTCCTATAATAAAGTCAATTTATAAACTCTTACTAATGGTTGCGCTCGAAATACAATTTTTTATTGTCAACCTCCTTTAAATTAATTTAATAAAACTTACTTATACCATTTAGGTTGTCATCACTTGAGTTGTGTAGCTATTACATAAGTTTTAAAATATAAATTAAATTATTACATATATATTTGTGTATTGAAGTGTACAATGCTTCTCAGGTTGGTGTTTTTAAAAGAAAACTCCTTTTTGGTTGAAACAGTTAAATTTTTGACAAATTGGTTTAAGTAGGTTTAATCGAATGTTTTTTTTTTTACAAACAAAATCTAAACATGGACCACCATTTTGGATCGCGTTAATAATGTTTGACATTACAAAATTTATCTTTAGCCTTATTTTATTGACCATACAGGACGATTTATTGAGGACAAGGCATTTATTTTCTCTTAAAATAATTGCAATTTTGTCATTTTTTCCTAATGGAGACACTTTAGTTTAAGTTGTATAACAATATTCAAATTTTATACTTACTACTTTTAGCTTAACATTACGGTTACAAACGAAAGTAAAATAATACAGTATTTAAAGTTTGTAAATTAAAATTAAGAAATATATAATAGATTTTGTCTATAAATATATAGAATGATATTATATCTATAATGTTACACAAATAATAATTTATTAAAGCCAGTAAATGTACACGAATAAAAAACATGACAAAATAAAGACAAAATGTATATTGTTTTTTTGTGCGCTATGTGTATACTTGCTTTTTTGTTTTAACGTCTGTTGGTATCTTCTGCTAACATAAAAGTATGTATACAGATGAATATATATAAGTATATAATATATATAAGTATTTTTTCAAGGGAAACTTAATACAGTTATTAAATTTATTTTTTTTTCCTTTAGGTATATTAAATTATATACCTTTGTTTTTAGCAAAGAGAACAGCTAAAATGTAATTTCTCATAAGAAATTATATTACATTTGTAATACCTATACATTGTAAATATTAAAAATATTGTTTATTGCTCACTTAATACATAATTATTATAATCAGTGAGGTAATACGCACCACTACAATCAAATCAAACCGAACAAACCTTTACAATATAATTATTATTTGATAAACTACCATTGGTGGCGTATTTTAGGTGCCGCTTGTTTTATTTGTGTAGTAGATGCCTTCTGTTTGGGCTCCTGAAATATTTAAAGATAATAATGTTGAAAAGCGATAGTTGACTGTTCACATTCTAAATAAATATTGTACCTACATTAATGTTAGGGTGAAATTTTAATTGTAAAGATAAGTTGTGTATGAAAAATCCGGCAAAAAAAAATGTTTGGGCGAACAGATTACATAGGATTAATATTAAAACGATAATGATAAAACGAGAGTCAATTGTTTTCGGTGGAACCGAATCCATCCAATCTAATATTTGTTTAATACATAATTTTTTTTAAACCCCTTCAACGTTGTAAAAAAAAAACACCAATTGTATTTTTAACATCTTCTGTTCGTTTGAAAATTGTTCTGAAATGTATTTTAATAATTTGTTTATCTACATTTTTCACTGAATTCAGACTAGTCTCACACTTCCATATTTTTTTTAGTATTTTTTTTTTTTTTTTTTGAAACTCAGTAGAAAATTCGAATTTCTCTTTCGTGTTTATTTCAATTTTAGGGGAGATTAAAAAAAAATTGACATCTATGATTTGACAAAAAAAAAAAATACAATATAACTTACTTGTTTACTACTAACTTCTTGTTTACTAGTAACTTCTTCGGTTTTCGGATGACCAACCGCTAGTGTATTGATAGCCGATGACTTCTTGGTTACTCCTTTTTTGCGTTCTAGCAACAAATTCTACAAACACCAAAATGGTATTATTAATTACTATGTTGTATCTATAAAGTACTATCGTGAAACCCTTAAAAAAAATTCGCTTTGGTATGAAACTATATATGTTGTGAAAAATAAATATAAATAAAAACCATTAAACAAACAATAATATATGTTTATAAACACAGTATTAGGATTTTCCCTAATTTTAAATTTTTGTTTTTTTTTAGAAAATCTAATATTTCTCAAAAAGTTTGATTGCTAGTCAATATTTGAAAGTGTTTTTTAAAACAATTTTTAGGCAATGTATTCTAGTAGCATAGTGTAAATACTAAGAGTTTCTTTTAAAAGCTATCTTGATCTAAAATAGTGATCTCCTCTTATGGCTTCCCCATCCTCCACTTTGACATGGATTAAATTAATATTTAGTCTTACAACTGGAAAATTAAATTAAACGCCGATGACTCTGTCCATGTCCCTTCCAGTTTAAATTCTTAGCATAATATTGTGTTTAAAGAAACTTTCTACGACGAAAAACAAATATCTAGGTCTTATTGTAAAAAGAATCTTACTTTAGGCCCTCGCCTAAAATCTCAAAGAAAATTATTAAACTTAAGATTACACCTATTGGATTCCTATAATTAAACTTTTAAATAGACTTTAAAATTTTCTCTGTAAGGTTTCTGTTGCTTCCCTTAACAATTGTTAATATGATATTATTCATGTTATATTATTGTAAGCATATGCTAGAAGGACGTCGTTAAAATGATTTTCAATGATACAAACATTTTTACACAAAACGCATAAAAGTACCTTTCAAAGATAAATCACCTAAAGTAAAAAATTAGAAAGCAAGATTTCTGATGAAACCTCATATGCGTTTTTCAAAATATCGATCAGACAAAAAGTTACAAATATTTTAAAAAGTTTTACCAAATGTATTTTGGCATTCATTATATTGACCTATGCATTGTAAATAATGGAAAACGCATAAAAGGTTCCTTCGGAAATCTTGTCCACTATATTTTTTTGTTTTAGGTGTTTTATCTCTAAAATCACTTTAAAGGGTACCTTTTTCTATTTTACTTTAACATATATTTACATGAAAAAATGTTTTAAATCCATGTCAAGCATGCTGTGAAAAACTCTTATACGGTTATCATCCAGTCAACATTTTTAGTAAATTATTCTCTATTTAAACAGTTAACGAAAGGTATGTGTTATCATTTAAGTTCAAAAGGTGCTATCAAAAAAACCTAGTTGGGAGGGAGGTAGAAACGAAAAAAAATTGCGAGAAATTGAGATCACAATGTATAAAAAAACATGGGAAAAATAAATTCAATTGAAAAATTCAACACCAGTGAGATAGTAAGTGGTTCACGATAAGTTGATCGCCCTGTATATATATATATATATATATATGGTATCAACTTTTAAAGTTCAACATAATAATGTTGAATTTTGCCCGCCCGCCAAACCTACCTTGATGTTTTGCTGTTCAACGGCGTATTGGCAACATTTTAAAATCTTGTCCCGACGGCCAAGCGTGTCTGAATTGTTGTCCAAAACACTTTTCCACGACATGACCAGTTTTTCGATGTCCCGGCAAGACATGGTGTCCGTCATCGAAGTCACTTCGCTGCACAAATCCAACAGCAACTGGTGGCTATCGCTGTGCTCGGACGGCGGCATGTGCTTTTTCACGAAGAACTGCAATAACTGCTCGCGAAGCGTCTCGTCGGGTAACGTCACGTTTACAATGTCGTCCATCCGGTAGTACACTTCCCCGTCCATGTTTTTTGGGTCGTTGGCCACCAACGACAGCATCAAACTGAAACCATGTATACGCCATTGGTCTAGTAGAGTGGGTTGGTACTACTGCTGGGGTAGTGGGTACTAAAACAACCGCGGTTGTTGAACGGTGTTTGATTTTTAGGGAAAATACAGTTACAGGAGTTACTAGAAGTAGTTATATTATATTTTTATAACTAGCTAAGGTGGTAGACCTGCTTCGCAAGGTCATTTAGTTAAGTTAAGTTTTCAGAGAAATTGTAAACGTGTCAAAGTTAAAACGAAAAATTCGACAAAGTTATGTGAAGTTTTTTCTTATTTCGGGAAGAAAGTGCGTGTGGAATCGGTAAACTTTCGGCACAACCAAGTGCCAGTCACGTGCAAATCTAGCATAATATCATACTTGGAAATTGGAATACATCTGAAAAAAACCCAAATGCGTACCTACATGTTTACTCACTTGTTCGACGGCTTGGCGGTATTTCTAAAAAATACATCCAAAGCCGCCCTAAAGTCTTCCACGTGGCGTTTCCCTAGGAACACTTCGGATTCGTCGACGATCAGCAAAATGGGCGCTTTGTGTCTTTGAATCCATTGGAACATCTCTTGCATTCGTGTGGCCATGTGACGTCCCAAAGGCGCTAGGTCCGTACCGGCCATTACCATATAGTCTATGTCGACGTTCAAAGCTAGTCTCTACGATAAGAAAAATATCTGTGAAATATAAATGTAAATGACAACAATATTATGTTGAAAATAGTACTTTTGCCAACAATGATTTTCCATTTCCTGGCGGTCCGTGAATGAACAAGTTTCTGAACGGATCCTGAGCGCGTCTTCTTATAAAAAAATCATCAAATAACTCACTGATAAAAAAAAAAACAAATAACATGCATGTAAACAATATTAAAAACTAATATGACAATACAAAATTTCGTAACCAAAGATGATGCGATCCCGTGCTTTATCAGCTGTTGAAATTTAAATGGAATATCAATAAGTGTATTTTTCTTACGTGTACTTTGTTTCCACTTCGCGAGAAAACATTAGGTTTTTCAAAAACGTTTTCAGCTCAGTCCTTTTCCGTATATTTTTTAACGTTGTAATTGGATGGGTAAAGGTTTCATAAGCCGATATAACGGATGTTTCGCGTACTAGCACTGGTGTTCCTACAAATGGAAATGTAAAATGTTCTTAATCTATTGATTGTAAAACAATAAAATTAAAGTTTGATTCTTCAGCGATAACAACTTAATATCTTCCGTTATATAATAATAATAAATAACTCATTTACAAGCGTTATTTGGTACCTATTTATATTAGATATAATTTTCTTGTGCTTAAAAAAAAATTCCATAGCGTAATGCAGTAGCTACAATACAGTGTAATACTATTGCAAACCCAATAAACGCTTCTTTATTCGTGGTTAGAAATTAGACTTGCTTATCAAAAAATACGTTGTACGATTATCTAGCATAGAATCTAATACAAAGCAAAATGCGTTTTACCGGTTAAATGAAGGATTTAGAGCAAAATTATTATAAATTCGAAAAATGATTACTTCTTGGAGTGAATGTCATAAATGTTTTTCAAAATATTTCCTAGAAGAATATAATAATATAGTAGTTGCTGTTAAAGAATTTTTAAAGTACTTTGTTTCAATACAAAGTAGGAAGTAAAATTCTGATGTCAAATATGGTATTCACTCTAAAATGATATCACCTCCGATTAAATAATTAGTGTTTTTTCTTTAAAACTATCTTGGGCCGAGTAAGCGCATTGCACGTGCCTAGCTGTATTTAGGGAAAACATAGTTGACATAGCTTGAGATAAACCTAAAATGTGTACAATTATATGGTTACATTGCAAAGAGGAACCTATATTTATTTTTAACGTTTATAACGCAGACCGCATTCAGGCTCTACTTTTGTACCAAACATGTTTTTTTTCTGAGGCGATAAGCAGCCTTAGAGCATAATTACGGATGTTCCGTATAAGCAAACTTAAATGAGTACTTAAAAATATAATATTATAAAATCAGGTTTATCCACATACACTTTGCATATTTGTATAAGCATTTTTGGATAACATTGTTTGCAACAAATTAATTATAGGCGTTTGAAACATATCTGAGGATCTATAAATTGGTCCCTGGTAGCAGAACAAATGCATGCAAATACATATGAATGAATAAATTCTTAATATTTCCCAGTGAGTGCATTTTCCAAGACGCAATGTGCCCAGCTTTTTAAATGCCTACATTTATATAATATTTATATTAAGTAATACGACGTCTTTAATATCGCAGTAATAATAAATCTTAACTTGCGATGATAGTTTTTTTACACTTGCACGTTGCATGAAAAATGAATTATTTTTTTTTACATACCCCATCTTTGTCTGAAATACTGTGCCGCTATCTTTGACGATCTGCGAAACGCGTAAGTACTCAAAGCCAACGTCGTCAGGCCCCAACAAAAATCCAACGTTGTTTCTGTGGGATTGGCGAATGGGATCCACGTTTCGAAAATTCCGTCATTAAGACTTACTCTGTTCAAATTTCACCAAAATTCATTAAGCGCGTTTCCAGTAAATGCTGTTTCAATATATATGTATATATACTTATAACCGGAATACAACGAAGTCGCCATCTCCGCCTGTACAACGGCATCGCTATTGACGAATTTCCCAATGAACGGCAATGCTTTAACGACCCTAGATCGACCGTCGTTTGATCCAAACAACCAGTCTAAAACCATTACTTGTTAGTTGATAATCTCGGAACGACAAAAAAAAAAATATATTGAAACACATTCAATATGTGATACCAGATGCGAGTGACGTTATTTTCTACCACAATAACTATTGGAAACAGAAAATATACAAGTGCAATAAGTCGGGCAAAAAAGGCCAGATAACAACGACAATTTGTATTTATTTATTTATGTAGTCATTTTATGTACGAGTCAATCGTTTTAAGTTTTTTAATACACGCGTTAACAGTAGCTCTTAAGAGGAATTATCGTACCACTAGAATAATTTCCAGACATTGTTTTTATATAATTATAGTTCAACAACAGTTGAATGGTGTAAGTTAAATTTCCATCCGTTAGTATTAATTCAAGTGGTATCCGTTATCGTGAAGAATAATGTTTATGATTTAATTTTTGAATTTTTTTTCACGGGAGTATTTCCAACCCGTACGAAAAACCCTGTAAAAATACATCCCTTGAAGTCAAGCTACAAGTGAGTTCTGTGCCATTTCAGATGACGCGTATCAAGGTGACCACAGTAAGACCGGAAACTCGGGAGGAGCGGGGGCAGCGGCCGACGAACCAGTCACCAGTAGCGAAAAGAATATCGTCCTCCACGGACCACCCTACGGCGGGCAACCAGGCTGATGGAGGAGGCCCTTGGACTTATTCGAGGTCACCAGGGACTTCCAAATAAAGTTAGAATCGCCTATGAGCATTATCGATAAGGGTGGGAAGCCCGCCACGACGGTCTACCACTCGCCTCGCGGTACGAGTGGGAGCAGGCACGTCGGCCAGGGGCTTCACCCTCATTGCCGCTGGCTGATCTATCGGACCGAACCTATGGTCACCGTCCAACACCAGGACCTGCCAGGAGCAAGTGACGTACCGCAGAGGATGAACACCGTCCGGCATCGACCACGCACCCCAGCATTGAGTTCACGTCACCATGCCGCTTGTACGTGATGGCTGATAGACAACGGCAAGTTCGACCACCGACACAAGTCAGCGTCAGCGAGCACCCCGCGGCTTAAATAACTTACAGGGCAGATTTACACCAAGAAAGTCATTGGCCCCCTTCACTGACGCCCTCAACCTCGAGAAAAATGACACCGAATCAGCTACAGCCATCGAAGATCCGGAAGGTGTGCCAAGGAGGTCGGGAGTGCCTGAAGCCTTCAGCTTTGTACCGGTGATCACTACCAGAGACCGTCCGAACTGTAAAAAAGTCGTTACAGTGTTTTATTTTCACCTTGCAAAGCTCACCCAACGCACGGCACGTTTGTATCAGCTAAAGAGATAACAATAATTTTTCGAAAATCCTTATGGCGTTATCGGGTAAAATACCCATATCATATGATGAAAGTACCAGAGAACGATATCTATGTATTTTTTTCTAATCAAATATTTAGAAAAAAAAATGAGAAAATCAAATGAAATGAGTAATGAGACTAATAAGTGACCAAAAGTAATTAACTATCAAAAAAGTGCAATAGTAAGGAAAAGCGACCCAGAAGCAGCTCTGTAAATATATTTTTTATAACTACTTACTTCTTTAACAAAAAGTGCATTATCATATTCTTTAACATACTTTTTAAAAAAATGATTCAATTTTGTGGACTTGTAATTGTAATAAACATTTATATAATTTATATAATTAACAAAACCGAAATTTGTCTACAATTGTAAACACGTGACTACTAATGTTATATGAATCCACGCAACTGATGCAGAGTTAATACATGTTAAAAAAAAATAACTACAGTATGAAACTATTGTAAGAAATTTGATAGATATGAGCTACTAATAAAATATGATCTCATATTATACCTGGTGTCCTAGTTTCAATATCAATTTAGAACGATTTAAATAATATTATGATCGCGTGACGCTCTCTGTCGGTTTGTTATTGAACTTGAATAGTGCAGATATTGCTTGTTTTTATGTAGCCGTACTGTTTATAATTTCCAACATACTATCCAGAATCTTTAAATAAATCTGCGTTATTAATGTTTATTGCGGATTTTACTCAACACGCGTTCATAAATAATGTATTTGTGAAAAAGTAGCCGCCTTATCGCCTGGACGCGTCGTGCCGCAATCTATATACAGCTGTGCCATAGAGGTCACCCTGCTCGTTCCTGCCAAAAAATCAATACCCTATCCGAGAGCCGTCCATTCGTGTTAGGGAAACACTTTCGATTGCACCTAAGATGGCGTGATAGTTGTAGCTGTTTGTGTAGTATTATTTTAGCAAGTTATAAAGCAACAGGCTATATAACGGCAATTTTATTTTTTTTTTTAGATTCAAAGCATACCTACAACTTACCGAGTTACATTGCTCTCGCTAAAAGTGTCATCGCTTAGTTTCGTATTGAAAGAAAGACATATTTACAATTCCACGGAAAACAACGACTGTTGGTATATTGCATTAACCGACGATCAAAAAAGTAAGCCAGTGGAGGACTGTGGTAACAAATACCACTGTGTGTGTTTATCTATTAGACACGCGAAACAAAACTATTCCTGATGAACAACTTTCAGGTAATATTATATAGTATCTAAATTCTAGACGTATACAAATTCCATAGGATTTTCATGCCTTTTGATTTCAGTACTATTTTAAGAATTTTAACTAGTTTACCCCTGTGTATCCAATAAATGCTCTCTAAGCCAGATTTTATTTTATGTTAACAGAACAATAATCGCTTTATTCTACTCTAAGAGATCATAATGCGTCAGTCTTTTTTTTTTTTTTTAATGAAACTAGGAGTTATGTACAATTTATCTCAGACAAAGAGTTCGCATAAGTGGTATTTATTAAGGTGTTTATAGAAAATGTTTTAAACTCTGTAAAATGAAACGACTGCAAAGCGACAACACAGTATTCACACAGTTATTAGATCACAGATGTTAAAATGTTGGTTAGCTCCTTGATAAAATGTATCTCCGGAACCAAAGCAGCTAAACAATCTTATTGTAGTAGTAACATTCTCTATGTATTGAACGATTTGACATAGGCATATTTTTTTTGCAATAACATAATTTTAAATTAAAATAATTCTAGTTATATTATGTACGATTTTTTTGTCAGACCATACGGCAATATTTACTTAAAACTTTTTCACTATTATTCTTTACTGTTACTTGTCGTTCTAAAAAACCAGCCTACTCTTGAGTAGGGTGTTTAGGCTTTTATTACAGACTGAAGTGATTATTAACAGAAAAAAGTAAATTTTAAATAATAATTAAAAATTAATCCATCTAAATAGAGATATTAACAAAAACCCAGGTGTATATTATCTAAAAGTTATCAAAATATGTTTCAAGTCTTCGCGGATCTGTGGATAGTAGGTTCAAACCAGTACAGTCCAAACCAAGCACAGTATAAACCAATACAATAAGAAAGTGTTATACGTAAGTGAGTAGTAAGTGCTAGAATTGGGGGGGGGGGCTGAGTACCCCAACTACTTTTTCAGAAACCTAAAAAAAATGCCTTTTCTTTTAAAGTAAAAACGTCCTATACGTTTATTTTTCCAATTTGAGTACTGGTAGTAGGTACTAAGTAGTATTAGTAAGTCAGGGAGGTCCATTGGCCACAGATAAAAATACAAATATCGATAAAAGCATTGTAGGTACCTAATAACAATTTTTAGTATTAGGGTAGATACGATTAGGGTTGATCGTCTGTCTATTAACATTTTTCACCATAGTTACCTACCCTTATATCGCAGTTAACAATATAATGAAAATATTTTCATAACCTGTTGACTGTAGATTCACTCACACATATCAACCTGGTAATTGACTCCTGGTAAGTGTAATTTTCCCCTTTTTTTGGGTTTAATAAATTGAATTTTTAGACCAGTTCTCGTTAGATGCCTATATCGTACTATGCTAATAAAAAATGTAATAATATTAAAGTCTTAATTAATATATAGGGAACTTTATTTTATTTTTATTTCAAAGATTCTTTGTAAATTGACAGTATCAATAGACACAATAATGCATTGCCAAATTTGGTAAACACTAATAGACATATATTTTTTAGGGTATGCAGCCGCCGAGGGCACCTATTCGAATATTCGACTTGGGACATAAACGACATTTGGGATTGATTACATCGTACGAATACAATCGTCTTTCGTCTTTGTACTGCTTATATAAAATGCGTTTCGAATGGGAAAAACCATCTGCACCTGCTGCCCCGGAAAACGAAGAAACCAAGGGCTACAATCAAATCACCAGCATTGAAATAGCTCCAAAAAACAACCAATTGTAATTAAAATTCGAATATACTTAAGTTTTATCAACATGCTTATGCGCTTAAAAATAACCTGTACATAATGTACAAACTGATAAAACCCCAAGTTAAAAATTATTTTCATAATATTTTTAGATTTTTTAAAATATGTTGACACTAATAGTAACCACAAAACCTAAATAAAAAATTTGTTTAATAAAAAATTATAACAAATAAAATTAAAGGGAACGAAAAAGCGCTATTTATTAAGGGACAATAGGTAGGCAATATGTATATATATGACAAAAATTGATCTATAATTTTATAGTACCCATTTTTAATGTGCCAACCAATTTTAAGGTGAACAAATATTAAATTTTTCTAATTATAATACTTTTAAAGGTATTTTTCTTCGAGTTTTGGCAAATGTTTGATAAATAATGACTTTTGTTGAAGTCGTTTTTTGGCGGTATTGGATGAATTTCATTTTTTGTTTTTCTTATGTGAAGCTTACCGTTTTTTCTATGGGGGCTAAAATATGAAAAAAACCTCGAAATTTGCGGAAATAGACAAAACACATTTATGAATTGGGATTTTTCAAAATTTAATTTTAACTTGTAGCTTATCTATCTATTTTTCGGACCATTCAGTAAAAATATGCAAATGCTGTAACTTTCGGGCCATAATCATTATGGTTTATGCATAACTGATCATGTGTAGGAAAGTATATTGACTGGTTCACTTCTAGCCTTATCTAACCCCATCTCATGTCGATTACCTATAGAATAACAACTATGGTATACAATATGTACACAGTACAAGGATATCTTTTTTAAATTTGTTGTGCCTGTTAACGATCCCAATGTGGCTTATTGCTGTATCTACCTTAGCCTACTCTCGCTTATAATGTTTCATCCTCACACGAGTCCCTAATGAGACAGGCTATGAAGTCCGATACGACTTCATTGCCCGTCTCGTATAAACCATCTAATATTGTTCTTAAAAAGTGTTTATCTTGTTTTACAGTGTGGGTGTTTTGACCAAAGACAGCGTTTTTGCCATTTACGACATACAAACAAATCCAAAGGTGTACCAGACAATTTTGAGCAAACGCATTCCCCACGACGACGCTAAGTTTTACGTGCCACCGAATTCAGTACACTGGCTTGGGAACTGCAACTCGTGCACGATCGGCACTAGACACAGTATACAGTTTTGGGATTGCACAGCAGAAAAACCTTCGATTATAGTGAAAATGAACACTAAAGTATTCAATCATGTGATTTCTACATCATATGAAGACACAACAGCCAACGACTACGTTGCCGGTACCTAGATACCCAGAACCAAACTCCAATGAATTGTCAATAATAATATTTATTTTGATTTGGGTCGTATGGTTGAGATAAGTGCGATCGGTGATCACGCTGTATGCTTTAAATACACGCGGGGCCCCATTTTTATTATATTCCGTTAGTTATAATTAAAAAAATAATTTCTCTAAAATATAATACTCATAATAAGCTATAATAAATTTTCTAGTTTTGAAATTAGATAAATCTATTCGTCTCGGGGTACTTATTAACATACTGAAACTCTTCACCGCACAAGCATACCTTTGCTCTGCTCTGCTATGGAAAACCCGGTATTTTGTTTTTATCTCAAAAAGTTAGTTGACATTTTAAGCTTTAAATTGACTACGCAGGTATTAATGTTTTGAGTTATTTGATATATATATATATATATATATATAATATAAATTATTTTAAAAGAGCCGGTATTACTCGTATAATTTACTAATTGATAGGTGTGGTATGATTTAATATAATTTATTATATACATATATATAATAAGATGTCTGTTAAAATAAAAATTAAATTTCATCTATATATTAGTAAATTATACGCATAATACCGGCCGCTTTAAAATAATTTGTACCGCATAACAAAATCATCAACAATTATACAGAATATAAGATAAAGACTTAATAGTAGAAGTCAATAATAATAATAACAAAAAAAATAGGAAAAATGAATTGTATTACCATTTGGAATAATATGTAATAACCAATAAGTTCTTAAGCTTACTTAAGTACTTATTTAACTACACATTACCTAACTCATAATTTTTGCTATTGATACGATCACTATGGAATCGGAAATGTATTCTACTCGTTTTTTTCAAATTTTAAAAAGTTCTTAATTTTATATAAGTAAAATAGCAATACATTTTTAATTAATAATTCAAATTGCATCCGTATTCGGCGCCAATGAGCTTAAGATCAGTCTAGCGTCGTGCGACGTCTCGGGCTATTATCTTGGAACGGGCAAAACGTTCTAGGATAATGGCCCTTAAAACGTTTTTTTGTCTTAGATTTGTTAATTTGTATTGGTTTTTTTTTTAATTTTAGTTTCGGGAAACAGAGGAAATGTGTTCCTAATCGATTCACGCGCTGGTTGTGCCGTAACAGAGTCGCAAACCGACGACCGAAGACCCATACGAACTATAGAATGGCATCCGACCAACAACCTGCAATACGCTATCGGTAACGATAATGGCAACATACAGTTGTGGGACATTCGTCATCAAAATAACAGCGTGCTCAAGTTCACTGACGACGAGTATTTTGACCGAGTTCCTTTGTTTAAGCCACAGATTACCGGGTTGAGGTTTTACAACAACGGAGCTAGTATTTTGTCGGTTGACATAAATGGAGATGTCCTGTCTTGGTATATAATAATATGTACACTTACCTATCGGTTCAAGGGGATTGCATGCAATCGGTTTTTAAACATTTTTGTACAGGCAATATTTAAAAGGGAATAAGTTTTAATACGTTTCGACCATGTCAATTAATTTGTATAAGCTTCAAGGAATTATTTTTAATTTAAATATATATATATATTTTTTACGAGTAAAAGCCGTTATTGGTTTATTTTAGACCAAAAATCCAGACAAAATTGTCGACTCCATCGATTCGAGTCCATTGGCTACTGTTTTGATAATAAAAAATCCGTTTCCTACTCAACCTAGTAAAGTTGGTACTATCCTAGGAGTCGAAATTTTGTCTGGATTTTCGGTGTAAAAAAAATAGACCGCATGCAATCCCCTTGACACATAAAAAAAATATATATTTTTTTTGCTCCAAATATACACTATAATTGTTACAATGGTACCACTAATACTAACTCAATGTCCTATGTAATATTATTTTAGGGACGTCGGTAGTGGTCGCATACAGCAGAAAAACTACGATCGCGTGCCAATGTGTAATCTCAATCGGAATACTTTCTACAAGGAATTCCAGTTCTCGACAACGAAAAATCTCAAACAAGACATAGCGTTCATGCCGTCCGAATGGGGATTGTACACTTTCGATATAAACACCGGCAATAAAATACATGCAATAGATAACCATTGCAGCATCATCTGTACAACGTACGACCCGAGAACGTTGCGCGTGTACGGAAGTACTGACAATTTCATCATGTCTTGGGCACCGCGTCCGCCATCCACCGACGAAGTAGTCGCTTAAGTGTTAACTGCCGTCTACTGAATTATATCCAAGCTAAAAAAAACAAAGTAAATGATAATGTATAATAAGACGTTTGCTTTAGTGTGTTCTCTTCCATGTTTTAAGTCGCATTTGAATAATACCAAGTCCAAGGCTTCACTACTACCTACTATTATATTTTTTACCGCCAATTAATTGTCACTACCATCTTTTACACGGTTTATTAAACTCGTGTCTTACCTTAATACACAGCAATTATTATAATATATAGGTACCTACCAATTTTTTATTTGCTTACAAATGAATACCATTGAACTGTTTTGTTATGTAATAAAATTATTTAATTTCTTCATGATCTCGTGGTCTTGTACTTGGATATTATTTTATTTTTAATAAAGTAAGATTGTCTAGGTAGCCGAGTGGACCTTAATATCTAAATATTACAGTTGTCAGAGGGGAGTTTAATAAAGTAAGAATGATAAGAGTGTTCAGAAAACTACAATATAGAGTAGGTCTAAACTGGCTATAAATTTTAACTTCTTAAGAGTTTTCTATCCAAATATATGTTTTTTTTGGATACGCTAGTAGTATATGTATTAGAATATAGTGTAAAAGCCAAGTTAACTATAACAATTAGGTATTATAACTTCTAGAGTACGTTTTAAATATATCTAATAAATAAACAAATAAATATTATACAATTCAAATTTTAATGTTATCAGTATTATAATTTATGGATTGTCAAAATATATTATTGTTAATAATAGCTTATTAGTATATTCTAGTGAGTATAAGAGTGATTATTATATAATATACATATATTGTTTACTGTTTAAGTTTGCCAAATTCAGAATAACTGAAATTTATATTATACAAAAATTAAATCGTATAAGATATAAAAATTATAATGTAAGGAACATTTTAAATTATAAACAATTAATAAAATGTAGTGAGCTGTTGATAATTAATCAGTATTTTTATTCATATATTTCACATAACCTGTACCATATATTTTTAACTTAACTTTTGCTACAACTAAAAATATAAGTCTGTGTAACGTAGAAGACGTCAACAACTGTTCGCAGAGTGTGAGACTCAAAAACCTGATACCTCTAGTATTGATTTGACGCTTATTCTAATGCACTTAATTAATAGACTAGTTATTAATTAAAAGTGACTAAAAAAAAAAATATAATAAAATTTAAATTTAGAAAAAATGGTAAAAATGTTGAAATACTTATTACTTATGCACAATCAAACAAATGGCATTAATTAGGGAAAACAATTTATTCACCAAATAAATATCAGTCTTAAGTTTTATAAATTATCAAAACACCAAAACTTTATACAAATAGATAATTAGAATTTTAACAAGAACTTAGATTTTTCAAAGATTCCATAAAATCTTCCTTGTTTACTACTACTTTGTTCACTTTAGTTTTACTCGTAACATCTGAAATCAAATACATTTAATTTGATTAATAAGCATTTACATTTAGTTCGAATTAAAAAAATTAATATTTAATTACCATTGCTATTGGATTTTTCTTCAATCACCCTTTTTGCACTGTTAAGCCAAGCGTTGTAACAAATCCCATACAATTCGGCACCAGTTATCGTAGGCGGTAAGTATTTAACAATATCTTCCAAACAACAATCTGAACTTAAGACAAACCTTAAAGCAAGATAAAAAAAACTATTATTTTTAAAATAACATTGATAAATAAAATCTTATTTTTACCAATATAACCGTAATTTCAATTATGTAAGAATTACTTTTTCGGTTTTTTTTATTTAAAGTAATGTTTTGGTAAACAGTTGTTTTTATAACAATATGGTTGATACCTTGATTAATGATCAATTTGAACTAAAATGTAAAATTTCAAACTCAATTGAAAAAATATTTTGTTCATCAGTAAAGTATGATCATTTAGTTCATTAAATATTTTTTCAACAACACATTTAGCATTTAAAACATATTTTTTGTGGTTTTTACAGAGTTATTCTTTTTTTAACTATACGGATAAACGTAAATTTCAAGCTAAAGTGGTGAGAACGGCTATTAGTTAGCTAGTAGTAAGTAGTAAGTACTTAATTGATTACTTGGTCAATATAAAAAAGTGGATGTTGTACCTAGTGGTTATTTAAATATGAAATTCCGAATTCTCTATCCACTATTATTATACTGCCTCTATTATTCTTAAGGTTTAAATAGTTTCTACGTTTTGGTAAGTTGGCAATCAACAGCAATCAAACAAGGTTGAGACACAAGGATAGGCGGGTACCATTTGACTCTCTAGATATTAGCCTGTCGAGAGACCAAAACTGCTGTCGAGTGATAAACCAGCGATCATTAATGAGAATTGGGAACACTACCGTCTTAATCTACTCGATCACAGCGCCCCATTTTACAGATTATTGTTAAATATAATTTAAAAATTCTTTAATTTTTATACTACATACTTTCTAGTGAGAGCTTTGAGAACATGAACTTTGGATTCTTTGTCGTTACATCCACCCACGTAAACGCTTTTATCGAGTCTAAAAAAAAACATACATAAAATCAAAACTATAAGCAAATTAAAAATATGTCATTATTTAATTATACCTTCCGGGACGCAATAAAGCAGAGTCAATAAGATCTGGTCTGTTGGTGGCACCCAAAACAAAAATTTGCTGATTGTCCGTACTAACACCATCCATTTCTGTTAAAAGTTGTGAAACAACTCTATAACAAATAAATATGTACAAAGAAATTAAATATTTAACACAACAACAGTTTATATTTGATGGGATTACCTATCTCCGACGCCACCTGAATCACCGTTCTGTCCTCGTTTAGGTGCCAATGAATCGAGCTCATCGAAAAATAATATGCAGGGAGCAGCTGAACGAGCTTTGCTAAAAACTGAAAATAAAAAAAAAAAACTAATATTATTAACAGTTTTTAGTTAACAATGAAGTTTATAAACAGTTCTTAGATTTTTTTCACTGTTGTAACAAAAGTAATTTATTAATCTACTGTATTTATTACTATTTAAGTAATTTTGTTAAGAACTCAAACTATATTTAAACATCGGAAAAATAATTACTATGATTGTCACACAACGAGTATAGAAATTTGATTACATTATAAAATTATAAGACTTTTAATAATGTATTGTGTACAATTATTTTTGAAAATAAGTGTTATTGTACGTTTACCTTCTCGCACATTGGCTTCGCTTTGTCCAATATACATGTTAAGTAACTCGGGGCCTTTCACTGATAAAAAGTTGTAATGACACTCGGTCGCCACAGCTTTTGCTAATAGTGTTTTCCCAGTTCCAGGAGGTCCGTAAAGCAATAATCCTAAAAACAAATGTACAAATCAATTACATATCATTTCAACACACATGTAAAAAAAAAAAAACTACCAGATCTTCTCATGTTGTTTGTTGAAGGTTTTAAGGCCGACATGATATCATCTTTTACACTTTTTAAGCCGCCTACGTCTTCCCAGTTAACAGTTTGTACCGACGGGGCTCCAATTGACTTGGAAAACATTGCATTTATTTTACCTTCAATGTAGAATAAATTATAAGTAGTTATTTATCAAAGTATAAATTATATTCATTCCAGAGATACCTAGGTGTTATAGGTGTATAACACCTATAACACCTACATAGATCTTAAAGCTTCTTGAGTACAGTAAAACCTATCTAAACTAATTTGTATGGAATCGAAAAAAAATGTTTAAAAAAAAATGCTTTTTAATTACCCCCCCCCTCTCCGAAAATGACAGTAGATTATTTAAATAAGAGATATCAAAAATGTAAGATCTCTAGATCAACCTCAATCACATTGTCATGATTTATTATTCTGCATTTTATTTAACTTGGAAATTTAAATGTTTTAATACGAAATTTCTAACTTGAAAACTTGTAAAGATTACTTAAGTTAAAATATGACACTGCAAAATTACTGTTTTGTAATTTTACGATAAAAATTTGTTTTCATGTTACAGCCCATTGAAACCGATAAACCTGTTACCTTTAAAAATTTTAAGAAAAAAGGATTTTCAACTGTCATATTTCAACAAATATTAATCAAATGAAAAAAAATCTTTATCTATCAAAAAGTAAACTGTATAAAACAGAAAAATAGACCTCTGTATAAGTTACAGAACAATTACTTACTTATCGCAAACATTATGTCGGATTCTGTTAAATTGATTTCAGAAGTCGGTTGGTCAGTAATACTTAATTTACGTCTGAAATGTAATACCAATTTACACAGCTGTATTAAATTAAAAACATGAAATTGTTATAACAAACTTTGAAGCTATCAACAACATTGTCATATAGTCAGAGTAATTGTAGCCAGACGTTTGATCGACGATTTTATTAATTAACCGCGTATCCATAACAACAGATTCCTTCTTTAATATCCATTTCAGCAGTTTTTCACAATTTATTTTATCCAAGCTTGCAATTTCTTGAGTTTGTAGGAACAGTCTGAGAAAACTAGGACTGAGTTTTTCCTTTGAATTTGTTGTACCCACGATTATAATTGGTTTAGTAGTTTTAATTTGAATTTGTTTAGACAGAATGTTTATGACCTCTAGTTCTAAATCCTTAGTTGAAGACAAACAAAGGGCCTTAAATTTTGAAAAAAAATATATGTATGACACTATTAAGACATAATATTTATTTAATCAAAACTAGTAAATTCAATTTTATATTAAAATACTTTTCTTACCTCAACGTTTTCCAAGTGTAAAAGACATGGTGTATTTTTCCGAATGCTTTCAAAGAAATGTTCAATTTTTTTTTTAAACTGTGCTACATTATTTGTTGGCCAATCGTAACAACATTGCGTTATATATTTTACTCCCATAAACCGAGCTATCGATTCTATCAACAAGTCTTTACCGCATCCTCTATTTCCGTAAACCAAAAAAAATGGTTTTAGCGACTGAAAATCTAAATACAGATGTTTATATAAATGAACATTTATTAAAGAAAAAATGATAAATGCTGTCTACTTGCCAACGGTATTGTTGCTAATAAACGGCTGAATCCACGATTCTAATACTTTTCCGTAAATTGTCATACCATCAGGAAGGACATCAAGCAAATAATTGTTAAAATTGTCTATATTTATGTCGGTAGTATCATATGGCGAATAATACATATCCCGAGGTAAATATGTATTGTCTAAACATTTAACTTCAACTAATTTTGTTTGAGTATTAGAAATATAGTAACTTCTTCTAGATTTATATACAATGTCATCAGCAGATTTTCCATTTAAGTTGACAATTTTAATAAAAACACTTGTCGCTCTTGAAGGTTTTATTAAATATTCTGATTCTGGATACCACTGATTAAGATCTATTTTAAAAACATCACCAACCGATACAAATTTCAAATGAGAAAAATAATTATAAAATGCTTTGTCCAACAAAGTTTGTGTATCATCATTAAAATCAAATGGCTTTGATACTGCTATTGAGGCTTCTTCAGCTATTTTTGGTTTGATAATTTTTAAGGGTACGACTAATCTTAATTTTTCAACACAGCTAGAATTGTCACAGTTTTTTATGTTGAATAAATTTGTTGAAGTCAGAAGACATGTGTTTTCTTTTAGATCACATAGCACTAATATTCTATTCAAATGCAATACTGGAAGTTTATTCGAATCTTTTATTTTCACATTCATCATCACCCATTCCATATTTTTTAACTTGTATTCATCAAACAACGTTTTACTTATAAATATGCATTTGTGAATGTTTAAAGAATATTTCTTTATGATTTGGTGTCCATAACCATCAATTAAAAGCTTTTCTAGTACATTATCGGGTATACATTTAAATGGTAACTCTAAGCCAAATAAGACTTCAATGAGATCTAGAAATAGTTCTTTGATTATTGCAGCAGCTTGATCTCTATTAAAACAAATTCTTAACACGTAACAGATCATTCGAGCAAGCTTAAAAAAAAACATGTTTTTACGCGCCATCTTCAATTTGCACCTAAAACAAATAAATAATAACATTATTTAAAATAGTTTACTTTGTAACTAATTGTTTTCATTATAATGCTTGCAATTGTTTGAAAATAAACTAATTAATTCATTTTTTCCATTCGAAGTATTACAATGTCTATAAATAAATTTGTGTGGCATTATTGACCGGGATTTTGGCTAACTTGGTCCTCACCGGTCGGCCTAGTCTATAAAATGCTGTAAATACTCATTTTTTATTTTGCAAAGTAAAAAGGTTGATATTGTGCTTACTTAACAGAAAATTCTGCTAATCGCTAGACCGATTTGACTCAAGAACTCAGTTACCCTAAGCGGCGAGTACAATAGGGTTGTCAACGTCAAAACTCAATCCCTTCAACAACTAGTCATTGTAATAAAAAATGTGCTTTCTTAACAATCAAACATTCAAGTATGTTAACACATTCACTGCGGTACAATTAGTAAGTATGCTCACATGTGAGTAAGAAAATTAGGGTTTTTTTTTTTGACGACAATAAAAGTTGTCTGCATTACATACAAACTTTATGATCACATGCTGTTTGACGCCAAACTAACCTCACGACTAAACATATTTTATGTTATCAAATAATAACTCGCAGACATCACTAAAAAAATACTCCCGAAAGTTATTGTTTAAAAATAATAAATTTCAACAAGTCGTGGCCAAGAGGGTTACTACGGCAGTGCTTCTACACACTAGCCGTGGTACTAATCTTGGTCACTAGTCGTTTCTCTAGCTAGATGGTCAACCGCCTGGAGAAAAAAATGGCTACCCGACTGGTGCAGAAATCAACGAGAAACCACCGCATCTTACATACCCACTTCCTCAGGATAGCAACTCTTGTCTCTTGTAGAGTAAGAGTAAGAGTTGTCCAACTGACCTAAACTGGTCATAAAAATCATTTCAATAAAATGACAATATTGACCTTTCACCCAATAGAATATAAAAAATATATTAAAAAACAGGAATATCGATGTATGACTTGCACCTGTGTATTAAATAATATTTATGGATAACGCTGACAAAATTGTAGTACATTTGAAACACAAGTTGTCGTAACGCTTTTTGGCATCATCCGCACTAAATGTGTTAATATGATTAATAGGCGACAACTAAATTCATCACCGGTATGATCGTAGTACTATTGTACTTTCATAGATTTTAAGGAGAATATATGAATAGTAAAAATATTATCTGTACAAAATTGGATGATAAAAGACAATTACTTAATTAAACTCATTGTAGAGTAAGAGACATTAGCTAGTAGGTTAACAAAATATATTTATTGTGGTGTAACTTTTAGACAATGCCTAACGGAAATCATTATTTACTTTTTCTAATTTCAAAACTTGTTGGCCTAACTTCATTTTTAGGATAAAATTATTGTAGAATAAAATAACTGTTTAATTACTTATTTTCTGATGAATATATCATGTCGTCACAAATGGTTCATATTATAGCAAATACTGTGACAGTATTATGTAATATATTATTCTTCAACTCGTTCAATGACGTTAAAACTATAACAATCTAAATAAAAGTGTAAAAAATACATTGTTTGTCGTTTGATTCCAAATGACAGCGGTGTGAATATGTGATCTAATGTGTACTGGGGTCTGGGATTGAAAATTATAATATTTGATAAGGACCACACTGATAATACATGGAAATAGTCAATAATATTGACGCAGGCGCATACAACAGTAAAGCGTTTTGGTTTTTGCGCACTACCGTTCTTATATGGTATTATAAAGTATAGATTTAAGATTATGAGTTGCTTCAAGTCTCCACCCAAATAAATCCCTAATAGGCAATAATATTTACATTTTGTTTGGACTACTTATGGAATTAGTTGTACACAGCTAACAGAAACTTTATTTTGGGGTGAACTGAAGCTGTATTTATAAATATATTATGTATAGTTAGTAGGAATCATAAAATCAATGACTATATTAAATATTGTAAATACTCAATATTTTAAGATTTTTACTATATTATTATTCATTATTATTAATGATTATTGTTTTATATTTGTCATGTCTTCCAACTTAGCTGTTTGCGGTAATATCGATAATTTTCAGATACATTTTTTTTTAATTTATCCAATGCTATACATATTATGTACAAAAACATTTGTACAATTTTTTTAATTTTGTATTGAAATTTGTTACAAATATTTTCCTAATAATGTATACAATCAAATACAAATGTTAACCTATACAACATTTTATCATGTATTTTTTCTTATTTACCATAATTTTTATCATGATTTAACTCTCAAAATTATATACTTCAGACTAATCGTTTAGGTAGAAATGGCTATTGTTAAAGATAGCATAAAAGACTATAGTGTTAGTACTTTATCTGTCTCGACGCACTTCAACATTACTCCACAAAGCATCATGTCAACAGCTAACACAATAAATTAACATATTATTTAAGACTTAAGTAAATAGGTTTTATAAAAATTGACATTACAGTAATGATATTGTCCAATGACAAAATGTACATACGTATATATGACATTAAGAATTGGGTAAAATATCACTTATAACTGCTTTAAATAATCCAAATGAAAAAAAAACAACAAAATTAAAAATAAAACAACTCAAGTTATCATTTATTTGTTCTTTTTCTTTTTTGCTGGCGGTTGAACAAATGTGTATACTTTTTTATTGTCGGGTTTGTTAAGGTTCTTAAATTTTCCTAAACCGCCACCACCGTGACGTTTTCGTGGGCGAATGGCTTTTGCATTAAGTTCGACTGCTGGAGGGGTGGAAAATCCAAACGATTTAGCCACTTGCACAATATCCAATGTTCCGACATCGAATATCTGTTTGAGATGATGAGAATCATATGCGCGAACATAAGATTTAAAGGCTTCTTTAGCAGAAATGTGTAAAAAATAATTTTTTGCTACGAGTTTCTCAAGTTGTAGTTGAATATCTGATATCTTATTCCATGAAAATTCAAACTCGTTCAATGGAACTTTGGCTTTTTTCAGATATTGTAAAAATCCCAACTCTTCTGGTCGCAGAATAAGTAAAGCGTGGCCACTACTGCCTTCACCACGAGCTGTACGTCCAACACGATGAATATATTCCTTAAGACAAACAAAGAGAATACATTATTTTCCTAATAAATAAAACATAGTTTTAATCATATCATGGTGTTTATGAAGCCACTTTTAACTATCAACTCAAACATCTGTTCTTTTTAATATAATAATAGTTATAAGTCACGTTTAGAACAAATATTATATTTTTTAATTAATCTGCTGAGCACTTTTATAAAAAAAGTTGTGTTGTTGGTTTTTTATTTTTATTAAAATGTAAAAAAGAAATTTTATATTGTAAAATAAATGTAAGTAGGTACATCTAATTATCTATTGAAATTATGAACGTTATCAGTAGGTTAACTTTACTTATACAATACAAGATTTCAGTATAATGTAATTATTTAATCTTATCGGTACTAATACAGATTTTGTGTAAGATTTTTTAATAGAAAAAATCTAGAGAAAAAAAATTCACTACCAGACTAGTCAGTAGTTTCCTGGGAAATGTTTTTTTACAATACTATCTCTAGGAGATTAGATCATTATTTTTAAGTCGTTTCATGAACACCAAGATCTTTATACAGTGAATCCTGTTAAAGATGGATCCCGAATAAACTGGAAATTTTAAAATGTGTTTATGGTCCCAACAAATCACTTTACATGTATATTTTAATAAATAAGAACAAATAATTGCTCAATATGAAATTTTTGTTGGGTCCCATACGAGTCTACCTTAGACAGGTTTCACTGTTATTTGTTTAAGTAAAGTACACACTTTAGGATCATCAGGTGGATCATACTGAACAATCCAATCAACTAATGGAATATCTAATCCACGAGCCGCTACATCTGTGCACAGGAGTATACCAGTTTCTGCATTACAAAACTGGAAAAATGTAGTTGTCCGCTTTTCTTGTTTTTGCTTGCCCTGAAAAATTGATTTTTATGTCAACAATACATACTTTTTAATTCTAAAACAATTTAATGTCTTATATAATATTATATACACAGTTAATAACGTTGACATTATAGATACTATTTTTATAATTTGCTTATATTGCAAGTGTAGGGAAATATTTGCTATTTTATCTGCAAACCCATATTGTTTGATTTTTCTGTCCTCAAAATATAGAACACTCTATTTTCACAATACAGTTTTTTGGACAATGTTTAATAAAAATAGATAGAACAAATTTTTACAGTGTAAATACAGACTCTAACAAAATATGCTACTCATTAAATTCAATAAAACCATACACAAGATATATTAACTATGAAATAATTGTCGAAAAAATAATTGTGAGTAAATATTATAACTATTATTTTTCTATTACATGTTTATGTATAAAAAATGTATACTTACATGTATACACATAACAGGCATATCTATGTAGTTGAGCAACTCATGAAAATATTTTACTGCTAAGCATGAACTGAAGAATACCATCACTTTCTTATTTCTATTTTTCTTTAAAAATGTGAATAACAATAGAAAACGTTTTTCCGACGGACATACTACATATCCTTGCTCTAATCCTTCAACAGTTGCTTCATCTTTACTGTCATCTACGCCTATATAGATGGGTTCTTTTTTGAGTGCAAAGGTAGTTAACGCATCGGTTTTAGGTGTTTTGGTAGCACTGAACAACATAGTTTGCCTTCTTTCTATAAGATATTAAATCATTATTAAAACTTAATAAAATAGTTTTATTGGCAGTAACATACTAGGTAATAAATTGATAATTTGTTTTATTTCTTCTTCAAATCCAATATCCAGTATACGATCGGCTTCATCGATGATGAGACATTGAAGATTTTTGTATAAAAAGTCCGGAGAATTTTGCAAATGATCTAATAATCGTCCAGGTGTCGCAACAATTATATTTATTCCTATAAAATAATACAAAAAAGTTATTAAATTTAGTAATATGTTTAGAGTAACACAATTCTATGATAAACACTAAATTGTTTTAAGTAATTTTATTTGTCTTACACTTCAGTAGAATTCTCAAATTTTTAATATTTAATTAGTTATCAATACTTAGCGTTGCTAAAAATATTTTGTAAATGTTTTATTCTAGTCTAATAGTAACAATAAAACTAACAAAATATTGACAATTTTTAAGTTTCATGCCTCATTGATAAAATCTTAAGAACGGAAATTTGTACTTATGTAGTTTAAATGATATTGTTACAAAATTAACATATAAATTAAAACATATTCTGTCAAGAATATCAATCATGAATTACTAGACTTAAGAAAAAAAAATCGTAAATGATATTAATCAAAATAATTCAATTAAAATGAAGGGTTCTTGATAAATACCTTTAGACAATTTTGTAGCTTCAGTTTGTCTGTTAGCACCGCCCATTATTAGACCGTAGGTATGATGATGATGTTTCATCAACTCTTTTAGAACACCATACGTCTGCATTGAGAGCTCTCTCGTAGGAGAAATTATAATTACGCCAGTGCCATTTCTCGGCATGAACTTTAATTTATAAATAAGTTCTACGGCAGGCACTAGAAACGCTAATGTTTTCCCACTTCCCGTTTTGGCTGCTCCAACTAAATCTCTACCTTCTAATAAAGGTGGTATCGTCTTTGCTTGAATTTCAGTCATTGTCGTAAAACCCATGTCTGCGATACCTTTCATAGTGTTTTCGCATACATGGCCTTCTAAACTACTAAAACTTCGTTCTGCGGCCATGATTTTTAACTCGAGGCTAGAGCCTGGTAGTACTGAAAATATTATACAACAAAAACAATTATTCAAAATAACATAATTACAATAGTTATTGTTATAACTTATACTTACAACTGTCATCGGCCATCGTGTTTTGAAGTTGTACGAACTTTAAAACAAATAATAGAATTCAAAAACAAATTCTTTTCAGTGCCAACAAAAAAGTTATAGGTTATAAACACACCGTACAAGACACATGACTTTAACGTAAATTATTGTAATTCAAGTTACAATTTTTACTAACTGACGAAAAATTGCAAATATAATTGTACTACGTACAAGAATATAAATGAAATATTAATTAAACTTTATCATTGTTATTATTCTTGTATCAACTGTCAGGCGATGTACGAGACAACGTGAGAAATGAGCATTAAGCACGTTGTTGTTGGGTTGGTGTGAGTTGAACCTGAAATCTACGGTTTACACTCTTATCGTGTTATCACGGGTAATAAACGTTGTTGTTATCAGATTGGAATTTGTGTAACCGTGTTCACAGCTAAAGTGGTATTTTGTTATCAAAAAAGTATCGTCGTTATCACTCCAGTGTCAAAATTATAATATACCAATTTTCAAAGATTATGAATCAAATTATTATTTCAAAGATACAAATTATTCAATTTGGGTAGCCACTACCCAGTAGGTAAGGTCAGTGGCGGATTTTACTCAGAAAAAATTGGATATTTGGGGATTGAATCCTTGGCCCAGCTCTCACAAATTTGTTTTCTTTAACATTTTGTAAAACAAAAATTGAGACAGATAACAATTTCTATAGTTGGTTCTTACAATTTAAAATTTGGGAAGTCATAATTAAACGTATAATTTAACATGCCTAAAGTAATAATGTATACTGATAACTGATTGCACTAATTGGATATGCTTAAAATTTAAGTATGGTTTAACAATACTAAAACTGTAGGTAAAACTCTACTTACAATTTTAGTATAGTTGGTGTAAACGGCTATAAGTTCACTAAATTTTTATATAAAATACGTGAACAATATGATTTGTGCTCAAACGTCGTATTTTTTTAGATAAATCGAATAATCTTACCTTCGATGCGAGAAGCTATTGGTTTTATAATAATGTTTTTTTTTTTTTTATTTAGACCCAAAAAAATTTTTTCCTGATGACCGATTTACTCGTGTAGCACGACTTTTAGATCCGGAATCGATGCAGTTGGTACTGTGTTGGGTCAAAAGAAGAAAAAGGTTTTAAGAGCTGAAAATTCGTTTGAGGTATGTCTAACATATACCGATAAAATATGTAAAAAAAACCTGTGGTCAAAATTTTATAATGAAAAAATGACTGAAACACTATAAATGTAAATTTTGAAGATTAATATGAGTTTAACAACTTGAAAATTATGATATGACCTGTTATATAATCACAAAACAAATTTATTGTAAATCCGCCCCCCTACTCCCCTCCTTCCCAAATTTTTAAAGCACAATAATTAATATCCACCACAATATTCAAAAATTTCAATAAATGGCTGAACACATTTAAAAATAGGTTTGTTATTGACTTACAGAGGATACAAACAAAACAAAATACCTCACAAATCTCTACATTATGTCAATCACTTTCAAACACCTTTCAACATTTTTTGAGGGCGGGGAATGACGCTATGGAAATGTAGGTACCCTGTAAGGTACTATATTGGCCAAAAACTTTAAAGAATCATCCCTTCCCGTTTCAAATCGACAAAAACACCCAACATTTTATCGATATTTTTATTTTTTACTGTGAACACTGGACTTCCTTTAATATTATTTTTTTTTACATTTTTAGATAGTAGGTTTCTTAGCACTTTTTAAATAAATTATTAAAAATCAATGAATTGAATTATCAAAATTAAGCGAAATATTAACTAAAAAACCATAATTTTTTTTAAAACGTTTACTACTACCTAAGTCTTATTATATTGACAATAGAAATGGTGAATGATTATTTTTATTTATTATTTACTGAATTTTTTTTTGGGGGGGGGGCCTTTGTAATATTTACGGATTGGACCTTTTTCCTTAAATCCGTCACTGGCCGTAAGGTGTACAGTTACCTACAGATAAATCTTAGCCAGTGGGTACGAATAAACATATTGCATAGCTTAAAAGTTAAATAATATTATTAATACCATATATTTGATTGTGAAATTGGTTGACTTTACTAATTACTAAGTGGTCGAGCTTAGTTTTTGTAATCTCTAATAGCTTACACGATGCTCATTACTTGCAATAATGTGTTAGTCTGGTGCCTAAGTTTTTATTTAGACTTTTGATATGACTAACAATTAGTACCTGGATTTATACAACTTTAATCTTTAACTAAGAAAATGTTTTTTTTTTCTAAATTGATTAAAACTCCTTTAAGTTAGATTTAAATAACATTTAATTTATTAATTTTTCAGGTTTTCATTAATTTGCGTTATTCGTGCGATGCAGTTTTCAAAACGTATTGTTAATAAGTCTCATAGCGGCCAGTTGGCCGTCTTGTCCGGTGTTCTTGGCTAACACAGTATTCACACATGCCCATGCCGTTACAGTCGCAGTCGACACGTACCCATTGCGTTTGTGGTGGTAACTGCGGGCCAATGTACCCGTTGTTGATGGCGTGTGCGTAGTATTCTTCTATTTGGGGCGGTAGCCGAGGTCCGTGGTCTCTCACCCACAAGCTCTCGTCTACGGTACGTGGTCTTTCCGGGGGGGCGCTCCGATTGCCACGACGGAAGTTGGTCACGCGTCGCGACGCCCTCACGTAAGCCGGCCCCGAGCTCGCCGGCCTTCTTCTTTCGTTCCTGGCAGCCCTTTCCGTGGCTGTCAGGTACGAGGCCATCGTGTTGGCCTGGGGATCTTCGTTCGATATTAAGTAACAGTCGTACTGGTGTTGCGACTGGGCGCCGCGGACGTTAACGTTGCCCTCGCCTCCGCTCGACCGACACGGACAGCCGGAAGAGGACGAGCGTCTGGTGGAAGAGTTGCCCCGGCACTCGGACAGATTACGGCCGCCCCGCCGATTGTCGTTTAGCCAGTCGCAGTCCGAGGGGGGCGTCAGCGGGGACGGGGGCGAACATGCAGTCATGCAACGCCGGCCATCGTTTTTTTTCGGCGTGGATTGACCGAGCGGCACAGGGGCCTCTCTCGTGCCTCTATAGTCGGTCATCATTTGTCGGTAGCCTGTGTACTGCTGTCGCGTGTTACAGGCGGCTGGAGCTTCTCTCATCGCTTCGAGTCGCGCCATGTTCTCGCGGTCCCTGTGCCGTTCTATGCGTCTAGCTTCTGCCATCCGTTCCGCCGCCAACTGTTCCCGTTCCAGCCGCTCCATCGCCAGCCGTTCGCACTGCCTGTGCCGTTCCAAACGCCTGATTTCCGCCTGCTGTTCGGCCACTAGCCGTTCGCGTTCCGCCTGTTCTCGTTCCTTGCGTTCCCGGTCCAGCCGGAATTGTTGGTCCACCATCCCTTTGGCGCGCCGCTCGCACTCTGCCCGCTCTTGTTCTTGTCGGCACGCCGGCGGCTGCTGTCGCCGCGTGCACTGGTCAGCGTTATTTCTTTGCGACGGTTGTGGCCGCGATCGGCACTCGTTGGCGGTCATGCCTCGTGTCCGGGCGCACGTGTCGCCAACCTCTGGTTCGTCATCGAACTCTAGTCGCATCGGTCGAAGCGGCCGTCTCTGGACAGCCGCAGTCGGTCGGGGCTCCGGCTCGTCGTCGAACACTAGTTGTGTCGGTTGAATCATCCGTCCCTGGGCGGCCGCAGCCGGTCTGGACGTCCGCGGCGTTTCGCACACTTGTTCGGCATTGCAGCTTCGGTTGCCGGGGAGACGCGGTGGCGGCCGACGCCTGGACGACCGTTCGTCGTTGATCTGGGCGGCTATTTGCTGTCTCAACCGACGCAGCGATCGTTCGGCCTCGGCCAGCTGGTCGTCTTCCGGGCCGCTAGGTACACAGCTCGACTGCGGACGTCGGCCCGGCGACGCACCGGCTCGACGGCGTGCCGACGAGCCGCCGTTGTCTGTTTCTATAGAATTTCGACGTCGCCTCTCGTTATTGACCAGCCTGTTTTCCGCGAGAGGAGGTCTGTTTGGCCTATCATCGCCCTTATTAGATTTCATATATATTCTTATTACGTGATTAATAATAAAAAAATAAATTTAATTTCAAGTGTTTAAGACGAAATTTTAAGCTATTTAATTACCTCATTTTTTTATGGACTATTTATCTATTTAAGTTTTTAATATTAACACTAGTTGGTTGGCACTTGACGACCATTTCGTTTCTACGGCCACGGTACCTTAACGAGATAGATAACGAGTAATGACTAACCAATTCATTTTTATTTTAGTACCTTCGTTAATTTATCATGATCATTATACAGATATAGTTAATATAAATTAAAATTACATTTTCCAAGCGGCTCTTCTAGGTTATTATTGTATTACATGTCGACCAGTATAGTTTTAATATTGTGATCCTCAATCGGCCACTGCAGCAAAAACCTTAATACCTTCAATGGCCAATGGTATGGTGTTTAGTCACGGGTCTATAGGAATATTATTAGGTACAACTGAAAGTGACAAAATCCCTTTAAAAAAAAACGTTTCGATGCGAATCTGTAATACCTAGTAGGTAGTAATACGAATATCTTTGTAAAAGCATTGTACTGATTGACAATAATATGCTTAAAACATGTATCTGTTATTAGTATTAGGGTGGATACGATTAAGGTTAGGTTAGCGTCCACCTGTACGGCTCGTTTACAAAACCATATTGTCAGTTGTAGCAAACGGGGGCGGCGGTCTGTTCGCAAAAATATTATCGTCGGCCAACACATTAGGTACCTACATATGGCACCTGTTCTTTCTTCGTGTTCCGCGTGCATACAAAGGTCCTGTCCATTGTTATTATTAAGAGATTTATATATTTTTCTCTCTATTTTTCTAATACACCACACACGTACAAAGAACGCCAGACCTACATATACATTATATTCACGTACGATATATTTACAGCGATATTGTATATCGGCATGCCACGGGTTCCCCCACCGCGGGCTCAGCCTCACAACCGGTTGTATTTATAGTGTGGTCGATCCGTACGCGCCGGGCCGAGCGCACAACGGCCTACAGTATTTCTCGCAGTGTGTGTGCGTGTGCAAGCGCCGGCGAGAGTAGTGCTCGTTTTTTTGTACACTCGGTGAGTAAACGGCTATTATTATTATTATTATTATTCTTATTATTGTTCTTAAATATAATTGTCATTACTTGCTCGGTTATTGCTCGCTCAGTAGGTTTACCGCGAAACGGCCCTTCGATATTCGTCCGTTGGAATATATTATTATAATTATCCAATAATATTACTACGATAGTCGGGGCAAAAACCGATTTTGTATTATGTATCCGTTTAGACGTTTTAAACTCTGCAAAAAAAAAAATATATTATAATAATATTTTATAAAAACAAATAAGTTAAGACACGTTTGTCGGCAGATCGGCGATCAGTTTGGTCTATACAAATTATTGTTTCATAATATTATGTTACTAGTACTCGCAGGGATTCGCTTAGGGTTTTTTTTCTATTCCTAGTGTACAACCCGAACACATGACACTTTGTCCTCCGCCTACTGTTGAACGTGCGGCGCACATGTGGTGCACATCCGTCGTGTCGGTCCTTAAAATACCATTCGGACCGGCAGCTGCTGCATCAGATTAACATTTCTAACGTGCATTTGTGTGTTTACAGATGACTTGCCAACAGCGACGTTGTGCCTGAAGACGTTCGACAAACAACTAAAAATGTCGTTGCTCGGCACGACACGGCCGGCCGTCCTGTTACTACTGCTCGTCTTATCAGGTAGGTAGTGCGCTTGATTTAAGAAAAATTATCGCCACGGGTACAGCATTATTGTTGTTTTAGTAAAAGCAAAAAAAAAAAAATGCGTTTTTGTCCCCGGCCTAAAATGTCGGATGAAATCGTTTGAAAGTGGCCCAAATTATCCGAAGAATGGCTGGTTTATATTTTATTTTTAAATACCGAGTCTGTTTCAACGCGAATTCGTTTTTATTAATGTGATTTGTCCCTCTTGGACCTGTACGGACCACGGCCCATTAGTTATTACTTTAGGAAGTTGGCAACTTGTTAGACAGACATGTTTGTTGGAAATAAAACTCGCTATCGATAACCTTAAAACGCTTTAGATAAGTTCAAATTAGCTCCACGGTCGTACTTAAACCCTAGAGACTAGCATTTAGCTAATTTGCATAATGGTGATTGATCAAGTTCGACCTGGCGGCTGTCAGATTTTCTATTTTGCTGACTTTCGTCTTTGTTATTTGAGTTTTTACTAATTTTTATTTAGGTATTTTTGTTTTTTAATTTGTGGTTAACAGAGTGGATTTATGGTCAGGCAACATAGGTGTAGGAAAGAATATTTAACGACTTGTTATGCTTTTAAATTCTAAAATTGATAAATAAATTAAATTTAATATACAATGACAGGGTGGCAAATATTATTTAATTTGGGGTGGAAAATCTTAAAATCCTCCTCTGATATTCCACTTAAAAGTTCAGTACTTCCTTCTTATAAACATTTTATAATTAAAGTTCTTTGACATTACAGCTGTACCAATTTAAAAACTTTTTTAGATTTAGTAGACATTTTAGATTAAACAATTATCATTTTTTTTTTAAATTTAAGTTCTGTCATCAACAAAACTGACATTGTAAAACCCAGATAAGTTAATTTGGTTATAAACAAATATAGTACTTACCTAATATGTATAATTTTATTAGTTTACTATTTAGTATATGTGTTTCTATTTATAATAGTAATACATAGTTTTACAAATTAAATTTTCCATTACGATCTGATTAAAAATTTGCCCATATCTAAGACTTAAAATTAAGATTTATATTTAAAAAAAAACTTTACCCAATGAGTGTTACAGATGTTACAGATTAATACTTAGCGTGAACAAAATATATATTGCCACGCTATTTATGAAATATTATTAGCCATAGGAAGTACTTGGTCATTACCGCTTGAATTCGACCATAATAATGCAACAACTATGTTTATAAAAGCAAACGTTTTGTTTATTAACAGGTACCTTTAAAACAATTTGCCCTTTATGAAACATGAAAACTTTTTTATTGTTGAGAATATAGATAAGATCTACAATTATAACGATTGTCAACTAAAATTTATTAAAAAAAAAAATAACGTCCTTCGTTGGGCTGTCATTAAAAATGATAATTTCTAATATTTTGAGGGATGGATAACTTTATCAAGGCGTCCACTATTTTCTGTAATTTATAAATTAATTTAATATATTATGCAATGAAAACATGAATATGAATAAATAGGAAGTTTTCCTAATCTTATCGTCTAAGGCGTGACTTACTATCTAGTAGGTAGGTAACAGCTGAAGAATAACAGAGCTGTGTGTTTGATAGTAATTAAATCTTTTTTTTTTAGGTCTTTTTAAAAATGTTATAATTTTAATATAGGCGTCTTTAGGACCTTTAGATCGGTTACAATAAAAAAAAATTAAACCAAATCTTAGGCCTTAATAATTTTGATGTTTACACGTGGTCACTTACTTTTCAATAGACTGCAGAGCGTGGGATAGATTTAGCCTATGTATGCAGTTTAACTCTCTGTCGAATTTTTTTTCGGAATATTTGTAATTTTACGTTGAAAACAACATTGAAGGCGATTTCAGCGGTCGAACTTACATTGTGGAAGTAACAAGCAAAACATTTATTATGCTTCTATTTTTTTAATACTGATTTTTTTCATCAACTAAGTTTGTCAATATTACCATTTTAAGATACCTAATGGTGGAGACAAAAATGAACACCTAACTTACTTTTAAAGTCATAAGCAAACACTGTACGTGTTTTGAGAAAAAAACCATTATATGACATAGTGTTTGCAGTGTTTTGTATAAAATTGGTAAATGTATGAAGTTTTTACTAAAATCTGTAATGGCGTTTTTATTTTAGGGCCGACTAAATAAAACGCTTATCTGTGGTTGTTTGTAGTATATAATTATTTCGTCGTGAACTGTAGAATCTATGCCGGCATTCTTTTATGCCTAATATGGATTTTTGAGGAGTCATATATAATATATATATATATATTTTTTATGTATGTATAATGACCGTACGATAACCGTAAAAAATCTTAAAATTCAAATGTATAGTAAGTTTTTCTCTGTTTCATTTACGTTCGACTTCACAATTAGCATCAAAAACACATTTCGCTAGACGTTCATTGAATAAAAAATATTACACTAAAAAACGTCGAGATAAATCTTTGGGTGGGGACCGGCGGATAGGTGTAGATAAACAAATAGAGAGAGTGAAATATGTAAAACATACATTCAATTGTTACACCAATGGTTTTTTTGACTCGGACCGGAAACATATTGATAAAAAAAAAAAGCATTCAGAAAAAAACGATAATTCATTTCCACGCGCATTCAGAGGAAACGGTATTATCAATAATTATTGTCCGTTTGAACTTTTTTTTTTCATACAAACCATGTTATTATTCGTATATTTAGTTGGTATTAATAATAAATTATTATGTTAACGCGGTAAAACAGCAAAATTAACTGTCGGCCTATCCCTGAAACTGTTTCAATATGTTTTTTTTCCAGTGACACTCGAGTGAAAATCATTAAAAAATGGTTTAATAAATACAAGTTTTTTAAAGTCTAAGATTTTCAATCCGCTCTGAATTATCAACGAAATTCCGCCGGTGAAAGAGTGGAAGACTCGAGCCAAATAAAATTATAATTAGCTACTAAATTGAATGTCTGCAGGTAGCCATTATTTTAGCTGTTATCTCTAATTATTATATAATATAGCCACGTCTCAATATAATAACAGCTAACAGTATTAAAAGAAAATACAATACAAATTTAGTTAAGTAATACACAGTCTAGTCAGAATATATTTTTTCTTATAAAATATAAATATACGGTTAAAAGGATTTTTCAAAAGCCTAAGTTTTTTGTAAAAACGATAATTTTCAATTATATTCCCGTCGTTGGCTGCACATAGTAAATTATGTTAAGCTCATAGTGGGCGTTAGTAATATTATTATGTAATCCCCAAAGTTGAACTATAACCAGGCACGTTAAGCACGTTGAACCGGTGCTCGGTCCGAGTTATATATATATATATATTTTTTATCTAATTCGGTCTCTACAGTAAATCGATATTGTATGTCAGTTTGCTGTCTTCCAAACAGATTTTTGCATGCACCTACCTAATAATAATTACCTAAGCCGGCCGATAACGGTCGCGCTACATTGTATTGCCATTATCGGCAAACTCGCTGAACAGACTTAAATTTCAAGACGTTAACACCTAACCGTGGAATCGTCAGGGACACGAGCAATGCAAAAAGCACAATATATATTTATTGATATATTCAATAACCGCGTTACACGATTGAATATTCCAATATTTCCAAGCGTTTATTATTATTATTGACCCGTGTGGTCGGTTTTTCAATTAGGCACAACCGTTGTAGGTAATGACCCTCGACTCGTCTCCGATCAAATCTTTGTCCTTCTTCTTCTTAACAAATGAGCTGTCAATGTTTTGACCAATTTTTCACGATCGTCTTGTATCTGTAGTCGATGGTATTAAATCGCTCATCCCAACGGACCTATGTCGTCTGTAGTGTCGATTTTAATACAAGTCGGTGATTAATATTTGTTTAAAATGAACAGTGCATGGTCACTACCGCGAACGGCTGGTGGCCGTTATGCGATAACCTTTGTTTGTTGGCCTTTCGCCGGAAACGTGCCCAGGATGCTTACTTGGTCTAGAAAAGAATTAAAAAACGTGCAAAAGTACCACACTTTTAATGCTAAAAAAAAAAACAATGCCTACACGCGCATTTTAATAGGTTGTGAATATGACCAAATTGTTAGGTCACGACAAGTAGTGTAGCCATTGAATAACACACCTGTAACAAACAATATGTGAACAGTATTATGATAAATTATATATTAGATACAAGTTATTTAAGTATTAATAAAAAATGCATTTTAATTTTTTTGGTGCTTCATAGCTTGACCAAATTTCCTTCAAAGCTCTCCCCACCTACAATGTTTTAAACAATTATTTAGTGTACAAATTGTTTAATTTATATATACGCTTTTAAAAAATAATATTATTTTTTTATTTATAAACAATGTGATAAGTCGTAATTCGTAAATTTGTAAATAAATTGCTGCGGTTCTTTTATCAAAATACATTGTAAATAATAAATTTACGGAACTAAATGTTTTTAAACATTGTTTGTGAGTAGCTTCTCTTTAATTCGGATATTATTAATAAAGCCCTTGTTTCCTTTTAGTTCACATCACTCCAAAGAATAAAAATGAGGGATATAATTAAGAGCTAGATAAATCGAATATTGATTAAAGAATTAGTTTTAAAACCAGTAATGCGGGGTCGGGGCATAGTAATAATTAAAAGTAGTTATAATTTATACATTTTATGTATTAATTAATCAATAAAATAATTATCGAGTTAATAATATTATTTTATACATTATAATTATTATTATCATTGCTATTATCGCTCTCAAAAAACGCTTCGATGCGAATTTGTAGATGGTAGAAATACTAAATAACTATATAAAGCATTAAAAAGGTAATACGTAATGTGCTTCCAATTGTATTATTAAAATATTGAAAATATTTTTGTGATAGTTACCTGTGTCCTGTTGTCTATTCACACATAGCAATCTAGAAATTAAAGACATTATTCTCTTATATTTTGGGGTTTACATAATAAAAAAGTGTTGACTTTAGTTTTTTTTTTTAAATGTACATGTTAGAATTCCACTCGAAAAAAGGAAATAAAGAAAAAGTTTATATTTTTAGTGTAAAAAAGAGACTAATCTGAATTTTCTCTATAACCTGCGGGATGATACCTTTTATATGACAGTTCAATCATCTTTGTCGTTTTTGGCGGACAGTTACTAGAATCATCAAGAATAGATTAAATTCACTTTACTTAACATATCATTATACTAAAATATAAAACATTTATTAGGTATTTATTACCCAAATGTAAAACATAAAGGTGAAGCTGATTACACATGTATATAGTTGTATTTTCTAAAAATACATATTATTTAACAAAGTATGGTAGATATAATTTAGGTGTTAAAAAACGCTATCATTAGAAACATATATATACTTATTTCCCATCAAAACAGTTAAATAAAAATCACTTTCACATTGTGCGTACTATTAATTTAAAACTACACCGGTATTTTTCGGAGGTTTAGTACCACCCACAATATTAGGGGTGACGCGTTTTGTACCTAAGAAGTGTTAAAAGATATTATTATTGTTATACTTGAAATAAAAACCCACTTGCCTTGTATCCAGATTTTAAAAGAGTATTAAAAGGAAATAAAAATGTTTTATAATCATTTTTTTTGTACAGTATTTTTTTTCTTAGATTTTTTTCATACTATCCGCTATAAATATAACGCAGGTAATTGTTACTTTATCTATACTGTTATATGCATTTTGTGTCCATATATAAAAGTTCGCATAGTATTATAACTGTTTATTAGATTAAAATTATTGATGTGTGAAAACTTTCATGGATTGAACTACAGATAAATAGTCATCGTTTAGACACTGTCGTGACTAAACTGTATGGTGGCATTATCTGTAGACAGACCCTGGAATAGGGTCGAAACGTTAGACAAACTGAATAGATCCGAAAGTGATCAAACTAAAACAAGATTATTAATTTATAGGTACATTGCTATGCATTGTTTTAATAAAAACATTATTGTGTTATCTTTTTTTGGATGAGGGATTTATGACATTTTGTCTAAAACTTTATGATTACAACAAATTATTCAATTAATTATTAGTAATACTAGCTGTATCGAGGGTACGCAATTAGGTACAACTATTAAAACATTTAATTAATTAATATATTTATTCCAAAATTCATAATTCATTAATTGAAATTAAGATAAAAATTCTTTAATCACAATGTTATTAATTGCAAATGTTGGAGCATTTGAAAATAAACAGCTTTTTCCGGGGAGGCTATTGATTGTCCTTAATAAATACAACACTGTTTACATACCAAATAAAGAGTAACTATTTTTATAAGAAACTGTAAATGTTCAATGTGTATGAAATAATATTATTATGTTGCTCGTTTATCGTGTACACAATAGTTTTGTGTAGCTGAGAAGTACACGATAAGATCGTGACATCCACTAACAACGGTACAGGTGGATATTACAAGAGACATAATCGTCGGCGGTTCGTTTAAATTATTATCATCACGGGCAATTCGTGACACAAAAATATTTAAATTAAATAAATAAAGTAAAAACGCTATGAAATGAAACTAGATAAAAGAAGGAACAAAAACAAACCCATCTATGTCTTGACGTTTGATTGAAATTAACATGTCAACACCAATGTACAGTAATTCCATACAATATTGTGCGACATTCTTCAACATATTTGGTAATGTTGATTTTATTGTTAATATTATAAATATATTCCCAACTTACATTTCCAATACTATATACTTGAATGTAAAGTTTTAACTTTTATATCATGAACGTTTACATTACGTAGTCATTTATTTGCTGGGTTAATTTGGAGTCTTTTGGTTATACAAATGATGGGTTAGATTTGGCTTTCGATCACATTACTTAAGTCTTTCGATATAGTTCACTTTATAAATTAATCCTTAGTTCAACGTATGGTTGTTTGTTTTGGTTATTTTAATAATATATGGTCTTCATTTACTGAAAAAAGGTAAATTACCATTGGTGTTTTATTAGTTGCTAGCATAGTCTATAGCACCAACTATTCAACTACTGACAGCGTTATATTAATACATTGTATCAATATTCAAAATTTGGACCGATCAATTTCAGTTCACACTCGTACATATTAGTGCATTTTAGTATATTTTAGTTTCTTAAAATTGAACTATTTACATTTTTTTAACAAATAAAACCTTTTTTTTAGCTACTGTGTGGAGTTATCATTCCTCATGCGATAAGAGCTCGTGTTATCCGGCCACCGGTAATTTATTAATAGGTCGAGAAAACCACCTGTCCGCATCATCTACTTGCGGTCTCAAGCAAAGAGTTCGTATTGATTTTTATTTATTTACAAACTTTGGGAAATTAATGTTAATCGGTCGAATATACGTTTTTGCGTTGCCGCAGGAAAGATATTGTATAGTTAACAATTTGGAGGAAAGAAAAAAATGTTTTTGGTGCGATTCCAGGCAACCGTCACAACCGAACACTAAGTTTCCGCTTAGTCATAGAATTGAAAATATCGTCCATACGGGGTAAATAAAAGAGTTTAAGACAAAAATTCTACTTGGAGACTTCATTATTGACACGGTGGATAATATTTTTTGTTGATTTTAGCGGCACCTCCAATCAATGGTGGCAGTCACAAAACGGCGTCGAAAACGTCACCATTCAACTAAACCTGGAAGCGGAGTTTCATTTTACCCATTTGATCATCACGTTCAAGACATTTCGACCGGCTATCATGCTGGTAGAGAGGTCGTACGATTTCGGTAACACGTGGCAAGTAAGTCTTGTGTAGTCAAACAATGCGCTTGGACAAGACCTGACGGTTTAGTTTTGTTTTTATTTCAGGTGTATCGGTATTTTGCCTATGACTGCGATTCAGTGTTTCCAAGCGTGCCCAAGGAATCGCCGCGAAACCTCACAGAAGTGGTGTGCGACCAAAGATATTCGACGGTGATACCGTCCACCAACGGGGAGGTAAGTAACACTTCGCCTTCGACGGAGAAAGATTTAGATTGGTGAAGTTAACATAAAACAAATCTGTTACAGGTGATCCTGAGAGTCTTGCCGCCTAACCTGCATCATATGTACGACGACCCGTACTCGTCCGAGGTGCAAAACCTGCTTAAGATGACCAACTTGAGGATAAACTTCACCAAACTACATACACTCGGTGACGACTTACTGGACAGTCGTGACGAAATATTGGTATTAACGACAAACATTTTATATGGCCTCGGTATAAATAAGTACGGTTAGGTTAGGTGGCTTGTTTACCAACAAACGTTTAGGCTAAAATGGATAACTTGTAAAGAATCTTAAAGATAATCTTCTTTTTTTACACCAGATAGATAAATTGTTTTTTTTTTTAATGATATTAAAAACACTATAAGACGCACCCAAACTCTGCACAACTTTATTCTAATTGCCTTGAGTTGTTGTTTTGGAGGGAGGGAGGATCTTCTTTTCCTCTCATTTTATCCATACCTAACCTTATGACTACTTATCATGGATTACGGAGTTCTCTCTTTTTTCGATGTGATCATACTCATTTGTTCTATTCAAATTCCCCTCTCATACATTGGAACAGAACTCGAACCGGCTACTTTGATTCAAAAACTGACATTGTGTGTCTAAACTGATTCCCAGTGTTTTTTTTCTAGGAAAAATATTACTACGCCATCAGCGAGATGGTTGTGCGAGGATCGTGTTCGTGTTACGGACACGCTTCCCGGTGTTTGCCACAAGACGGCACTATCAGCAAACCGGACATGGTGCACGGCCAGTGCGAGTGTACGCACAACACCAAAGGGCTCAATTGCGAGGCTTGCGAGGACTTCTTCAACGACTTCCCGTGGAAACCCGCAATCGGCCGACAGACGAACGCTTGCCGAAGTTAGCTACTATTTTGCCTAATGCGTGCCTTTTCCTAGTAACCGCAGTCGACCAAACAGTGTTTGACGTTTCCTGTTGCTTTCAGGGTGTAATTGTAACAACCACGCCACCAGTTGTCATCACGATCCGGCTGTTTTCGAAATGACCGGACGCACCAGCGGAGGTGTGTGCGACGGATGTACAGACAACACTATGGGCCGGAACTGCGAACAGTGCAAGCAGTATTTTTACCAGGATCCCACGAAACCGTTTACGGACCGCGACGTCTGTCTGCGTGAGTATACTTTTGAAACGATAAAACAAAGGAATAGCGAATTTGTATTAACGAGCGTTTTGTTTTTGGCGATTTTCAGCGTGCGACTGCGATCCCAGCGGTTCGTTAGACGACGGTATATGCGACTCCAAGACCGATCCTGTCAATGGACTGGAATCCGGACGCTGTCATTGCAAGACCAACGTGGAAGGCAGACGATGTGACGTCTGCAAAAACGGATTTTGGGCTTTTAGCGAACAAAACCCCGACGGGTGCCAAGGTATTGATTGTCTGATCGACAAACTTAGATTTATCTTCTCCTAGTCCACATATCTCGTTTCTTCGAATGAAAATCAATTCATACAGTGTTAAACCATATTTTTCATCGATAACGATACACGTGTACATTATACATAAACTGTTAATTGACCATTATTTGTGTTCTGATTTGTATAATAATAATTCGAGTTAGTTCATGACATATATTTAGTTGCTCTCGGGCGTGGTCAGGTATACTTTATGGTCTACCGTTAGATTTGTTAATAAGTATTAACGTTTTATGTTACAGCTTGCACTTGCAATACCCAAGGAACTATAGACAATCAGGGTTGCGATAAAGTGACGGGAGAATGTACGTGCAAACGAAACGTCATCGGTAGGGATTGCAATCAGTGTATGCCAGGTCATTGGGGATTGTCCGAAGGCCAAGACGGATGCAAGCCCTGCGACTGTGACATCGGTGGAGCATATGATAACATGTGTGACGTGATCACTGGACAGTGCAAGTGAGTCGATGACAAAGTAACTTAATCTAGAAAAAACTTGAGCGACTTATGGTTATATAATACAATAAAGAAATTAATATTTAAAACCCTTAACCATAAAATAATACACTCTCTGTTTTCACTTTGCCAAAGGTGTCGACCGCACTTGACTGGACGTACATGTAGTTCTCCAGAACAGAATTTCTTTGTCGGTCCTGTGGACATACTAGTCAGCGAAGCCGAACTGGCCAACTGCACTGACGTGAGTATAATATATACCGTTATAACGGTCGTTTACTGTGACTACTAACTGTCTGATTGAATACATTTTTTTTTAGAACTGCCAAGTGCACATCCGAGAACCGTTCAGAGACGGTAGGGATAATACGTGGACCGGTACGGGTTTCATGAAAATCTACGACGATGCCGAGTTGATTTTTGACGTGAAAAATGTGCCGTTGACGACCAACTACGAGATTGTTCTGAGATACGAACCCCAAGTACCATATGATTGGGACAACGTTAGGGTAACGGTGGAACGTCCGGAGCCTTTAGAACCGAACGGGACGTGTGCCATTTACGAGCAAAACTACAATGCTGGAGACATCAGGGACGTAGTGTTGTCGCCAGGTGAGAACACAGTTAACGACCACTTATTTACAGGATGATTCATTAAAGATAAGACACTCATTTTCCCCTAAAATAATATTGTAAAATTATATTTTTTTCTTTTCTGAATCACTCTAGGTCTAGTATAATATGTTCTTTTACAATATATATTTTGTTTCACTGGTCGATAACCAGTTTTGGATGAAATTTAGGAAGGGAGGTGGAATGCGGTAGAATAATGTGCATATATTAAAATAATATTATACTTCACCCTTCCTCCCGTTTTAAATTGTAAAGTTATAATATAAGTTAAGTAATTATATCCAAAACTGGTTATTCACAAATCAACATTTTCAGCAATTTATTCTTTATTTAAAAATGTAATTAAATACATACGTTACCATTTAAATGTCGAAAGTTAGTAGCGCTTCAGGAAATATTTGGTAGTTTTGTATATATTTATGTACCATAATATTTTATATTTTATAGTACAAATGTTTTCAAAACTATACAGTTATAATTACTTTCTAAGAAAATTAGTGTTTTATCTTTAATAAATTACCCTATAGATATATGTTATATTATATACGTTTAATAGAATGACTTGCACAGTGCAGTTGTTTTATCAGCTTATTTTTATGTCATTTGGAGACAATTGGGAGGTGGAAACCATGAATAAGACCAAAAAAGGGGTACACTACGGTATTAGGTTTTTAACCTATTGTCTTGACTGAGTAATCGTTTGAATGTGTTGAAGCTTTCGCGGATTGAAATATCACATGAATAATCGTTATCATTAATATAATAATTATTAATACGTCCATAAAAACCGATAATTTTTTTTTTTTTTTTTAATGTATTGAATGTAATATTACCATTATATTAGTATACTAATATTACGTTGATGGAAAACAAATTTAGTTTAACGGTTTCTATTCTTGTTGTTTAGCTTCTCAGGTGGTCATAGCGTCGCCACCGGTGTGTTTAGAAGCCACAAAAGACTACAAGATCCGGATAAACTTCCAGAGGACCAACAACAAGACACAGAATCCGTCGGCTTCGATACTGGTGGATTCGCTGGTGCTGATACCGCACGTGGAAGCCATACCGTTCTTCGAAGGTACTCCGGCCAACGAGCAGCGATTAGCCGAGTACAAACACTATAGATGTAAAGAAGCGTACTACACGGTTCTTAGGGGACGCATACCCGACGTTTGCCAGAAATTCCATTATAGTGTCGGCTTTTACTACTTGAATGGAGCTTTCTGTAAGATAAAAAAAAAAACACAATTCGTAACTAGAAATTATATACTTATACATATCACTGTTTTGTTTTGTTCCTTGCAGCGTGTCAATGTGATCCAACCGGATCTCTCAGTACTATTTGCGATTCACTCGGAGGCCAGTGCCCGTGCAAACCTAACGTGGTCGGCAGGAAATGCGACCGTTGTGCCCCAGGAACTTATGGTTTCAATCCTGAAGGTTGCAAGGGTGAGTTGTTAATTGTCAAGTGACGATATGCATTCAATTTAGCCACCAAGCAGCATTTAAGAGCCAATTGTTTTTGTTAGCGTGTGACTGCAACAGTGTCGGAGCATTGGATAATCTGTGTGACGTGGTAACTGGACAGTGCAAGTGTCGGGCGCAGACCTACGGCAGAGAGTGTGATCAATGCGAACCTGGATCATGGAATTATCCCAACTGCCAGCGGTGTATGTGCCACGGCCATACCGATGTGTGCGACTCTCACACTGGAACGTGTTTGAACTGTCAAGGGTTCACAGAAGGAACAAACTGCGACAGGTAAACACCACAAAGTATAAAAAAAAATTACATTTGATATCATTCGGTGAAAATTTCACGTTTAGATCGATAAGGTTACGTCCTAAAAATATCTGAAATAAATTAGAACCTTCTCTAGGATATTATCGGCGATTTTTTAATTCTGAACTATTATTTTTAAACGCTTAGGTGCATCAAAGGGTACTATGGAGATCCACGATTGGGTGTTGACATACCATGCAGGCCATGTCCGTGTCCTGGTACAGCGGAATCGGGTCACTCGTACGCTCAACAGTGTGCTCTCGATCCGAAGACCCAGGACGTTTACTGCGAGTGCCAGGAAGGTTACAAAGGTAAGTAGTATATTTGCAACCAACCGGGTAGTAGATCTTGACTAATTTAATTATAAATATTTTTTGTCCGCGCATCAGGTGCTAGGTGTGATGTCTGCGACGAAAACTATTACGGCAACCCCGAGGTTCCCGGCGGATCTTGTAAGCAATGCAGCTGTAACAATAACGTGGACATCACCAGACCGGGCAATTGCGACCCTCATACCGGCAAGTGTTTGCAGTGTCTGTTCGACACGGAAGGAGAGAACTGCGACGTATGCAAGACAGGTTTTTACGGTGACGCCATCCACCAGACTTGCAGAGGTAAGACGACTTGGACGATTGTGCCGTGGCATTAGCTCGATAAAATCATGTTCTTATATGTCTACAGAGTGCGTATGTGACTTCTTGGGATCTCAATCCTCCGTGTGCAACCATACTACCGGCCAGTGTCCGTGTCTGAACAACGTGATAGGACTTTCGTGCGACCAATGCAAACCGGACCATTGGAAAATAGCCAGCGGAACGGGATGCGAGCCTTGCAACTGCGACCCGGTAGGATCGCTGTCTGAGAAGTGCAATCAAGTGAGTTATGCAATAAAATTATATGCAACTTGTATTGAACTTGTGCTTACGTTCATCATGTCTTTGTGTGTAGTTCGATGGACAGTGTCAGTGTAAGCCAGGTTTTGGCGGTACTCAGTGTAACCAGTGCCAGACCAACTACTGGGGTGACCCCAACAAGGAGTGTTACCGTAAGACTCGTTTCTTCGGCTTTATCGAGGTACAGTCGTCAACTGAAAACACTAATATCTACTTTTATTATGTACAGCTTGCGAATGTAACCCGGAAGGGTCGGCCACCCAACAGTGTAACCAAACCACCGGCTTCTGTAACTGTGTGCTGGGCATAGGCGGCGAGAAATGCGACATTTGCGCTAGAGGGTACTTGGGGACGGCACCAAACTGCAGCCCGTGCGGGGAGTGTTTCGAAAACTGGGACCAGACACAAAAGACCCTGATCGAACAAACCGACAACGTCATCAAGTCGGCTTCGGAAATAAAGGCCACCGGAGCATCGGGCGCCTACACCGTAGAGTTTGAGAACATGGAAAAGAAGATAACGGACGTGAAAAATATTCTACACTCTACCACTAAGAGCTCGATTGACCTGCAAACGTTGAACGAAGTTATCGATCAGCTCAGGTATGTTAAATAACAAACCAGAATTAATTGTCGGACAGAGCGTTTGTAACATTGTAGTTTTTTTTACATTCGAACAGAGTCAACCAGACCACAATGGACCAGCTGAATGCCGTTACCAAGACATTGGATAACACTACGCAAAAAGTGCTCTTGGCAAATCTGACGTTGGAAAATCTCAAGGCTAAAACGATGGCACTGAAAGAAACTGCGCTTAACCTAAAACAAAACTCAACGAAACTACAAGAGCGCAACGTTGAAGGTGAAGCGCCGCGAAACGATTTTAACTCGATAACAATTTTTTCGCGTACTCTTAACGGTTCGTTTTGTTTTTCAGGTGCGTTAAACTTAACCAAGGACGCTTTTGATAGGGCTCGAATGTTGAAAAACAAAGAAAACCTTCAAGACGGTCTTCTGGCTGATGCTGAACGTCAGTGCAAGAGAACCGAGGCGTTCTTCGGCCGTAACGTGAACACCTTCAATCAGGGAATCAAGGACAATGAACGCACGTTGGAGAGACTGAGTCAAGAGATGAACGATCTCAACAAATCAATTCCGACATTGAATCATCAAGTAAATTAAAAACCCAAGCTCTTAAATGAACAAAAAAAACATTGTTTAGATATGTCTTATGTACAGGTCGAATTGATAATCTTCTCTTTTTTGAAGTCGGTTAAAAATCGACCGTACACAATTCTTTACATAAATCGATTCTTGACACTAATATCATTGTACATTATTTAATTTTTTTTCCCTTTCAGATATGCGCCAGAGAAACCGAGGGATGCGATACAGTGTGTGGAGGCGCAGGTTGCGGTTTTTGTGGCGGTATAGATTGCGAGGAAGGTGCCATGACCAAAGCCGATAGTGCCTACAGTTACGCCAAAAAAGCTGAGAAACATATTAAAGAAAAAGAGGCTAAAGCTGAAGAACTTTACAGGGGTGTACGTTTGGGATTGTTTTCTAATTAAACGTTCACAAAAATGAAATAAACGTTCATGTTGCATTTTTTTACAGCTTTCACAAGCCAACCAGGAAATTAATTCTGTGCTTGCCAACTCTAAGAGCGTTGGCGACTTGGCCAACACCACAAAAATTCAGTCTCAAAACATACTCAACGAGAGTTATTCACTGATCGATAGGCACGACAAGTTCTTGCATCCCACGGACGGAGTCCAGGCTACGGACGTGGCTACCAAAGTGGACGAGGTGGGTCGAATTTGTTTAGCACATTAACAGTTCTCCATTATCACTTGTATTGTTCATAGATCTTGCGCATTAATATTCAACTAAAACCAGAACAACTGAGTCAATTGTCCGATGACATTAACAAAACCCTGTCCACGCCCAAGAACATCGACAAAATCATTGCAGACACGAAGGGCGATTTGCATTTAGCCAAAGCGTTAAACGAGGATGCCGAGAGTAAACAGTAAGTAGCAATCAGTTGCTTAGGTGGTAAGCTACTAAACTAAGCGTAGAAACAGCCTGCCATTCACTCAAACGTTAATGTCTTTACAGGATGGACGCCAAAAACATTCTGCAAGTAGCCGAACGGGTGGAAAAAGCTCTTGCCGAAACGCAAGAAATTCAAAAAAACGTGGAAGACGGGATAGTAGTCACCAACAAAAACATAATGGACGCTACTGAAAGCCTGAACAATGTGAGTGTCGCCTTTGCATTTTATGTTTTTTTTTTTTTTATATATTTTATTAACCTGGGTTCTTTGTGCTACAGATAAAATCCGACTCGGCGAACGCTCAAGTAAACGTGCAAAAAGCCATGGACGATATTGTGTCGATCGAAGGTAAACTCAAAACCCTACAGACTGGCTTCTTGAAGAACAGTCTCGACGCTACCAATGTCAGATCGGAAGCGAAGAATCTCACCATTGAAGTGGACGAGACTGAAAAAAAAGCGGACCAGCTGTTGGCTGACTACAAAAACGCAAACAACACACTTGAGAATCGCGTTAAGAATTCAAAAACCACCAGGAACAATTCTCAGTACTTGCTAGAACGAGCCAGTCAGCTGTCGGCCAACACTACTTTGAAATTGAAGGAACTCGGAGGTTTGTTCAAATTTGTGTTAACGTTTATACTTTTAGGGTTTGGGTTAGGAAAGAGGAGTTGAAAATAGAACGGAAGCATCTGAAAGAGAAATGTTGTGATGGATGTGTGGAATGATTAGAGAGAAGTTGTACCAATAGCAGGAAACCGAGGAAAAATGGATTAGGGCGGTTTGGGTAGGTTGGAGGAAAAAAATAGTAATAGTTATAACAGAAGTTAGTGTATTTGACTGACTGACAATTTTTGTAGTGTATGAAACTATAAATGCACGTTCTGATCAGTTTAGCTTACATATAAATTAAGACAAGTTCGTAGAGTTAAGCCAAACTGGTAAAAAATAAATATCATACAGTTATTTTTATACCGTGCATAATTTCAAGGCGTTTACAAAAATCACCCTACTTGATAAGATTTTAATCCTTATACTTAGGATTAAATGTAAATCCTGTACGAAGGTTTTGTAAATTTTCTTTTCAACTCCAAGATACAAGTAATAATAGCTTCTTTATTTATAGATGCTGAGAAAATGTTCGAGGAACAAGAAAAATTGATTTTAATACTCATCAATAATACTACCGACCTAAACGCAAGAATGTCTGAAAACCTGAATGAAATAAATAGCAGGTCCGATTACTACAGGACATGTAACAATTAATGATTAATTGTAGAATAATATTATATTTAGCGATTTTATATTTAAGAAACTAAAGACAACCCCTAAAATAAGAGTTTGTTTCTTTTAATTAACGAGTCAATTGTTGAATATCATATATTTATTTAAACAACGTTTCTTATTCTTATAATTATGTTTTATTTTTTTAATTTATTTATTGTAATAATACTTTTGATCAAAACTATTACTACTACTATTATTACTATTGCTACTACTACTACCTACTACTATTCAGCTCTGTCCGTTGTATTATATTTTATGATATAGTTGTATAATATGTGCTTTTAAGTAAATGTGTTCATTATACTTAGATAGGGTATTATTTTTAGATATAATCTGATAGCTCCGTTTATATTTTAATAAACTAGACGTATAAAACAATACAAAAATTATATTGATTGTTAGTTAATTTTGTTCCCAATTATGGTTTTACTGTGGAACCTTTTTAGGAGTCGAGTTATAATATAAACAACAGCAGAAGATGTTTGATATCACTTATCAGCGAACTAAATTTTAAATGTTTCATACTTATATAACGTGTACAGATAATATTATATAATTTATTGGTTTTTCACACACTTTACAGATCACTGGATAGTAGGATTGAAAAAGTATCTCCTAAACTAACTTCTTAAAACCAACCCGTTTAACACCTCCCACTTACTCTATTGTTACAAGGGTTAAGGGTTTGTAATGATAATTATGTAAAAACATACACATTGGATGTTTTACGCTGAAAGGAGTCCAATTTGATGGCTGGCTATATTGTGGATACAGTCCTATTCAAGACTGCTCCTAACCCAATTTTTTTTATATATGTGGATTGTGGTTCCGTTATGATAATTTCCGTCCAACTAAACATACAAAATAAGATTTCTTTGCATTTGAATTGTTTTATATTTTATTTATAAGCCAACATTTTAGTTCACGGTTAAAGAAAAAGAAATTTTGTATACGTTGAACGTATTAGGTATCAAAAATTACGAAATTAAAAAAAATATCATATTAAAAACACGTTCTGGGGTTTAATATTACCAAAGGATTGGAAGTTACATTTTAGCTTCGATGCGAAGCTGATAAAATACTGGTTCTAAATGAGGTGTTTTATTTTATGTCTCTATGAGACCGAACTCCTTTACTCCCAAAACCAGAGTAAACCTAAAAAAAAATTGCCGGTATTTCAACTAGGTATCAACTTTGATGCAAATCTGTGGACACTGGACCCCACTTCAATAGTTTTCATATAGTGCTGGTTTGAACAGTGCTTGGTTAATACTGTGCTGAATCCATACTATTTCCAGATTGGCATCGAAGGGTTTGATTGTGATGAAATCACATTTAGATTTAAAAAATGATTTGACCCAATTTTGCTAATTATTTATATACTGCCCTAAACTATACTTGCTTAAAAACGTCCGATTTTAGTCTTTAAAAAAGATAAGAGTTCGTTTGATTGTTCAATAAGTTTTGATAAACGTCTGTAACATTATAATAAGAAGTTCAAAATTGCCATAAGCTGGATTTTTAAACGAAGATCGGTAAGATAAATAAACGAGTGTCTTAGTTTTCTTAAAAATGAAAATTATGATTTCAATTTTTTATTAATGCCCGTTTTTGTAATAGCGCAATCGTGTAATAGCCTGCAGAAATTTTGTTTGTCCTCTTCACCTTTTGTTTAAAAGAAGGTTAAAAGACCATTTATAGATCATTTATTAGACCTTTTATAACCTTTTAGGCCAATAATATTAATTAATACGCACGGTACGGTTATAGGTTTTAAGGCCTAGTTCGGTCGTCTATGAGGATGGGTACAGTACTAGATACTAGTAGTTGTTGTTTTATTAACGACTGTTGGCCGATAGTCGTATAGCTGAAAATATTAATAATTTTGCTGGCCAAACGGAAAACCAAGTGTACATCATTGTATGATTTAGCGTCAGAGTAAACACAGTCTGTGACCGTCTTAAGTCACTGTAAATCGTATTTGGTCGGATAATTTCAATAGTTTTTTTTTTTTTTTTTTAACGAAATCGAAATTGAATGGATAAATTTCGCCCCGAATATGCCGGACATTCGGACGACGAGTCGTCTGACGTAACGGCCCAGCCCGTGCGGCGCCAGGCGGCCGCGTTGCCTTCAGACGCAGACGAACCGGGCGACGCCTGCAGGAGACGCCGGCGCAGGAGTTGCAAGCCCAAGTGCCGCAGGAGACGCCGGCGCAGGAGCTGCAAGCCCAAGTGCCGCAGGAGACGCCGGCGCAGGAGCTGCAAGTCCAAGTGCCGCGACGAAGAGTCGTCGGAACCGTGGAGCGACGAGGAGTCGGACGACAGTGTCAGCGTGACGTACTCGCCCAGCGACAGCGCACGTCGATACAGCAAGGACGCGGGGGGCGAGGGGCTGAACGCCAGCGACGCGTGCCGGCGCAGACGCCGCAGACGCTCGTGTCGAAAGCGCCGTCGAAGCTGCAAGCGGCGCCGCAGCCGCAGCTGCAAGCGGCGCAGCCGCAGCTGCAAACGTCGTCGCCGCCGCAGCTGCGTGAAAAAATGCAACGACTCCGAGGGAGAAGACGAAACCAGCCCGTCGTCCGCTTACGAACGCTGATATTATGCTTGTGATATTTGAATATTCAAACTGTGATTGTCGGTTGAAAACAAATAAATTCCAAATAAGTTTTAACAAATAATTCCAAACGATTATTATATAGCATAATGGGATAATTATTTTATAGTATAGGCTATAGATGATGCTCTTGACGCGTCAAACTAGCCGTAGTTTTACTTCCCAGTACAGAGCATAATATTATCTAAAGCTAAGATACAGGCAAAATATATGGTCGCGGATAATTATCAGACGTCATTGAATTGGTTTTTTCTATAAAACAAAAGCAACAGTGTACATTTTACAAATTACTTATCAGTATATACATGGAAGGCGCATAATGCATATTTCCCATGTAACAAAAGTGACTAGGCTCAGAGGCCGCCATGTTGATTCCGTTTCGTTGTTTTACTTACCGTATCTAACATTGTTTAATAATTTTCGATGATGGTTTCTGACTTCATATTGTCGATATCATTATTTTTTTAACTGCTGATAAAAGATAATGAACGAAACAACAAAATTAGTACTTATGCAGAACATAAACGATTTAATAAGTTTTTAAATTTAGAAAATTATTAAGTATAAATTATTTGGTAATAAGTGAAAATGTAAAAAGAAGGAAATTATCAGTCCGTAGTTAGTAGATACTAAACATTCTGAAATATTGCAAGTCGTGTCAATTCAGTTAATGAAATCAACACATACTTAAAGAAACTAAAGCCCTTTTCATTCTTCTTTAAGCAAATACAACATTTATGAACCATCTTAAAATAGAAAATGAACAATCTTCTAATAAAGTATCTATAACATTATAAATAACTATAATAGTTCAGTTACTAATGAACAAATAAATATATTTTCAGCAGAACTGTTGGGTAAGTAAAAGATAAAAAACACAAAACAAGTAAAATAATAATAAATACGTGAAATATTGACTTTATTTTAGGAAATAAAATTGCCGAATCATTATTTTTCATATAAATTGTTTTTCGATTGGATTCGATTTGCCGCCAATTCGATGTTATCAGATTTTTATCATAGAATAAATGATATGTTACACCGTTTTATCCATGACAAGAATCAAAATGGCGGAATCCGTGTGTCGGCAATTTATTTTCACTATTTATTTAGTTTTATCTATAATAATATTATACTATAAAGCTGAACTTGACCGATAACTGTTATCTAAGTAGAATGTTCCATAAAACCAAACGCTTGGGATTATTACGTAGGAACAATATTGAAAAGTTTAAATGATAGAATATACACGAATAGTTTGTGTTGACTTGTGGATCATCACCATAATAGTTATACATTTCCAAGTGTATGATAATATAACAAATATTTACATGTATAAAAATTAAATAGAAGGTAACACGTATGCAATGATTTATTCAGTTTTTTGTTTGTTTAGATATTAATTTTTTGTTCACTTCAGTATGAATCGTAAAAACACATTTAATTCTAGCTTAAAAGTTTAGAATGTAGTACGTTTCACAATAGTTTATTATGTATGTTGTTATTCCTGATATTATTTTTTTGTAATACAATCTTAGCAAATTTCTATAAACGACCGTATTCACAATTATTTATTTTTATTAATTAAACGTTTTTATTTAACCAAAAAAATAGATACTATTTGTACACTTTATTTCTAATTGTTCCAAAAAATAATTTATACCACTAATCAGTAAAGTAGTAAATTATTAAAAAAAAACAAAACTTACAATATTTAGGTTTTTTCAAGAGTTGTTGCAATATGTGGACAACGCGAATATTATAATTTGTAAAAATTAATCAACAAAACAAACATATTTCTATTATGATTTAATGATATTTTTTATGATTATCTACATGTTTTTACATGCTTTTCTTAAGTTCGCTAACACGTACGTACGTTTGTACGGGTATTTTTCAAATCTTGCAAAATTAATTTAACCCACTTCCCGATGTTGTAGAGGGCTAAAACTTAGCTCAGACACTCATCTTGGATGACAATACAATATCACGTAATCATATTGAAACTCGGGGTCAAATGTGGGGGTCATTTCACTAAAATTTCATGTTTTTTCCGAAAGTAATTTAGTAATCTATTCAGCAATTATTAAATACCTTTAATAGGACTAAAAAGTAAACTTTTTTTAAAAACATGCTTTTCTAAAAAAAAAAATAGTAAAAAGTAAACAATTATTTTATTACAAGAACAATTTACCAATCAATTGTAGCATATTTTATTTAAAATGTCAATTACTTTGAAAACAACCGAAAATTAACTACAATTTTAAATAATGCTAAACATCTTTAATTTTTGACTAAAAAGAAAAGCGTGGGCCCTATTCAACAAAGTCCCTAATAAATTTATCCGATAATGTTTTATACTGTAAATTCTTTTGTAATTTTAATTTTGTTTAATATTTGTGTGTGACACCTACCGGAGTCTGGCGATCTGACCACGTGTTGAGACTGTATTGATGCCGACGGCTAGGTTGCGCGAGCTGTGGCGCCTCGCAGCCATTCATCCGCCAGTGGCCCGCCACACAATTATTCTGACAACTGATAATTCGTGATAAAAACAAAACGGTACATAACCTCAAATTATTTGTTGTGCCAGTAGCAATTTCACGAAAAAAAAACCCCGCCAAAGGAAGTTCGTTCAATTTAAATCAAAATTAATAATTTAACTGTATCAATGCGTTAGTTAAAAATGTATACTCGTTAAAAATATTATGTGTTTTCTGTAATCATTTAATACAAGTTTTTCCCTCAA